CGTCATAAGGCTGGATCCAACCGTCTCTTATCCAATCATGCACTTCAGCGTCAAACGCCTCCCTTGCCTCTTTTGAAATTGAGTATGAAGGTACTTGGTTATTTATCTTAGGTGTTTTACCGCTATCTTTCCAATTCCATTCAACAGTCCATTTTCCATCAACAAATTTCGCATTGAAGTCACAATCATTAATAGAGATCTCATCGTTGCCATTCACAGAGGTTTCCTTCACGCACAACTCCTTCTTGGCCTCAGCCATCGTTCCGATACCAAGGTCCCTGAACGTAACAGTGCCATCTCCATCAATAGTGACACCTCCCATTGCAGTCACTGCATCCATCCCTAGAAGCATCTGATACCTTGGCAATACACTGGCAAACAAGCAACTCAGTGTGAGCGGAACACCTCTTATCAAAACTTGTAACATACATGTCATGTTACACTCAACTGATTCCATTCATCATTATAATCCTTTGACTGACTGGCTTCAGTTCTACTCCATATTTCACTAAACTAGGTGGCACAATGCTCCTTGAACAACCTGAGTCCAGCAAGGCACAGCATTTAAAACCCAACACACTTATAGTTAATGTAGGGAGTTGCGCTGAAGAAATTGGGCCAATTGGGGGGGGAATTGGGGGGGGGTGTTGCCACCCGCGCAACATAAGGCAGCGCCATTCCTCGTTTTTTTTGGAATTTGTAAACATTTTGAGGCATAATGTCCTACCTCCCCGCACCGGTAACAGGTTTCTTTTGACTCACGATTTGGATGGGGACATGAACGTGCTAAGTGGCCTTCCCTGTCACAAACAAAGCATTTTTTAGGCCAATGTTTACCAACTTTAAAAACTTTGGCATTAGCCTGTGCAACCGCCCCAATGTTTGACTCACTGCCCAATAGATTCCTAGCTCTTGTCATTACATCCGACAACTCCATGCTATGAAGAGAACACGTAGCTTTCAACTGGGTTTGAGTATCTCCTGGCAAGCCATGTACAACTGCGCTCTTAATCCATTCATCAGATACAGCTAGCGACTCACCGGGAAGTAAACGCCTAGCTGTAAATTCTGCATAAGCCTGAAAACAGTACGCAGAAAAGGCCTGCAGCAATGCATTGGTGAGAGCCTCATAGTTACTCTTGACATTTTCTGTAAGCCCGTCATAAACAGAAAATGCTCCTCCAGCCAAAAATAGGGGGAGAACTGTCTGCAAGTCTTTCATCTTTTGGAGCTTACATACCAACTAGTGGCTTGTAGGGACATAAGTCCCTAAAAAGCTCAAATGTAAAACAACTTTTTGCAATACCGGTATTTAAACAAACTCAGAATAACATTATCTATGTGTCAGAATAGGCATCCCTACACCATATCTTTTGTGTAAAAACCAGTTTGTTGTTCTTCTTTGTTTGCTTTTGTTGATGTCATTTTCAATAAATAATTTGAATCACTCCAGTGGTTTAACATGAAAAGGCAGCAAACATATCATTGTTTGTGAATAAATACTGGTTTACTAAGGTAGCTTTGGTCTTGTGGTTAATGAGGATACATAAAATCTTCCCTGTTTGGAATTTTAAAAGTTCATTGGAGGTTCGCCTTCAGATGAATTGAAGACGCCTGCAATTTCATCTGCAGTAGGCTTATTATACCTACGACGATCCATATTTATCCTGTCTACAAACCTAAGTTCTAATTCACTGTCACCTTGTACAACCATTTCTTCCGAAGCTCTTTTGTAAATTTGTGCAAATGGATTTTCTAATAGAATTTCAGCTAGTTTTGACAATATTTCAGGTTTTAAGTCACTATTTTCTCGACGCCTTTGACGAATTTCTGTTGCTGTTGATGTGTCAATAATGTACAATTGGCCATACACGGGGTCTTCATCATGTTGAGGCAGCAAATCTGAGATTGAACGATAAATCTGTCCTTGAATTTTGAAACAGTATGGTCCTTTTCCTGGAATATCTTTCTTACTGGCTGAAAAATAAGCAAAAGCCATCGCACTGTTGCATTGTCGAATGAATAACAGTTGTGGGCTCTCTTCAAACAAACTTTTAAGTTCTACATTAGTTTTTGACTGAGGAAGGTTAATAAGTCCGTTATGGCAACATGTCATAAAATGATTATTCGTTAGTTCTTCTCTAAAATGAAGAGCACTACATTGAATGCACTCTTGGTCCAATAATCCTGCATCATGGATCTTTACATTTCTCTCGTCTACCATGGATCTGCTAAAAAGGGGTTGTAACATATCTTGATTAAGTTCGTCAGTATCTACTCTTGCTCTCCTACGCGCACTGTCATTCCTATGAACAGTTCCCCGCCTTTGTGGTATTCCCCTGGCGTTCATATTAATTACAGTACCTACTTATAATGAAAAGAATATATATCCAGCAGCCTACATACCGAAACATCTTGAATCCCTGGTGATTTTATAAAAGTATGATCGAATATGATTACTCTACGTTGTATATTCACTGCACTATAAAAAATTACTTACGAAGGAATGCAAATACACCATTTTAGAACCAATAACATTTATAGGTTATTTTAGTTGTATATACTTACACAACCTTAACCTTAAAATGTGTAGAAATATAAAGAAAACGACATCATTTAAAATAAACTTGAACATATGATTTAAAAATAAAAACAAAACAGAAGTTAGATTTCATTTCGACTCTTTGATTATTTATACAGAATATTTATTCTATGTCGTTTATTCCTTTAACACGACAATAACGTAAAAGCATGAAAAAATGAAACTTGAGTATATGATTTAAATATAAACAAAGAATGCAGACGTTTTTCCGACTAATCTTCAATATTTCAGTTTTATTATAGTATACATTTCATAGTTGACTGGCTAAAAGTAAACCAAATGTGTCTATTGATCACTGTTTTCAAATATGTGGCACAGCTGTTTTAATTTCAAAAGATGTAAACAAATTAAACCCCATGTTGTTTTAATGGGAAAAGTTTTATTCTGTTGCGAATTTATGGTAAAAAAATAAAAAAAATGAATAGTTTTCCCTCAAAATTCACGTCAAGACCTTTAAATTAAGACCCCTCCCATCCTTCTACGGCCATCCAGTCACTCACAATTTCTTTACAAAAATTTGACTTACGGAATTATATATATAGATTCTAGTTTCTTTAACCACTCACTAAAATCACCACTTCCATGATACTGCTTAATCAAGTCTGAGAACTTAACACCAGTACCTGACATAATGCTGAAATAGCTTGTAATTAATTCAGTATGCAAATTGAAGACAAATAATAAAAGATATTTAATGCTTTAACAAACTAACATTCACTACACATCAGAACAATAAAACTCCCTAGTAAATATTATTTTCTCTATGACAACAAGAATCAATAAAAATCATTCAAAGATAAACAAATAAAAATGTTCACAATATCAAACAGCTGATAAGTGATTTATATTACAAGCACAACTACTTTTACAGGCCATTCGGAAATATGTTTAAATAGTTATTTTCCTACAGTCACCCGACAACGTTGGCTTCCTTGTACTGTTTATAGTACGGAAAGCTGCTAATTGCTGCATATTTATACTTTGCCGTACGGTTTATACTTTGCTGTACGGTTTATACTTTGCCGCACATCAGGATTCCAACGAAACAACACAAAACAGCGTGGTTCTATTATGCACGTAATCCGTGTGCGCTTGGAAATAGGTTGGCAACACTTAAAGATAATAATACTATGAGCAGCTGATTGACTATTATAACTACGATTTAACCTGTCATTTCATGTTTATAGTTTCAGTATTTCTGAACTTTCTGGTTTTTTCTTTTAAACGTTTTTAAAACATTCCTACGATCTTAATAAACAAGAAAATACCTTTAAAGCCTTTTTTTAGGCGCGGAAACCACTTCAAATTACAAAAACATACGGAACTATATTCTCAAAACGCGGAGCACATTTCTTGCCCAGGAAAAATAGCGGAGTGATACGGACCGCGGGTACTACTTTCTCTAGGGCACCATTTGTGTTGCCAGCTGAACCTAAAAACGTGTTGTATAGTGTTTGAAAGACTAATTATTTATATGCTTTATAGTGACTGTAGGAAAAATATAATGTGTAACACGAGTAAAAAAGGCCTTTGCTGCACTCGAGATCATTCCGCACTCGCCTGCGGCTCGTGCGTAAGCATTGCTCTCGTGTGCAGCAAAGTGCCACTTTCACCACTAGTTACACAATAGTTATTTGTGTAACTTGTGGTGAAAGTGGCACTTTGCTGCACACGAGAGCAATGTTAACGCACGAGCCGCAGGCGAGTGCGGAATGATGTCGAGTGCAGCAAAGGCCTTTTTCACTCGTGTTACACATTATATTTTTCCTACAGTCACTATAAAGCATATAAATAATTAGTCTTTTAAACACTATACAACACGTTTAGGTTCAGCTGGCAACACAAATGGTGCCCTAGAGAAAGTAGTACCCGCGGTCCGTATCACTCCGCTATTTTCCTCGGCAAGAAATGTGCTCCGTGTTTTGAGAATATAATTCCGTATGTTTTTGTAATTTGAAGTGGTTTCCGCGCCTAAAAAAATGCTTTAAAGGTATTTCTTGTTTATTAAGATCGTAGGAATGTTTTAAAAACGTTTAAAAGAAAAGTCCAGAAAGTTCAGAAATACCGAAACTATAAACACGAAATGACAGGTTAAATCGTAGTTATAGTCAATCAGCTGCTCATAGTGTTATTATCTTTAAGCGTTGCCAACCTATTTCCAAGCGTACACGGATTACGTGCATAATAGATCCACGCTGTTTTGTGTTGTTTCGTTGGAATCCTGATGTGCGGCAAAGTATAAACCGTACGGCAAAATATAAATATGCAGCAATTAGCAGCTTTCTGTACTATAAACAGTAGAAGGAAGCCAACTTTGTCGGGTGACTGTAGGAAAAAGTAATTTGGTAATAGGCTGTGCTAGCATCAATTTTTTTACTTTACGGAAATTATGTTTCAGTTCATGCGAATGAATATCAAGGAGAAAAAACTCTTACTGATATAGAGTATGAAAGATCGAAAACCAAACATTTGGACGGTAAAAAACTATGTGATGACGATATATTAATGTTGACTGAAAATGAAGAGCCTAAACAAAGAATAAAGAAAAGTGAAAAGAAACGTTCAGAAGTCAACACAACCATTGTAGATGAATTTGATACTATTAACGTTGATGAAAATTCAACAATTAATCAAACAAATGTTTTGGAGCCAGAATTATCGAATGGTAATGAAATAGGAAATCCTGAACCAAATGTATCTAAGGAAGAAGATAGTTTAAATCTTGAAGTATTACACCCCTTTGAGATTGAGAATCGATCCCAAATAAAATCAGAAATTAATATTACAGACCCGTTAACAATGTCTGACGATAGAGTCGAGAATACTTCGCTTGAAGCGGAAGAATCTAAGATACAAGACAAAACCAACGGTTTGGGAAGCAGTGGTGAAAAAGAGGAAGCAGAACCAGCAAATGAAGAGGAAGAAAGGACCATGGAAACTTTTCAGAAAGAATGGGATAGTTATGTAACGGCAATGAGGGATTGTGTTCCGAACGTTGACATTGAAAGTGAGCTGCCTACTGCAGGTTCCTCTGCAGAAGAAGAAGAAGAAGAAGAAGAAGAAGAAGAGGGAGAAGATAACCGATACAACCCTAACATAAAATCATTCGAAACTGAAAACAGAGAGGAAGAAAAACTTACACAAGACAGTAAACCCGTTTCAACTGGAGAACCTGTGTAAGTTTTTCTTTTTCTTTTTGATTGGTTGTAGAAATATTTGTTGTAACCATACATTGAGACGCTTGCCCCAGATATCATGCAGTAAGTTAAAAATTGAATTTTTATTAAAGTATCATGTTTGGATACTGTTTTCTATTAGTTTAACTATGATAACAAATCACTAAGTAGTATAGTTTCCCCGTACGTGTTGTGAAACTAAACCAATTTTATATCATTAGGAGACCTTTAACCCAATATGAACCTGTACTTAAAATATTTTATTTTAGAGTTTTTATTGTGTTATGACCTAGTTTTGCAACACGATAGAACCTATGAACTTGGAGTCCAATGCACAATCCATTCAAATATGTTAAATGTATTTTTTGTACATAATACATTATTTTGTATTCTCCCTTTTTTTTTGGGTGAGGAGGGAAAATGCTTTTACGCACACAGGTAGCCAGCCTGTAGTGTGAGACTCCTGACTCCTGAGTTTATCACAGACTACTCACTAAAAAACCCCCTCTACTCTGTTGGACACAGACCTGGAATTGTTTGTCACATTACTTCAAGTCAGGCCAACATGTGACCTAAGCCCACAGGGCTCGCACCGTTTCTGGCATTATTTATTTTTTTGACCTACACCGCATCCCGGTCGAGGTCAAGCTTCTTGGCGCGGAGAACACCCTGGATGTAAAGTGACACACAGGTCCAATTGTCCTCACCCTCCATCATCATCGGTATGACCGTGTCCACCGACAGCAGTCCTACGAACTGTTGAGCCTCTATGCGGGGCCTTTCCTAATGCTGACAGTGGAAGAAAGTGTGTTCCACGTCATCGGGAATGCCTGGGCAGTATATGCAATCGGGTGACACGGCTTTGCCCATCCTGAACAAGTACGGCCGGAAAAAGCCGTGACCCGTCAGAAATTGAGTGAGGTAGAAGTTCACCTCTCCGCACCGCCGATTAACCCAAGGTTGGACCTGTTGTATCAGTCGCCTGGTCCAGAGCCCCCTTGTCTCCTGTTCCCAGCTCTCCTGCCACAGCTGGAAGGTCCGGGTGCGTTCCTCAATTCTTGCCTGGTCCTCCCCACGGCGCTGATAAATTGCCTTCCTCTCCGCCGCCAAAAGTTTGACAGGGATGACTCCAGCAACCACCAGGACGGCGGGTTCGGACACTGTTCGATAGGCTGATGCTACCCTTAGTGCTGCCTGACGCTGCACTCGGGCGAGCCGCATCCTATATATCTCCTTATTGAGAGCGTCTGCCCAGACTTCCGCACCGTACAGGAGCACGGACTGGACCATTTTTTTTCCATTTCCATTTCGTTTTGTCATGAGAGCCGAAGCCCCCTGACTGCATACCCGGTACCTATCCTTTAGGACATACCCGGGCCCCATGATGTAGGCCGAAGCTTACGCATCAACCTTTAGCACATCATGGGCGGATGACTTAAGGTCATCAGGCTCGCCGGCTGCCGAAGCAGACCCTTCGGAAGGAGGGTTGCCCCTCAATCCTAACCAGGGATTCCGGCTGCTTGTTTAAGCGTCACTCCACCTGGGTTCCACTAGGTCGAGACCTAGAGGTCCATGGTAGAGCGCCCCGACGCATTTAGTGCAAGCAACACTCGGGACCTATCTAATCCCTGACAGGCAGAACCCGCCATCGATAGCCAGGAGGAAGGGGACCGTCAGCACGCTGACGGGGGGAACCCCAACCTCCCATTTACACCGCTGCCCGATCGAGGCCTTACCCATTGCTGGGAAACCAGAGATAACCAGAGCGATAGATCCCCAGATACCCCTGGCGGGCTCGGACCCAGCACGGACTGGACCGCAGACATCAACAGCCTTCTGCGGCTGGACCGCGGACCTCCGACATTGGCCATTAACCGACTAAGGGAAGTAACCATTTTAGCGGCCTTGTTCGCCGTACGGGTGATCTGGTTATATTCTCCTTAAAGTGCAGACAAGCGTAAAGATTTATGAATGAAAACAAACTAATCGTAATTATCTGATGAAATAAGCAAGAGGAATGCGTTTACCCGAATGATACTATAATAGACCTCATAGAAGTATCGTTGTAGGTTATCTCACCTTTTATGGCGTTATTATGAAATTTTTTTTAATGTTTCTGTTACTTTTTTAGTTTGTGAGATGAGGAAATACTGCTAACTGTTAAAGGTTAATAAGACATTTTTACGTAGCCTCTTGTTCATTATAGTTATCATTTTTAATAATTTTTATTTTAGAGGAATAATTGTATTTGTGTTGAAGAATTGTTTTGTGGAAGAATTGTTGTCCTTTTTTTATTCGTAACAACATACAACTTATAATAAATTATCAAAACTTGTTCCAGAATGGAAGAGTTGCCAGACAATAAAGGACAAACTGGCGTAGTACAAGGTAGAGACGCAGTTAGTTCAAATGGGTTAGTAGGTAAGTAATTTTAAGACCTTTAAAACTATTTATACAGCAGTAACTCATATTCTGGAATATACATCCCAAACTGGCAAATAATTACAATTTTTTTTTTTTTTTTTCTTATAAAACAGTGTTTTATAAATTATATGGTTTTTCAGAAATAATGTTCGATTATAAAATGAAATAATATCGATTATTAGGGTGACGTTAAGTAAATTGTAATATTCATTAATGGTAAATACCTGTATTAAAAATACAGGGTGGCATAAAAGTAACTTACACCCCCCTTAACTTTTCAACCATTTGAGATATTTCAAATCTGTTTGTGGCAACCTTCTTAGGTACAAAAGGCTACAATAATTATGGTCAATTTTGAAAGTGTTGTCCTTAGGGGTAATGGGGGTAGGGGGTAGCTCAAAATTTTCAAATAACAAGTTTAGTCGAGTTTGGTATTACTTTTACAGGTCTTGACGAAACATAAAGATCGACATAAAGAAAACCAAAATCGGCCCAATAATAAAAAAAATGTCGCCCTAAAACGTTTCAAATACAATTAACCACGAAGGTGGCTGAAAATTAACTTGCACTCCCTTTAACATTTAATTATTTGAGATATTTAAAACCGGTTTGTAGCCATTGTTTGGATATAAAGGGCTACAAGAATTAAGGTCAGTTTTGAAGATTTTGCCCTTAGAGGTAGCGGGGTTTGGGGTTAGCTCAAAATTTTCAAATAGCAAGTATAGTCGAATTTGGTATCATTTTACAGGTCTTGACGATTAACATAAAGAAATTAGAAATCGGACTATCAAAACCAAAATGACAGTTCAAAATTACTTTAAAAACCTATTGTCTTAATCATTTTTAGCTGCCATTTTGTTATTAATGGTCCGATTAAAATTTCTTTATGTTAAACGTTATGTTTCGTTAAGACCTGTAAAATGATACCAAGCTCGACTATACTTGATATTTGTAAATTAAGAGATATCCCCTACCCCCACTACCCCTAACTGAAAAATTTTCAAAATTGACCATAATTAATGTAGCCCCTCATATCTAAGAAAGTTGTTGCAAACAGATTTCAAATATCTCAAATGGTTGAAACGTTAACGGTGGGGTGTGAGTTACTTTTCTGCCACCCTGTATATCGGTATTGAATAAACTATTTTGTGTAATGTTTAATGTGGTTATTTTACACTTAATTCGTTTCCATGCAAACTACGGTGATTAATCATATGATCGACATGATCGATTTTATTAGTTCTTATTTTCAGAAACTACTGTCAAGCTAAAGAAAGGTATAAACGAATATCTGGAAGAGGACAGATGGGATTTATGGTATAGGTTCGTTGCCTTGATGAACAACAATAACACGAGATCATATGATAAGTGAGTTAACCAACTGTGTTCATTTATTTTAGTCACCCTAATAATTCTTTACCAATTTTGGCTTTGTTGACAAAGGTGTTAAGGATTTATTAAGCAAAAGCCGAATACACTGATTTCAAACTGGAGTTGAATAACATTGAAAATAGTATTTAGCAAATACAACTGATGATTGGTATGGATGTTTCTAATGCTTGAAACTTGAAACATTATTTGCAGTATATTAGCTGGAAAGCAAGTACTATACTGTATGGTGTGATTTATCAGGTAAAATTAGTACATTGATTTGAATCCCTCAACGAAAAAAACAGTGGCTCATTTAATAAAAACTGTGGTTTTTAATTGGAGTTCAGATTATTTACTTAACACAATGACAAGCTTAAAGGATCGATTAGAATTACCATGATAATTATGAATATAGGCCAGTTTCAGCTTGTTTTTGAGCAACACAAGGTATCACTTCGTTTAATAAATTATGCTGGTTTTCCTCTCTACGATATCCTACATACGGTAATTGTCATTGGTTAACTTAATCTAACAAGTTGCATTAATAATAATACAGGACTTAGGTTGAACCATAGATAAATGGATTATAGACAGATTAAAAAGGAGTATTGTCTACTTCTTTTAATATATGGTTGAACTTAAACAATAGTAAACCCGTATTTAGCAAGAGAATACTTATCCTGTAATATTTTAAATATTGTTTTTTGTGAATGGCATTATTTAAAATTATGTGTCAGATATAAACAAATTTTACTTAAAAATCTCCGATAGCTAGTGACTATTACATTTTCTTTTTTTACAGCTGTGTTGCTCTTTTTAAGGCCAAGAAACAAGAAATATTAACGCGGAAAAAAGCCCCTTCACCTCCTTGGGAAGAACCAGGCAAGTGAAATTGATTTACTAAATTCATAATAAGAGGAATGTTAGAAACAAACTATGCTTAGTTGCGGGTTTTAGTCTTAAAGATCTAACAATTATAATTTTTTGTAGATATTTTAGGTAAGACTTCAAAGACTTGGTAAGACTCGTTAAAAAAGTATAACGATATTATCAAATGTACAAACAAATATTATATATAGTTATCTTGAGAAATTCCTAGCATTAGAACTTGGATGCAAATAATAGTTGTTTCCACATCCATCTTGTTTGTCCAATATTACTAGGAAAACACTTGAATTTTTACAATAACTCTTCAACACTTTGACCAATCTAAAGGTCTAGTTTTAGTCCAGGAAAACTACAGTTAATATATCTTTTCCTACAGTTACCTAACAATGTACATGTTCTCTCACTGATTTGAGAAAGCAAAGTGGCCAATTCGCTCATCAGTGAGACAATGTTAACATTGTCTCACTCTAATTACTTTGTCTCACTCCAGATTTGCAACGTGAAGGCACGGAATAGTGAGCGCGTAACATGCAGGCAAGGTCGTATGCACGCGAAATACGTTGGCAGCACTGGCTGTAAATCAGCTGGTCAGCTGTTGTACTGTTGTATTTGTCACTTCACATTCAATGTTATATTAAAAGTTCACTTCTGTGTAAAAATAGGTTATGTTTCTTCACCAATTTATTTGTTTTATGGTAACTGTAGGAAAAGTATAATGTGCAACTGGAGTTCAAAGTACAATTGCCTCACTCGAGAAACCATTCCTAAAGGATTTCTCTCGAGTGAGTCAATTGCTCACTTTTCTCACTAGTTGCACAAATAACTATTTCCCGTGGAAAAATTGCAACAGAAGTGTGTTTTTTACTTATAAATTACTGTTCTATGCCATATCCAAAATCAGACAAAATCCGACCACGGGAAACCCCCAAGAAATCACCTTTAAAATGGTGGACACTTTTTAAAAGTGTAAAAGACCTCAACTCAAAATCTAACTTAGCATATAATTTTTAAGATTCATTTATTTTGTTTCCAATATTATTTAACATTATATATTTTTAAAATTGTAGAAACTATGGTGGAAATCCTGTTTTAGTATACTGCTTGTATTATTTTTGCAAAACAGCTGTTATATTGTTGTTATTCGTTTGTTTATTTTTAGCCCTATTTCAATATTTGTTAATGTAAACATTTTAAAACTTTGTGAGATACAGTTGCGATTCCTTTTTTTAATATTAACTAATTTGTTATGTTATTGATATTTAGGATAAATAATCATGGAAGTTGATGATGACATTGTTGATGTAGAATAGAAGAATAGAATAGAATAGAGAAGTGCTTTATTGACTACATACTATGTACAGTAGGCTACATGAAATGGGTGCGATACATGCACATACAACAATGGTCATACGACCGTCTGCTGGGTTGGCATTAATGTCCATTCAATATTAATGAAATAAAATTGTCCCACATAAATCAATATACTGAGCACTAAAACAAAATAAAATAACACTTCTTTATGCACACAAATACATAGATATATACACATACACATGTATGCATATATACACATATATCTATACTCTAAACATATTGTAATACAACATTTTAAAAATTAAATTCCCTAACTAGCTCCCATCTACGTTTCCATGCAATTTTTAAAAAACTTCCAAGGCCCCGCCAATCCTTCCCATTCAAATAATCCACAAACTCCTCATATTGTATTTTTTGTTTACCAAAATACAAGAGTCGCAAGTCATTGAACACAGGGCAACTAGCCACAAAGTGTAAAGCAGATTCATTTTCGTTTAAATTACACAAGGAACATGTATGGTTTTTATCGACAATCCATGGTTTATAGTTGAGATCTATAAGTTCTCCTCTACATTTTATTATCCAAGAAATGGTTCGGTTGTCTAAACCAGTTTCCAAGAAGCTATTGTTGCCAAGGTCAAAGTCAACGACGAGGTATTGAGAATGATAAGCTGAAGTACGCGCTCTGCCTAGACACTCAGCTCTCCAGCTATCTCTTGCTGCATTTACGACACTAACTAATTGAGACTTTAACCTACCACTCCCCGCCTCCTCCATCGTATGTATATTCAGGTCTATTTGCACGCCATATTTGATTCCTAATGCTCTCCACGCTCGACACCAATCTACATTTTTTCTTAAAACTTCAGCTGCTAATAATCTTGGTAAACGCTCAGGTGGTAGCCCCAATATATTTATTATATAATTAAGATTCATTGAGAGAGAATAAATGTGTAATTTATCTAGACCCGTTTCAAAGTACAGTGAGTAATTTGGCGTGTTATTAGGCAACTGAAACAGTTTCCTAATAAATAACTTTTGTACAGATTCTATCTTTTCGCTCTCTAAATATCCCCATACCTGGCCTCCATAACCATAATATTGTTGATGTATGTGATATGTAGCCTTCCGGTGAAAGTGTTCATGTATTGTGTCGAAAAACATTTACCGAGAAAAAGAAAATTGGCATTTTGAAACCAAAGGGTAGATTTGAAGAAATAGGAAATGTGTGCACTTGATTGATGGCCCAGTTTCAATTACTACTCGCTGTTTGTTTTGTGGAAAACTGGTGGACTTCTTATCAAATCATAAGCCAATGACTGAAAGTGTGAAAGTAAGAACCAAAGGTTGGCATAAGCCCAGAAGAACTTGTGTCTGCAGGTTGTGTCTATAATCAATCATGCAGTAACAATTTTCGTAGTTGGAGAAATATTCCTCAAGAATACTGCACTAACAAGAACTCTTCAGAAAAAGGGCGGCTGGCTAATGAAGAACAGTATCATGCGTTCCTTCGTACTTGTGAATCTTTTGACGAAAATGACGAAGAGCAATTGGTTTTTGGGGACCTAATTTCTAAAATTGGAGAATATCTTCAGGGTGGACAGAGCCGTGCTTATGATCGTAAGTACATGAAGATAAGGGTTTTGGAATGCTATGGAGAAAACATAATAATATCTGGTAGTGTAGGGAAATCAGACATAGTAACGTTACGTGATACAACTAGTGGTATTATTCGAAGTTACCTTAAAAATGCATCACATGCTCATGATATTGAGTTGCAGAAAATTCAGTAAATAGAAGATGCTGCAAGAATAATAAAAATTGACGTCAAAACCCTTACCAATCATTGGTACATAAAACATACAAGAATGAGTCGATAAGTACCCATCTCCTAATGAACTAACAGTTTAAAATGCATTGAATTGAATTCCTAACTGTGGTTGGAATATCATGGATGGAATATGATAGAAGACGACACAACTAACTCCTGGGGTCTGCATTTGTATGCTATGCGTGAGATTATACCGATAGTTACAGCTTCCAGAAGATTGTGGTTGGCATAAAGAAAATAGCGTTTACCATTCAATACTCTGCGACTAACTACCAGCTCCAGACTATCTATTAAAATATGATCCGATGTTCCTACAAAACAAACTGCGTATATTTACATTGCTGTTGCAAGCGCAATGGATTACCATGTTAAACAGCATGTGGGGATTGTCAAATGAATGGATGTCAGAACAGCTATCACCCTTCAAAATATGATAGTGATGAAAGTGATGAATACGACTCATGAGAGTTGTTTTTGATCAATCAGTTGAACAGTTAAATCAACCTATAAAGTATCTTGTGATTCTAGAGAAATAGTAGATATTAACATTATGTACTATTTAAAGGTCAATTATAATATTTTAAGTTGTAAATAAGTATTTTATATCCATACACAGCTTAAGTCAATAAATATTTTCTCAATTTTGAAAATATTGTGTCCGCAATTTTTATATGTGTTTTTTGGGTGTTCCCATTATCGGATTTTGTCTGGTTTTGGATATAAAAAGCCATTGAGAAAGTTTTTGTTGCAATTTTTTCCTTTGTAAAAAATTTTGAAATTTTTATTATTATATGGTAAAAGAAATTATACATATTTATTTGTATATTATCTTTGCTATAATATTATTATATATGTATTATTAATATAAAAAAATATATTAAAACACTGTTTTCTTGGACTATTTCAGTAAGTTAATTTTTTTACTAATAAATAAAAAAATAAAGAAGAATGAAGTAAGGAAACAATAAGAATTTGTTTATTGGTAGTGACACAGGAAAGCAAAGTAATCACCGGTACTGTGGCAACACCAAATAAAGGTCACAGTGGTGCACTCTAATCTAGGCAGACCACCATAGATTAATGGTCTAAGATTCAAAACATTTACAATTTAACACAAGCAACACTAAATTTTAAATATAAAATTGATAACTGAACTCGATAAAATAATAATAAATCCTTTTAAAATCTACTTGAACTGTCATAAAAAGTATTTCTGTTTGCATTAGGCTTAGACGATTATGAAAGAAAACGCAGGAAGGTACAGCGAGAATGGGAGAAAACAGAACGCGACAATGCCCTCAGAAATCAAAAAGGATTCAGTGAGTAAGTGATACAGTCTAAAGGCATTTTATTGTTTAAAGCAAAATTTTAATCCAACTCTATAAATTCAAAATTAGAATAACTCTACCTATTACGGCTATCCATAAAGTAAAGAAAGTTTCGTTCTGACGCCGATCTCGTACATTTTGGCAACTCACGTGTGCATTCGGCAATCGGCAACTCAGTCGGCGTCCAGCTATAACAACAAGAGCATTCTATCGCTGCCCGTTTTTTTTTTTTTTTTTTTTTTACAATTGCGATTGAAAATTCCGCTAGTTATGAGGTGCGGTCAGTGATACAGTTTTTGTTGGCAAAAAACTTAAAACCGATACTTCTCCTCAAGTTTCGCGGACTTTGTTGTTTGAAATTGTCACACAACAAAGCGAAAGCTCCGAGGAATCAGTGGTTTTTGCTAACCTTTTTTCGACTTTAGCGACCAGTTTCTTTGGTCACAATGCTCGGGCGTCCGCCCTTTGCTTCGTCATGACTCATGAGCTTCAAATCGGCTATTTTTTAAACTGAATGCATAATTTTCCACAGAACTTTCATTTATTACGTTGTTTCTTTTAACTTCACACACTTGGTGATAAATTACTATATGGTTTTAAGTTTTTGTCAACAAAAACCGTATCACTCATCACACCTCAAAACTAGCGGGATTTACAATCGTACGTTCATCTTAAGTTGAAATTGTGAAAAACCCCGCAGCGCGAAGAAACTCCCGTTGTCACGGCTAGACGCTGACTCCGACTGGCGACACTTGACCTTATTGACATACAGACAGAGACTGATCCTGATTTAGAGTTTAGACAGCATTGGAGTTGGACCTGTTGTCTGTCTAGTTCTATTGTCTGCCGCTCAGCCGCACTGCATGCAAGATGCAAATAGCAATATTTTCTACTACTGTAGTTAAAAATTGAGGTGATGTTATTGTTATAAAACAAGTATAATACTCTTGTATTAAATAGATAACACTTGTAAGAAAATACCTTAGTAAATCCTTATTTAACTCGTTTTTTTCAATCATCGATCAAAGGTGATATACGTTACGTAATAGGGCTAATAATGTTTAGGCTACATTAGTTTGTTATTATGTCAAATTTCCTACTAAGACCAATTTAAACACTCGTCAAACGAGGAATTAAACATGTATTCTTTTATAGATTTCTATACGAGACTGAGGGGATTCCACAGTACGAATATGGTCCGGATCTTGAAGATAGTAAGTGATCTTATTGTCAAATTGTAAGCTACCAACATTATTTGGGTCGTAGCTTACATCACCTTATTCTTAGTATTCTCTAATGCCAATATGCATTTATTGAAATTCACAAAGCTTTATTTACTAGCTTTCACAAGGAATGCCATTCTACAAGATAGTCAAGATAGACTAGGAGTACGCTCTGAAGTCGCGTTACAAACTTACAACAGAAATAATAAATAAAAAAATTACATCCTAATAACAAATACTCACGCTTACAAGATTACCGAAAAAATTGTATTCTCTCACTTAGTGGAACAAATATGTTTTTAATAAAATTACCAAACCGCCTGATTACTAACTAACCTTGTAATGGAAATGACGAGTTAGTAAAAGTTATTATTTTGTCAATTATTCTCACAATACAAAATAAGTTATATCTGCCTCGGATAAACCACAGAGAAGGTTCGACCCTTATAGTAACCTTAAATTTTACCTGGTAAAAAGGAAATATATCAGGTGTTGAAAATATTAGCCACATCTAATAATGAATCGATATTTATTGTGTAAGTACTAAACCTATTGCGATACATACATCGATATGGTTAACGAGTCTTAATCACCGCGATTAACAGTTTATCGAAACGTGCTCCTTTCTCGCGCCAAATCTACACATACGCACTTCACACCTCATGGAAGAATCGTAGCACTTTAGTACCGTACATGTATTGCGATATCTCAAGTTATCAGATACATAATGAATCGGCACACTTACAGAATGAACGATAAACCGTATATCGTGGGTAATGAGACAGATGCCCCTCCCAATATCCTATAAAATGATATTTACAAATTACGTCGCACGAGACAAATGCCCCTTACGACTTGATACGTGAATTAATCTGAAGGCGGGTATAACTTATATGGATGTATTTACCGACGTGCGAGACATGAGCCCACCACTAATGTTAACGTGTTTGTTAAGTAACGTGGCTTAACAAGTAAAAAATTACCTAAAAGACCACCGCACTTAAAAAACAAAATACAGAGGAAAATTAGCTCGAACTCACGACTGAATGCCTATTAAAATGATTTTGTCAAGACAGTTATGCTCAAACGTACGGTGATATCACTATGCGAGATACTTACCCCACACGGAATATTACGCGTAACGTAACACTTTATCTACACTCTTCGTAGGACTTTAAAATACAATAATAAGATCACAGTTCAAAAAGGGACTTTCAATTGAAGAATAAACTTGAAGAATAACACTCTCTGTAAACGTTTTGCCATAACTTCAAAGTGAGGAATACACGATACAATAACACTCTCTGAAAATAAAATTATACTTTATCCACCCTTAACCTACAGAACAACAAAATGGTACACTCCGAAATAAAATTCTACTAACTTTTCACTTCACAAAAACTCATCCGAAATGATTTATTACTTGAAATTAGGAGGGACTTTTATAATGGAACTGAAGAGGCATATGCCTCCGCTCGATTATATGGTGTAAAATTTAGAAATGGATTTAGCGTCTCGAGGTGAGAGAGATTTGCCTCTAACCGAGAGGGAGAACGTTCGATACTTTATGAACTCAATACTGAAAAATAAAATCGAGACAAACTTTGAAAATCTGAGATTGTTAAAGAATTAACAACTTTCGACTTTTGGAGTGACACTTTGGAAATATACCCCGTTCGGTAATCAGCGACACGACCCTCACTTAGACAATCTTCGAAAAATGTATAACTCACTAGCTAGACGGTACGGCACTGACTGTCTTGGTCACTTCTAAGAGAAGTCCATGTCCCTTTGACTTGTGGTGGGGGTGAGGGAGGGTAGCGATATCACGGTGACGCTTGCTTGACTCCAGGACCGTCCTTAGATTTACTTATCTGGCGAGAAATTGGAAATTCACTGTCACAACCTACATTCTAATACTTGAATATCTTGCACAGCCAAACACCGAAACGAATACACACGTCTTGTTATTCGCTTTGGCCAATATAGTCCACTGTATATGTACTGTATATGCACTGTAGTATGTGCATATTCCTGTTAACCTTTAATTAGGTAAAAGCTTTAATGCAATGCATTGATCTTTGTCTTGAAAGCTTACAGGTTTCTCTTCGATATGATGAATACAAAAGAGTACGATCATCAAGCCTATAAAGATTCATTAAGTAAAGAAGAACTTGCTGAGATTTACTCAGAGGGTGAAGTAGAGGAGGAGCTTCGAGAAAGAGAGTTACGAAAACAAGGTAACTCAGAGTCATTTACGTTATACCGTAAGTTAAGAAAATGCACTCACAATGGCCAACGAAATAAAAACCTACCTATATGCCATCATATGAATTATAATAATTCAAATTGTTCCAAATATGATTTTCCTTTAACTTTGGTTGTGTCTGATGAATTTTCTAGGTTAAACAGTTATCAATATATTATTTATAGTTAGAAGACGGTCACAACTGGTGTCCCTCTAAACATTCTTTTCGTTTTTTTGTTGCAGGAAAAGATTTAGTGAGCACACTAAAAAGAGCTGAAGAGTCTGGTGATCCCACCTTTAATCAGGTGCCTCCTATAGACCACATGCAAAACACTTTTGATGAGCTCATAAACTTGCCAAATAAAGAATTTTCCCACTACGATACCGTGCCAGACTGGATAAAAAACGACCCGACAAACCCAATTAACTATAAAACCTACTCCAAAAAAATGGGAACCGACCTTGAAGACTCAAACTCGTTACCAAATACTAATGAGAACAAAGATGGGTATTTGGATGAAAGTAATGGGAAGTATAATTCTTTAAACAATCATAATAGTGATGTAAATAAAGACAGCCAGTCAATAGAAGCATTCCATATGAATCAATCGCACAACATTAAACAATCCTTTCAAGATTTGGAAAAGTCAGTTGCCAGAACTACAACATCCTACGATGGTAGGTATCGTAATACTTCATGAGAAAAAATCACATTCCATACAAAATACACAAAGAGGGATCACAGAACATATAAGTCGGATTTAAAAGTATAGTACATTAGCTATACTTGATGCAATTTTGATGTTAGGATGTATATAATAATACAACAACATTAATTAATCAAACATATTAGAAATTCACAATTTACGAACAGTGGTACAGACTTTGATGGTAAAGTATTTCACACAACTGTTGTTTGGTTGTTGAGGTTTCATTTTTCTCATCAGTAATATGTCAACTACCACTTTGGAACCAAACATAACTGTAATGTTTTTTTTTTTTTTAGAAATTAACGACAGGAAAGGCCAACTCAGCAAAGCAGAACAGGCTCAGAAAATGTGGCAGTATTTTCTTCATTTGATGAAAGAGCGGCATGAAAAAAATATCGAAAAGTAAGTTGAAAAAATAACAACCGAATTTCGTGTTAAAATATATACATATACTTAAATTTGGAGGACCCAATTGAAATTGATTGTCATGTTTTTCATTTGTAACAAAAATTATTGTAGACATACGGGCTCCAGATATCTCGATATATCTTTAAAGATAAGACCATAATATGGAAGCCAAAAACTTTATCTCCTTTATCTAGCACTAAAATCACACACCACTTACATCGTGGCGATTAATAACTTATTTTTACGTAACGTTTGTGAGATGTTGAAGACAAAAGCTTCAGATTCAGAAAATGGGGTAACAAGCCATACATCGTGAGGATTAATGGTTTTTATTAAATTTACAAAATTTTTTTAGCTCTAGTTAAGCATTAAGGACGACGTTAGAAAATCCTTGACAATCTAATTTGTTCGCTTATTTTGGTTTTCGCTCAAACATTCCACAGCGTGACTGGTTTCTCTTTTTTCAAGTCCGATAATCCCTTTTCAATAGCTCCACGAACTACGAATTTGAATTGAAACAGAATATCATTATATATATATATGTATAGGGTGGATACACTTACATATTGTGTGTTGTTAGGTTCACTTCTTTGAGTCCATCGAGCAAGACGTTTACTGAAGGTGAAGCGAAGGCTCGGTGGTTGCAGTACGCAGCGTTTTTATCAGGAGACTCGCCGATAAAGTTAGTATCGTGTTTAAAAAAAAATAGTTTGTTATTCCAATCATAACTACAGTATACCTAAATACTAACGCCTTACAAACGATTTTATGAAACAAAGATAATATATGTAACCCATTTTACTGAACATTATTGGTATTCCCAAACTTTTCAAAACATTTCATTTGTTTAAATAGCTAATTCAGATGGTATAAGTATTCATTATAATAAACTGACGTACGATGATTAATCATATATAAAGAAAACCCCTTAATAGATATTTCCATGTAATTTTGCCAAAAGACTGTTTCCTGATTAATATAAATAAACAGTCATATGTGTTTTCCTATTGTTTTGGTTAAAAACAGATAATAATTTAGTGTGTATTATTTTAATGAATGAAATAAAGAAGATGGTTTTTGTTAACATTTATTTTGTCATTTCTAATGTTTAACATTAAGTAATCGTCCGTGATATCAAAGTAATTGAATCACGTATAGTGGCGAATTAAAAACATACTTAGTTATTTCATTTTGTAATGCGTCTTTGTTTGTTTTCTGAGGTGTTACAGTAAAAAAATGATCCATTGGTAGGACAAAAATCACCGCTTGATTCTAAAAACTAACTTTGAGTTAGTTAAGGGATAACTGTGCTTTAGAGATCCTTTGAAGTAAAAAACTAAATGTGTGTGAACAATATTTGCCGCCAAATATTATTAAGCTGGACAACCAATATAGTTTTTTAAAACATAACTTTTAATGATTTGTAGTAAAACATATCCACTTTTGGTCTAGGTATGTGATAACCTTTTATTTAGCTTAGGCTAAGTCTCAACCTTTAATATGATTTTAGAACTTTAGAAACAACGTAAATGGCTGTATCACTTTTGTTCCATTGTTGAAGGCTAATTTCTTAGAATCACTTTTGTTCCGGGGGTCAGTAGGTAGATTTCGGGTCCGGCCGAAACATCGCTTTTGTTCCTGGGACATCTCTCTTGTTCCACGAGAGAGGGGGCTGTACTTTCCCTCCCCCAAATCCTCTTTTTTGTCCTTCTTTCTTTCATGCGTGCTTTACAACTCGTTAAATAAAATTTTTTTCCTTAACAAAAATATCAAAAGTGTAAATAATTTAACCTAACCTAACCTAACTTGTGAAAGAAAGAATTAGGAGGAGAGCGAAAGAAAGGAATTGAAGGAGGGGGAGTGTTGGCCCCTCTTTCTTGGAACAAGAGAGATGTCATCGGAACAAAGTCGATGGTTCGGCTGGCCCCAATATCTACCCGAAATAAAAGTGGTGTGATGAAATTAGACTTCAACCGCGGAAAAAAGCGACACACGCACGTAAATATACCTATCCCAATTTCCGAAACATTGGTTTTTTCAACTCACAGTAAGAAATACTTTTGTTTATTCTTACTAAAAACATTTTTAATTTGAAATGATCGTATAATGTTTCCTGCCTACACTTAGTTAAAAATCAATCATCGCTTATTGTAAAAATGAACAAAAACTGAATCATTGTATGGCGCATATAATCAAGTAAATAAAGTGTTTAGTATGCTTGTTCACACTCGGTTTGTTATAGGATGCCAGAGTCCGCTCCCAGTAAACAGGTCGAGGCACAGTCGAGGTCGGGCCAGGAAAGCAGTGAGTACATCTTACATGGTCTGGGATCCTCATGTACTCAGTATACAGAGTGCCCAAAAGACCCGGGTCGGTTAAATATTATTCGAAATTATAAATATATTTTTGTTTTACATATTCAGTGATCCGCTACCTCCTCGGGGGGCGCCCGCTAGAAGTAAGAAGAACATCTTAAATGTAAGCATAGGTTGATATGCATATAAAGTAAAAGATATCTATTAGTAGAATACAATGCCGCAAACCCGAACTCAAACAGACAACCGAAAACCAAAATGACAGCTATTTAAAGTTGCATTAAATTTGCAATTATGTTATACCTGGTTATACCCATTATATATGGCATTCCTGTATTATCAATATACTATAGTGTACATTTTGGTTGATGTATCAATATGTTCTTAGAGATTCCTCAGGGGGAAGTTGGAAGCCTGCTAGAAGTTGGAAGAAAATCAAAACCGTATTCATAGGTCGATAAGCAACATAAAATGAAAGGGCTTTTATTATTAGAATACAATGCTGCAAATTTTAGTTTAAAATAACAACAGAGTAATAAATGGCAGTCGTTCAAAGATTCAAAATGGCAGATTCGAGAAATCTTTGAACGGATGACATATTTTTGACTCGGGAGTCCGGTTGTTTTATGCATATCAACCTATGCTTAGTTTAAGATTTTATTCTGACTCCTGGCGGGCTGTCCCCCTGAGGAAGTAGTGGATCACTGAATATGTGATAAGATATATTTTTATGACCAGTAACTTTGTAAAAAATTGTGTAGCTCTATTTAAAATATTTCGAATAATATTTTTTAGCTACGACCATTTCTTAAAGTAGCCGTTTCAGTTCAGCTCTTAGAATTGGAAAGATTCACATAACTTCATTGTTTATTTACGTAACAGCATAGTTTTACCTAACAACATGGGTAACGGACTAATGACATGGTGGAAGGAAAAAAACATAGGTGTGCTATTCCCACATATTCTGACGTCACTCGGATTGCAAACAAAAGATCACCTGATTGTAACTGCCAAATTAGTATGTATTTCTTTTGATTTGATTGTTATTGTTTTTATAATAATAAAAACAATAACAACCAAATCAAAACAAATACATATACTAATTTGACTGCATCACCTGATTGTAACTGCCAAATTAGTATGTATTTCTTTTGATTTGATTGTTATTGTTTTTATAATAATAAAAACAATAACAACCAAATCAAAACAAATACATATACTAATTTGACAGTTACAATCAGGTGATCTTTTGTTTGCAATCCGAGTGACGTCAGAATATGTGGGAATAGCACACCTATGTTTTTTCCTTCCACCATGGACTAATGAGGTTTAAGGATTGAGAGAGAACAAGTAAAATTGCAATGCTTCAAACTTTGACTAATCAGCTGTATACCAATTTAATTGTTAACTATTAGTGCAATTCGTGGTTGGTACAATGAGTCGTTGCATCAATATCAGTGGCGATGAGAGGTTATAAACGAAAACATAACCTCTCTTAGAAGTTTTGAGTAGTATTATTAATTAAAAACTGGTCGTAGGTAAAGTATGCAACTCGCGTAAAAAGTGGTAACGACACTCGTAGAAGTTTTTAAGGCACTCGCCAAGGCTTATACTAGGTTTGTTAACACTATCTTTACGCGATCGTCGCGTAAACTACAATAACCTACCCGGGACTTATTGGACACTCTGTATATTGTGTTAATATTATACAATCAAGTTAGTTGTGAAATAAATTATTTTAGGTTTTAAAATGTGTCATAACGCAACCAGTTTAAATTTGCTAACATTTAAAATTTGTCACCACAAACCAAATTGCTTAAGACTCTCAAAACGCATAGAATGGTGTTTCAATTCTCTTTTTTACCTGAAAGAGTCTATGTTTTGGATTTTAAATCTCAAACCCACAACTCTATCACTACTACATATCTCAATTACAATCTTAACCACGACTCAAACTAACTCCCAAACATTTAACGGGTTAAGGGATTACAAATGTATTTGTATTATGATCACATAGAACTAAAATATCACATTTCAAAATTTCCATACAAAAAATACTAAAATATAATTCTAAACAACCATTACATAAGACAAGGGGCAAATCCCCCTGCGTTCCTCTTTGACCTCGTAAAAACCATGAATACGAGCACAAATCGCAATATACATAGCATTCCTTTGTTATCAATATACTGTACATTTCGATTGCTGTATCAATATGTTCCTCGAGATAAGCTATCACTAGGTTAAATTAAAATTGCATTTAATTTATTTAAAAGAAAATCCCCGAGCAATTATCAGATTAATACAGTTCAGCCTAAGAATGGATTCAGTAATAAAACTACGATTATTGCTAAATATGTAATTAAAACAGAATCTCATAAAAAGTTAGCTGAATAATTAACACAATGCTCTTATGATACAATCACTGATCTTCAACTTGTTTAATCAATTTCGGTATATTTCATATGGGTAAGTGTATTTTTACGACATCTTACAAGTATAAAAACCGATTTTACTCGTTGTAGCTGGAACAGTTAAGTTGTTCTCTTGGTTTAATTTGTATAAATCTGTTGTAGTTTTGTATAAATGTTGTATGGTAAACTTTAGTCTCACAACTACTGAGTAATACTATAACACTTTTAGTTTCAGATATACCTTCTGTAGGCTGGAGAAAATTTATCCAACGTATTGAAGCTCTGAGAATGGACCCAACATCAAAAAATCATTCTGCAGCTCAGTCACAACCAACGTTTCCTGGTAAGAAAAAAAAAACTTGTTGGTACTCGTAACTTGTAATAATATTTAAATGTGTAGAGATGTGTATAATAGGGAAAATCAGATCGTACTGTTATAGCTGAATAATTAACTGAACAAGTTGGCCATCCAAATATAGTTTTTTTTTTCAAATATTTCAATCCTATACATATAGTACATATTTTTTTTAAATTATGTGCATTTTTTACTGTGGATTAAATTTATACTTGCTGTGGATGCGAATGCAACTATTCGCATAGTGTTGGTCTTGGTAAACAACCACAGTAGTAGTTTTGTCAACATCAGATCAATTATGTATAACTATAAAAATATAATAAAACGTATAATTAAAATACAGGGAGTAGCAAAATTATCTGACGGGTTTCTTTACCGCCCTGTCAAGCAAGTGAGTGGTGAAAATAGGGATGTTACAAAGCCAACGTGCGGCCATTTTTAGTATCCATGGAGCTGTGGATCGCTCGGCACGATGTTTTATGACTTTTTAGTATTTGCCTTACATTAAAAAAAGACGTGTTAAAAATAAAAATAAAACTGATTTCAACATAGTTGGGTTTTGTTATTTTGAATTATAACATAAATATGTTATTCATGTAAAATTGTAATTTACATTATACATGTAAAATCGCACGAATAGCTAGCTATTCAACTTATTTTAGAAACATGTTTAATAAAATGTCAGTAACTTAGTAACTATTAACTGATTATTCTACGTTGTAGTAGTCTTCACCGGCGTCTTGAGTTTGTCCATTTCTATTTGAACAGGTGTTATTTCCACGATAGCAAAGTCCTTTGCAAGGTAAGCTTGATTTAACGCAACCATCTTTTTAAATTCTGTTCACTGGTCTATACCAAACGCAACAATAAAAAAAAACTTAATAATAATAAACCCAGGTAGGTTCATACCTGAGTTTACCTATATTTTACTGCGGTTTTCTTCACCAAAATGAATAACACATCTTATTTATAACTTGAGATATAGATCTTAATCAAAGACAATCCGTAAAAAATTGAAAAAACTAATGTTAGTGGAGGTCTACTCTACAACTCACCTTAGATTCTTTATATTTAAAAAAATTTTCTCAAATAATAGTTCTGAGTTGACGTAGTGTTTTTAGACCGGTATACTTAGCAGCTTAGAAATATGTCTTTAATTACAGAAGAATGTTAAGAAAAAACAAATTTTGTTTTACTTTTAAGCTTATAACTCGCCTCAAACACATCGGGTTTCAAATAAATAAATGTTTAAAACTCACTGAGTATTCTCATATCAAAATATACGATATCGCGTAAAAATAACTCGAAACACAATCGTTAACTAAAGATAAATAATTTAAAAAATATTTTTTTTTTTTTGGACGCCCACAACTCATATTCAACTCAACCAATTTTTATACTCTATGCTTTAAATTGAAGTCAGTAACTCGCCGAGTTTCTAGTATATAGAATTTAATATAACGTATATTATAACAGGAGATAATATCTTTAATTAAAGACAAATCTTGGGAAAACTGAAATGTCAGTTAAAATTCTATAAATCCCCTCAAACTCTATAGATTTGAATGACCAATACCTCAAATGAAAGCCAGTAGTTCGCTGAGTATTTTATTATCGAAAGATATAACATCCCACTATCAGTACTTGACGTAAAAATCTTTTATTCAAAATATTATACAAAAATTAAAATCTTTGTTGGTTGAAATCTTGTAGTTCGCTTCTGACTCGTTCAATTTCATTGATCTACATGTCAAATGAAAGCCAGTTGATAACCGAGTGTTCTTATTTCAATGCATACAACATATAATAATAATAACTCAATGGATTGAAAAAAATCTTTTCTTATCCAATAATTCAATAATCTTTTCTTTTTGGAAAAAAAATGTTTCTTTAGTGTGGAGATGAATAACTCGGTGTTTAAGTCCCAAAATGTAATTAGTTAAAACTTCAAATGAAATTCGGTAACTTTTCAAACATTTTAATAACAAAAACAGCCAGCGATGGTATTGGATGGTCTCAGGAAAGATGTCACAATTTTATTAAAAATATAAAATATCCTTTTTTTCTTTGAAAACCAATAAAATATGTATTTTCTAACGCTTTGTTTTGGCAGTACCCTTAATTGAGCAAAGCATCCAATAGATGTATTTATAGCCAAATCTAAAGGCCTACAACTTTTATTATATACATTGTGGTCATATTTTGAGTAATTAAGGCGTAAAATTGAAAAAAAGAAATATGTCATAATTTTTTTATAATTTTTAAACTTTGAAAAGTAATACTGACCTTTAAACAAATTATATATATTTAATGTATATGGTATTTCTGAGTACGGCATTTAAACATATACATTTGAAAATAACTCGCATTGCTATAGCTTAAATGTTTTTTTTTTAATACATCGTTTAAGTAATAGCTTACACTGTAATTCACGCCATTTTCCAAGATGGCGTCTGTTGCCCAAGGGTGCAAAAAGGTACCCGGTGGTTTTAGGGTCTCCTTCCCTTAGATATCACATATAAAAAAAAAACCTTTATATAACAAAACCAGGTTTGGGTCAATTCTGGCGGACTAAATTGTCACTTTTAAAAAAAGCTTCCACTACAAATGCATGGTGATCAGCTGTCCACAGGTCTATGGCTACTATAACTTTCCGCACGTAGGCTTTAAAACGCCCCTGTTCCTACCACCCTCTGCCATTAACTTGCTCGACAGGGTGGCAAAGAACTGTCAAATCATTTTCCAGCTCCCTGTATCCAAACACAAATTAATACAACTTCGGAAGATTATAAAAGTAAATCTTTTCAATACAGGACAACCACCTCCTTCTGAGGGTGGGTATGGCGACTGGCCTCCTTACCAGAACACCGCTAGCTACAACAACGCAGCTTCAACTACCTGGGAAAACTATCCTCAACAACACTACCGAGAGCAGTACCCATATACTCAACCTTACACAGATCCGGCTTCTAGACCACCACCTCGACGACAAGACCCATACTACGGGCCCCCAGTCAACCAAGCGCAAAGACCTGGCTACGAACATCAGCCGCAGCCCAGAGGCCTACAGGGCATGAATCAATACATGCAATTTGCGAGTCAACGGGGTGACCAATACGACCCGCATGGCAGACCGCTGCCTCCAAACGTGTCCATCAACCGAGCGTACAACGGCGCTGATATGGGATTCCAAAACCCGTACTTTGTTCGTGCTATGGATGAAAGTGCAGCATACATTAACAACCAGTCTGATCCGTATACTGCTAACCGCTCACGGGTCGGTTGGCCTGGGGACCACAGTGATAAGTTTCACAATAGGAAATATTTCATGCCTGATATGGGTGGCCAGCAAACTTACATTCCGAGGGACTTCACCGGCCAACCAGGAGACCACAGCGATAGAAATTACAATAGGTCAAATTTTCGTAATCCAAATCTTAACTACCGAGGTGATACGTTCAGTAATCAGCCTTTTCCGAGAGCACCTGCGGATCCTAACAATAGATCAATTAGGAGTTGGCAGAGTGGTACGAGGCCATTAGCTTCATCTGGACTTCAATCGGGACCATCTATTCCTACTGGTCCCAGCAATCAACAAGAAAACTCATTTGTAACAGATAAACCATCATATGCTGATTATAGCGGTGTTCCCAAGACCGACTCGTCCTGGCCAACAGGACCCTTTGAAAGAAAATCTGAACATGTAGAATCTAGTCAGCCGAACTTCCATGTTGAGCTGCCCGCAGAAAATTCATCAGTTGATCCTACAAGTGAAGAGGATTTTTAAATTATATTTAATTGTGATTCTCGTGTTTGATTTTCGTAGCAGGGTCAACCAATAAAACATAAATTCATTGAGAAATTAATGTCACTATGTGTTATTATAAAGGTATGAGGCCTTTACAGAGCTGTTTTTTTTAGTTCACGCTTATATGTGACTGAAATTAAAACTATTGTGTATTGTTTCATTCCAAACTTTTATTTAGGTAATTAAAATTGTGTGTTATAATTAGACGTGAGATGCGTATTACAACCAATAAGAAAGACCTGAGCATATGATAAGTGCTTAAAGTTTACGAGTATGTCAAGTCGAACAACCATTTTAGCAATTTGTGTAAGTAAAGATCAACGAATCCGTGTCGCTGAACCTTCTATAATTCCAAAAACTCTATATGTAAGATTTTTTTCATATTAGGTACATAAAAAAAAACATTTATCACAAAGTATGGATTTAGGTATTAGCAAATTTCCCTAAGTAGCCATTACCGTAAGTAACACGGTAAGACCTAGAGCCGGGGCCGATATACTATTTCATGTCTCTAGAGGCGAAAAACACTATTCGCTCAATTCGTATACATGGATATATAAATATATATATATATCGTCCGTGAACGCGATAACTTGAGTAAATTTTGTCCGATTTTGATGAAATTTGGCTTAAAGATGTCAGGCAGATTAACTTTGAAGAGTTCGTGAACCAGCATGATCGGACCACAGAAAGGAACCGTAGGGAGGGAGTTTCATAGGGGATTTTGGGGTAAAAATTGGGTTTTCTAATTTTGTACCCCCAAAACGAAAACTTTTTCTATTTCTCTTTGAACCATTTAAAAGAGGTTAAGAAATCAAATAATTTAGTATATGGAAGTGTTTTCTTAGGGTTATAGGTTACGGAAAAAAAATTATTAAATGGTATCAGCAATCTGCTCATTTTTTCTCCCAATAGCTTGTCATGTCATCAACCTTTAACATGGGTAGGCGTTACCTATGATAGTTTATAGGAACAATCACAAAAGTCGCAATAACTTTTAACCCGTAAATTTAACAGCAATGGTTATTTTGCACTATACTGTTTAGAACTATAATGACCTTAACATACTAATTTTAATCAAAACTGTCACTTTTTCTAAAATTAGATTTTTTGTTATTTTATGGGGTTTTAATTGGCAAATAATATAAGTTACAATAACCTTTGAACAATAATTTTTACAGCAATGGGAGTTATACCATTTTGTTCAGAATCTAAAGGGCTATAATATACTAAAGTTGTATCAAAATCGTTCTGGCCGTTTTAGAGAAAATCAGATTTTTCCGTTTTTAAGGCTTTTTATGGAAAATAACCATTATAAATTTAAATTTAAAAAAAAAGTGAAAAAAGCACCTGGAGATGCAATGAATTAGAACCTACATACCAAATTTCATCAAAATCAGACCTCAGTTGTGGTCTATAGCTCTGTACATATCCACACACACAGACATCACTTCGAAAACCACTTTTTTGGGCCCAGGAGGACCCAAAACGGATATATCCACTCAAACTGGAAACTTTTTCCGAAAACGGTACTTTCTCCGTAAAAAATGTCAATTTAAGATTCCCATGTTATTAATATGGAGAATAATTCAACAGTTGTAGCATATATGAAGTATTATATTACTTCATCTATGCTAGCACTTCATCTATGGTTGTAGTTTGCTTGTTTATGGATGTATTTTGATCAAACTTTATTACCCTCTCTGTAGAAGCAAACCTAGGTACTGGTTAAATCTAGTGTTTAAATAAATGTTTATTTAAATAGATTTAACAGAAAATTCAACTAGGCAAACGGAAATTCGCTTAGTCTGCAGGTTTGCTGTGGCGGGGGTATTTTTTCGTTATGACCTCCTTTTAAAATACATTTTTATTGTTTATTTTAATTAGTCAAAACAAAATATTAATGCATCGTAGACATGATAATCTTGATCTCAATTATTTAAGTACATTTGTTGAGTTCAAGATTATTGTTTTAGGTGTCACATACAAAAACGGGGATACAATATTATTTTTAGACGAGATAATATTTCATATGGGACATGTGGCAGATGTGTGCTGGATGTGTTAATTTTAAGATATAGTTTAAACAATTCAGTGACAGTCATTGCAATTGTTTTTTTTTTCATTCAGTGCGAAACTTATTAACCCCATTCAATCCTCGGTCAGTACGCGAGAAAAAGGCAGTAATAAGCAAGTACAAATAACTAAAGCAGGTAAAGAAATTATGTTTAAGAGGTTAGACAACCACTCACTCATTTATTATGATGAAACATAAGTAATGAATGACATTCTTGTTTTGGGTTTTTTTACACTGACGCGTTCATGCGTTTTTTTTTTTTTTATATATATCAAAACAAGAATATCAGTACTTTTGTTTCTTCATATTAAATGAGTGAGTGGTTGTTTAACCTCTTTAAAATAATTTGTAAGGTATGCAGCCCCTTTTATTGTAATATCAAGGTTATTGTTTTTTTTATAAATGATTACAATGATCACTGCCAACTATTTTTAGTGATTTAACAGTGTTACTAAAGATTGGACACTTTGGTTGTAAATAGTATCGCAATTATAATCTACATATCAAAATTAAAATAACATGGTTTTATTAAACTACTAGTAGCTTTTAGTGCTCTTCACCGTCATATGACCACAGTACCGTCACTGATTGTAGAACATTACTACTAGCTGGAGGGGGAAAACCTACTCAGTTATACAAAACCAGTAGTTTTATTGATTCTCTAACAGCAAAATAGATAACACATAGTTCTTCGATAGAGCTACGGTTATTGGACATGTTTCCGTGGAGAAAAGGCAACATTCACTACCTAAAGTTGTTCCGCAGAACTTTAAAAACCAGAGGCCAATATGAGTGAATGTGGACTACCTAACACAATTACGTACACTTTTAAAGTTATAATGTGCGGTGCAGTTAATATAAAAAAGGAATAGATCGATAAAATTGATAGTAAAGAGGCGGTTCACTTAAGAGAACATTTGAGTACGTATTCTTGTGAGAGGTTATTCGTAACGAATGAATGCATGATCAACTCGACTGAACAGTTACCAAATAACTTTTGACTAAAACTGTCATGGAAAGTGGTATTTTGTTAACTAGTTAACCATTTTATTGAATTAGTTTTATTACACATAATTAAAATAACTATTATGTATTTATTAGTTTTAAATCCGACTCATTCATCTGAATATGTTCACTGTCCAAGCAATTAATTCTGTTGTGTTCAGTAAAAATAATTAGGCTTCGTTTATTTAAATTAAATTAAATTAACAGGAAAAAGGCTATATGCAGATTAATAAATCTTATATTTTAATTCATATAAATAAAAATGACAAAAAAAGTTAAGTTTAAAGTTTAAAAGTTGTGGTTATTATAAAGAGACAATTATTTAAAAAAAGATTTTAAATCTTTAAAATGGAATGTCAAGGTTAAAAATGCCATAGTTTAACCATTCACAATATTAATGTAGCGTTGCAACGACAATGCTTACCTCAAAGTTGTAAGTTCATTTGACGAGTGCATGATTTTTTAGGTGTCATGTGGAAAAACTGAAGATAATAGTTATTTGTGCAACTAGTGAGAAAAGTAAGCAATTGACTCACTCGAGAGAAATCCTTACTCACGAGCCGTAGGCGAGTGAGGAATGGTTTCTCGAGTGAGGCAATTGTACTTTGAACTCGAGTTGCACATTATACTTTTCCTACAGTTACCATAAAACAAATAAATTGGTGAAGAAACATAACCTATTATTACACAGAAGTGAACTTTTAATATAACATTTAATGTGAAGTGACAAATACAACAGTACAACAGCTGACCAGCTGATTTACAGCCAGTGCTGCCAACGTACTTCGCGCGCATACGACGTTGCCTGCATGTTACGCGCTCAATATTTCGTGCCTTCACGTTGCAAATCTGGAGTGAGACAAAGTAATTAGAGTGAGACAATGTTAACATTGTCTCACTGGTGAGCGAATTGGCCACTTTGCTTTCTCAAATCAGTGAGAGAACATGTACATTGTTAGGTAACTGTAGGAAAATATAATTTGTGGTTCGAGATCAAAGTGTCTTTTTAATCCAACAAAATTGAAGCATGTCAACATTTTCCCCTCGTTTGATAATGTGCATTACTCACTTTTTACACAAATAACTATTTAAAACTAATTGAATGACACAAATAAATATAATTAATTTATGATGAAAATTACTCAAACACTTGAAAGTTTAGTTTGGGTATTTTTATATTTGGCCACTAAAAATAGATAGCAATTGTAAAACCCAATTGTGTATTTGGATTCCTGAAACAACACATTCTCCATTGAGAAATTAAGTATATTCGCATAATTCTTTATCTCTTTATATGATTATACATATTGTTATTCTGTACTTTATCGTTTGTACACGGGTTTATTTTATTTCTGTATCACAAACAGATAAACACCGTGAATGTTTGGAATAACAACAATCATTACTGTCATCTTAGAATAAATGATACGGAAATGAATTCTATTAAATGGTTAGCAAAGATTTGAGGAGATATCTACGAAGAAGTAAAATAGTAGCTTAGTTGTTTGTTTAGTACTCTCAATAATAGGTTTTAGTTGGAAACTAGGTCGGGAACTATCTACTGTATTAATAGTGATGACAGGTTTTTCTTATAGTTCAAAAGTGTATTCGTCTTGTGAAAAAAATAACATATAGAACCATTTACACTCTAAGACAAATTAAATTATTGGTATTGAAAAACGTGAAAATTATGTTTCTGCTCATCAGTAAATGGTAACATCCAACTGCGTGCTACAACCAATTAATGGGAGGTATTTTTTCAAAAGGTAAGAGTGGTTATCATAAACTATGTTACTCGGTCGTATAAAAAAATTAACTTAAACACGTATAAATCTAATGGGAAATGTCAATGTCATTGTTTAACACTATGGATACTTATGTTCTATTCGATTTCATTCGTTTTTTTTAAATATAAATAATCTACATTTGCTTTTTAACTTTATAGAATAGTATGTTTTAATAACGCTCTTAGTTATCAATTGGACTTACAAGTTTCTAGGAGTAATATAACTGGGTATATTGTAAGCATTAAAGGATTACTTTACTAACAAGTTTGGTAACCGTGATTCAGAAATGATTTTTTTCTTAGGTGATGTATCAAACAAGAGCGAAAATGGAGGTAGTCGTAGCGTTGAGCAAAACCAAAGTATTAAGACTAAAAGTGAAGAAAGTTTTATCAATAGAACTAAAAAGGCTCAAAGCACTTGTAAATCCAATCACTTAACAAGCCAACTTAGTCAAAATAATAATGCAATCGAAGAAGTAAAACTTAATCCTAACTTCTCTACAGCTAACGACCCAGAAACATATCTGTGTGGCTATACGAAATCAATTGTCGCCAATAGTACAGATACAAGTCTTAGAACTGAAAGAAATAATCATTACAAGGAAGATAATAATAATCCTACCGAAGCTTCTTTAAACATGAATGATAATATAGCTGAATCATTTCAACATGCAACATCCAAATGTAACAGTAAAGACAAAGAAGGTACAGTCAAAGTCAATAATGAAATGACAACAAATCAATGTATCGATGAACTACAAACTGAACCAGTTGCTGTTCCGTCTATATCCCGAACTATAAACTTAAGCGAAGATGTGGAAGAAAGGAAAGAGGAAATTGAGTCTAAAATCAATGAATCTAGTTCAAATTTGAATGTAGGTTACGAAGGTAGTTATGATTTAGATTTAAAAATGAATGTTGAATTGAGAGACAGTTTTGTTCAGAAAAATATGAAGAAAACTTTACTAAAAGCTCCCCCACCCTCTGAAGAGGTAGGTTCTGTTTTGGTAGAAAGAATAGTGCCAATCGGGAAAAAACAGAATTTAATTTCTTATTCCAAGACTCGGCCTAGTAGCTCATTTTATATTGCTCCGGCTTATGCCAGCCCTACGGAGGACGGAGAAACGTTGCCTCCATACAGTCACGAAGATAAGATGATGCAAACTACTGAATATGAAGTAGAGGATCTTTCGGCCCTTTCGGGTCCCCAGGATTGGTCCTCAGGACAAGTAGAGATGAAACCTACCTTTGGCGACAACGACTTTGTACCAGCCGCTGACTGGCTTGACATAGACTATAAATATAACAAATATTTTGAAAATGACCCAATAACAGGAGACTTCAATGATAGAAGAAGTAAGTACAATGCTTTTTTGGTCAACTTTTATAAATATATAATAGAGCTTTTGATCATAAATAGTAAAATATTATTTATTTTTCCCTCGATAAACACATGTCGAAGGAAGACTATAGATAATAAAAAAAACTTACAAAGTAAATTCCGACTTAAAAATGTGTGGGTCTATGAGGGTATAATTCTATATTCAATATTAGTTCATTTTGTCAAGAGCTGTTCAATAATGATTTTTGTTAAAAGCTAAGAGAGGATTTCTTAATCACACTACTTATAAGTAAGTAAGTAAGTTTGACTAGAATTGTTTTTTTAATATGATAGCATATGAAAGTAAATGTTTAAATTTCTTTAAAGGTGTGCTAGTTTAATAGGCCTAAGTTTTAATCATATTTCCTGAACCAATCTCATATTAAACTATACAGCCCGATGTGTAACTGACTCACTCAATCAATGGGGATACAAATGTTTACCCACTTCCAGGATACCTAGAGATCTGAAATTTTGCACGATTGTAGGTCTTGGTCCCATTTTATCTAAAGTCCCATTCTTATATTTTACCCCCTCCCCCCGAAAAAAAATGGCGGAAATATGAAAACGACAATACACGATTTTAGCGAATTTCCCATTTAGGGAATAAGCTATTACCGTAGTACTCGTGGTAAGACCTGGACCTGGGACCGATTTAATTTTTTTTTGAGGTCCCTAGAGGCCAAAAACACCTTCTGTTCAAATTCATAATCGAGCAAAAATGATCCGATTTTGATGAAATTTGGTATAAACGTGCAAATCTTCATTTATTCGAACGAGTTGGCAAACCAGCATGATCGGACTATGGGAACGGGGGTTTATAAATAGTTTTATGGTGTAAAAATATGTTTTTCTCATTTTTGACCCAAAATACATTAGAAATTTAGCAATTTCTTTCCAAACCATTTTTGTAGAGCTTAAAAAACAAATAATTGAGTATATTAAAGCTTTATTTTTTGCCTAATGGTTATAGAGAAAATTCCAAAAAGTTTTAAATTTAAAATTCCCATGTTATTCTTATGAAGAATAAGTAAACTCGTTAAATTAATTCCATTTAAATAGGGAATAGATGTGATATTTTTAAGGAGACATTTTAGAGTACATACAATCAGACAAATGGAAATTCGCTTAATCTGTTGGTTTGCTGCGGCGGGGGTATTTTTAAAAGGCTATAGCTTGAAAACAGTAAGAGCTAGAAACGATTTGAAAGCATTTTCATAGTCAGGAATTAAATATTCTACAAAACGTTTTCAGAAAATCACACCCCTTCACCTCCCAAAAACGCCCTACTTTCAAAAATTCGCTTTTATGTTTACTGGTTTTTGCAATTTTGTTCTACCTAGGTAATATATTTTGCAAATGTTATTAATGCTTTGTACTCTCCTTAGTTTGACCTTAAAATTCAACTCGGTAAATGTTTTTCGTAACATTACTCCTTGATCCATAAAATTTAAGTTTAATGTCGGGATTTGGTATATTTCCCCACTTTTACGAGGTTAAATCAGATTCTTTACCTATATAATAAACCCCCCCCCCCCTACATATCATATTTTAAATATATAACCCCCAAACAAATAATTAAACCCCCGCGACAGTTCATGAACCACTGTCTGTCATAGTGGTAAAGACTTCAAATATTTTACAGTTACTAGTCTTCATTTTAAACGATAAGTGTATAACATTTTCACCCATCCTCCAAATGTCCCCTCCCCCCTAGTATTTTTGTATACAAAACACTTCAGTTGTATTAGACTACAGTGGTTAGAATTGTACTACCTTAATATTATTGTATTAGTTTACTAAGTAAAACAATTGATCAGTAATAGATTTTCTCCGATGATATTTCCAACGAACCCCCAACAAAAAAGGTGGCTTGGGGTGAGTTTCACTATATCATTACTTCGTTTTAGCGAATTTCCATATAGGGAAGTAGCTTTTAAGCATGGTAAAATCTAGACCCGGGAACCATATACTTTTTCATTTGAATGTCCCTAGATGCCAAAAACACAATTCGTTCAAATTGTTATTTACAGTCCGTGTTATATATATATATCCGTGTATCATATATATATATATATAGATATATCCGTGTTGTTATATATGTATGTCCGTGGAGTAATATTTGTCGGATGTTTTTTTTTAATTTGGCTTAAAGTTGTTGGGTGGGATAAATTGAATAAGTTCGCGCACCAGCCACCGGACTATGGGAACGGGGTGTTATGGGGGGTTTTATGTGGTAAAAATTGGATTTTCTCATTTTGGAACTTTAAAACATAATACTGTACTTTCAAATTTCTCTTTAAATATTTTTAAAGACCTTAAAACCCCAAATAATGTAGTATATTGAAGTGTTATTCTACAATAATTGGTTAAGGAAAAAAATCGATAAATTGTAAATTTAAAATGTCCATGTTATTCTTTCGGAGAGTAAGTAAACTGTTATAGTTTGCTTGTTTATGGATATATTTTGACCAAACTTGAAAATTTTATTTATTTTACACTAATCTATTAATATTTTACTAAAGGCACACTTTATTACCCTCCCGGAGCAGCAAACCTAAGTGCGTGTAAACCTAATAGTATTTAATTAGATTTAATTGAAAATCAAATCAGGCAAATAAAATTGAAACACAATATAAATTTTCTTGAAGGATGTCTGTTTCTGTTTTAGGAGATGACCATCTCCAAAAGTTATTAATTTTTTGAATTGCAACATACAAGAATTTCTACAACATAGGCTACTGTTTTTTCTTGCTATGTAATAATTCTAATAACTATAAGGAATTTATAGACAATTATTACTATATTTTACTAATCAAGGCAGTAACTCAGTCAAAGTGGTCTTATGTCACAAGCTGGTTGAATGTTACAGAAAAATTTAACCTTGACGATTATAAAATTAATATAAACCCCGAAGAAGAAAAGATATACCTAAAGATCCTTGAAACTATCGACGACACGCCGAATTTAGGGAAGGATCCTGAAACCTTCAACGCTTGCTGGCTGAAGGAAACTATTTTGAGAATCTTAGAGCGCAGTGGAAAGTATAATACCAAATACTACGACGAACAAGGTAGGATATTCGTATATTTAAAGCTTAAGCCTTAAGAAAAGAGTATAATTATTAATTTAAACAAAGGCACTAATAATTTAATAATTCAACGAATACTATGTGTATTTATTCAGTACAAAAATATTATACTCAAGGAATATATTATACCATTCCTATAGTATTATATATTATATATTATAATATATAATACTATATTATATTATTATATTATACTATATTATACTCAGGACAGATACAATATACTAAAGGAAAATATTATACTCAACCAGCCCAAAATACACAAACTTTGAATGTAACGTGTTATTTTGTAATACTGTATATTCAAATGTTTGTTTTAATTACTAATACAGTAGTATAAATAAATAAACAATGCCTTTGGGAGCGGCTGGCCAAGTGGTAGAATGCAGGACATAGACCACCAAGCTCATGGCACAGACTATAGAATATTCTATAGTGTGTGCTCACGGGTTCAAATCCCGCCAATACCCCTTTTAGAATTCATTCAAGTGATATTATGATAGTGCCACGGCTATCTAGGTCTAAGGTAGGTCGCACAATATTATTGAACTGCATGGTTGCTCTTCAATAAGATTGCAAAATTTATTGCTCAATAAATATTAACCGTGTATGGGCCCCTTATCGTTTCATTGTCTAAACAAAATTTCCGATACTTGTTCCATTTACTCCCAAAGAAATAATTACTTTCACGTGGTCGGCTTCACCGACGATTGACATTTGGTGTTCATGTGTGGGACAAAGCAGAACCCCGGAAATGTTCACATTCGGTATTTGCAATTACAGTGAACTATAATGAAGTAAACAATTATAATGGGTTTAATCACCGCCCTTATCATTACTTCTTAAACACAAATTAATTTCCTTTGAATCAATATTGTGTGTCCACTAGGATCCTTAGTTATCAAAAACAATCAAGTCAAACAAAATTTTGAAAATACAGAGTTATGACATTCGTTAAAATGTAAATACGTTAAATGGCAATTTCTGTTAAGAAACCTAATGTCGGTATTACAGTAAGAAATAATAACAATTATGATTTTTGGTAATATATGTAATATAATTTAATTTTAAATGTTAACCAACTGTTTTAAATTTGTAAACTTACAAAGGCTTCTGAATTGAGCACAAAGACGTTTTCCAAATATTTGAAATGTAATCCAAAGCATAGCACTAAAATCACAAAACATTTTTTATAAGTTTTTTTATTTATTAAACTATATCTGTATTTAAAGACTTAACATGCTTAACACTTAACAATGTAGAATATTGATAACTTTATTAGTAAATTGACTGTATATAAGTTACAGAAAATGCCTTCTGAGACCTAGAATAATTTATTTATACCTAAATACTTAATTATTAATTTTAAACGTGGATTTTAGGAAACGAATACTCCCTTAGAAGCTCTAGGCCTAGTTATGCGTTAGCAGATTGGGCGAAAGACTATTTATCCACTGTAAAACCGGAACAGAAAAAAAAAAACGCCACATCGGAAAAAAAGGTTGAAAGTGATTATTATGTGAATTTTGAACCTGTAAATAAGCGAATGAACCAAAAAATCAAATCTTCGAGTAAACCAAAACCACAACCGCCAACAACTTTTAAAAATCAATTTAAAAAAGATAGTACCAAAGGAGAAGAAAACCTTGAAATAAGTCCAAAACGTGATAAAAAATTGAATATAATTCCGAAAGAACGACAAACTGAGATATACAACTTGCTATCAACTAATCAAGGAACAGCACAAGTAATGGAGTCCCTTTTGACTCCACAGAACCAAATGAAGATATTGGAAGAGTTAGCGAAACCAACACCTGTTCCTAGTAAGCAGCCTTATACAGAAAAAGGTGGGGAATTAAACGCTAATGATTCCCAAGAACCAGACTTAGAAAATATTTTTGAAATTCTCATGGGAGATAATATAAAAGAAAAAAAGGCAATATACGACATGATGAAAACTCCCGTAGGAAAGGAAACTGTTTACGAAGCACTATGTCGTGTAGGAAGTGAGAAGTATCCAGAGTTGTATGAAAGTTACGACGAAGATGAAGATGTTTATGCTGGTCGTAAATCGTTTAGTGAAACAAAAAAAGAGAACAAACTACAATATGGTGATAAAAAGAAAAAAGAAAAGAGGAAAATTGTAATTCAAACCCCTCCATATCCAGACGATGTTCCATATCAATTGGGCCCGGAGGAGATGGAAATGGACGAGGAAAATCAATACGATCCTAATGACATTGAAAATAATCCAGAGAAACAGCAACACGTTTTGGACATGTTAAAATTAAGTTACATTTTGAATCCCCAGAACGAGGAACTACCCGACTCAGACCCAATGCCAAAACCGACGCAATCTCAGACAAACTACAATAATATTGACGCTATTTTATCCACATTAGATGGTAAACATGAAATATACAACATGTTGAAAACACCGGATGGTAGAGATAAGGTCTTAGATGCATTGTGCCGTATAGGGAAAACACAAAATCCAAAATCTTATCAGCCATAATAAGTAAAAGTTATATGACCAATGCATTTCGAGCTAATGGGAACTTATAAAATAATCAACCGAAATTAAAAAGATCAGTTTCTTTTGAACTTGAACTATTTGCTTACATCAGCAGTTGAATGTATTTCCTACTCTATTCAATAATAATCTCGCTCGTTAAGTGTAGAGTAATTATTGAACGGACTAGCATATAATTAAAATTATAAAGTCTTAACAAAGGACCAAATCCGTTTTCATCCAACAGATTTGAATTCCACATAAATATATTGCATGTGTTTATTCTAACCTTTTGTTTATAGTTCGTCCGATTATTAGTGCTTGGGAATGTTTAAATTAATCAACCTATTTACTCAAGTATAATGATGTTTTACCACGTAATACTGTGAATTATTGCCGATAAATGAATAAAAACATCAGATTAACTTTAATAACCGCTTTTGTAATTCACCATAACCTCGACTTAAATAGTTCCCGTTGTTAACGTCTACCTTAGGAATATAAATATAGTGTGGATGTAATCAAACTGATTTTTAAAATTTATTTACAGTTAAGTTGCTTTGGTTATGGCAAACAATTATTTAAAATAAAAACTTGTAATGTCTTTTAAATGCCTACACCGCTAGGCACTGTAATGTACAAACTACTAAAATACTTGAGAGCTTTTGATAAGAATTCCACTAACCAACGAATGATAACGCCAAATAGATTAGATCAGTTGCATCGGTCAGCCCGTCATGAACATTTGGTTAAGAAGTGCTAGAACTCTAAAATGTTAGAACAAGAATACATCGATCTGAATGACGATTATTCAGGGAATATAACTAACTACTACCCATCAAATGCAGTAGGTTTGTCTCAAAACAGCAATCATCAATCCACTGACCGAAGCAAAAGCTTGAACTTTGGAAAGTCATGGATAGCAAATCACATAAGCAAAGATTCAATTTATAAGAAAAAGAACCGTTGGGGAACTAAGAAGCTGACTCATTTTATTGATACAATGTTAACCTATGATTTTAAACATGGGTAAGTAATTACCAGGTACTTAGACATTATAGTTAATTTGTTAGTTAACACTAGGTTGTTTTCTATTTTTACCATAATAATTAATTTTACTAATACAACGCTAAAATAAAAAACAATAAAAACGTAAAACACTTACATGTCCAGTTAAAAAATATATTGTATGAATATTATTATTTAGACTCAATTATTTTGGCTTCTCGTAGCTATTAGCTATCCATTCTTAATTGCAAACTCTGAGGAAAAAGTTTAAACAACAAAAAGTGAACGCTATTGGTTAAGGTTATTATTAAATATTTTATGTTAATTATAAGCATACAATGATTATTATCAAGCTTCTACATGCTTTAAAATCGAAACAGTTGCTCCAAATATTTAATACATATTGCTGTATAAGCCACGACTTCAACATGAAATTTGTTATGGCCGAGTAATCGCATGAATAACGTCACAAATAAGTATTTTATACTTGATTTTGCTAACGTTTATGAATCCTCAAACTGACATATTATGTCTATTCTTGACCATGTATATATTTTTATCACGTGGCAACTGCCTAAAATCATTGATGTTGGTATTGTCAGCTTACCAACAATCTTAGGTTAACCAGTCATAAATTAACAAAAGAGGCAAATATTTTATTCATTCTTAAATCGGTAAAAAAGCATAACTGGTCTTCACTATAAACTTACCAAGCAGGTTTGGCTGTCATTTGCAATACTGTCACATTTAAATATCCTGATAAGGGTAAAAAGTTTAAGATGTTATAAATCTAAGCTTATTTAGCAGTTAAAAACTTGTAAAACCCTTATAAATTAAAACTACATATCTCACAAATTGTATTTCTCAATGCGGATTTCATTTTTATTATGTTTTAATTTCGTACTTATAATTATTTTATTTTAATCCAAAAACCTAATCTTGTTCTTGAATATGTAGCCTAAAAACTGCAAGTCATAATTTCAATGTGCCTAGGACTGAAGGAATGAAGAATTTAGGATCATCCAACCAAAAGTCGGGTAAGGAAATTATAATTTTACAGAACTATTCTTCTGATTAATCTAATTTAAATGTGATTTGTTTAATTGCTGGGTCAACTTTCAATTTTCTTTTGTCAAAAGAATATTTTAATTTATTTATATTTCAAAACTTGAAATTAATAATATCATTGAGCGGAGTGAGCGAAGCGAGCGAAGCTCTTATACGTCGACTCTTATGCATTTCGTAATACGCAAACTCCTCCTAGACGGCTGAATCAATCGTTTTCAAATTTTGCATGGTGATAAAGACCGTATCGGTGAGTGCCAACATCCATTTGGCGTTAAACAATTCTCTCAGGAATCCACCCCACTGGGTCTCAAAGTTTCAATGTAATCCTTATGGAAGCAGTATTTGACACATAAACCAAGACATGTGATCAGCTGTTGACTTTTGAATGCAGTAGATAAATAAATAGCTGATAACATTATTCTACAGATATTAGAACAGAAACGGTATGGATCATAAATATAATAAAATGACGACACTAGTTAGTACTAAAGGTGAGCAGTCTGGAGTGTGGAAACTGTTTATGACGATTAGATTTAGGTATCTGCATTCCAAAAACTATAAGGCAAGGGAGGAAAACGGGCCCGCGACGTAGGAAGTGATGAAGGAAGTAGTCAAGACGAGCTGTCCGGAGTGTGGGATCTGCTTATGACCATTATATTAAGGTATTTGCAATCCTATGATGCTATGGGAAGGGAGGAAACCAGGACCGTGACTTAGGAAGTGGTGAAGGAAGTAGTAAAGACGAGCAGTCCGGAGTGTGGGAACTGTATATGACGATTAGATTAAGGTATCTGCAATCATAATATGCTATGGGAAGGGAGGATAACGGGTCCGCGACGTAGGAAGTGATGAAGGAAGTAGTCAAGGCTAGCTGTCCGGAGTGTGGGAACTGTTTATGACGATTAGATTAAGGTATCTGCAATCATAAAATGCTATGGAAAGGGAGGTAAACAGGTCCGTGACGTAGGAAGTGGTGAAGGAAGTAGTAAATGCGAGCAGTCCGGAGTGTGGGAACTGTTTATGACCATTATATTAAGGTATTTGCAATCCTAAGATGCTATGGGAAGGGAGGAAAACGGGTCCGGGACGTAGGAAGTGATGAAGGAAGTAGTCAAGGCGAGCTGTCCGAAGTGTGGGAACTGTTTATGACGATTAGGGCAAGGTATCTGCAATCCTAAAATGCTATGGGAAGGGAGGTAAACAGGTCCGTGACGTAGGAAGTGGTAGAGAAAGTAGTATAGGTGAGCAGTCTGGAATGTGGGAACTGTTCATGACGATTAGATTAAGATATCAACAAACATAAAATGCTATGGAAAGGGAGGTAAACAGGTCCGTGACGTAGGAAGTGGTGAAGGAAGTAGTAAATGCGAGCAGTCCGGAGTGTGGGAACTGTTTATGACCATTATATTAAGGTATTTGCAATCCTATGATGCTATGGGAAGGGAGGAAAACGGGCCCGCGACGTAGGAAGTGATGAAGGAAGTAGTCAAGGCGAGCTGTCCGGAATGTGGGATCTGCTTATGACCATTATATTAAGGTATTTGCAATCCTATGATGCTATGGGAAGGGAGGAAACCAGGACCGTGACTTAGGAAGTGGTGAAGGAAGTAGTAAAGACGAGCAGTCCGGAGGGTGGGAACTGTTTATGACGATTAGATTAAGGTATCTGCATTCATAATATGATATGGGAAGGGAGGATAACGGGTCCGCGACGTAGGAAGTGATGAAGGAAGTAGTCAAGGCTAGCTGTCCGGAGTGTGGGAACTGTTTATGACGATTAGATTAAGGTATCTGCAATCATAAAATGCTATGGAAAGGGAGGTAAACAGGTCCGTGACGTAGGAAGTGGTGAAGGAAGTAGTAAATGCGAGCAGTCCGGAGTGTGGGAACTGTTTATGACCATTATATTAAGGTATTTGCAATCCTATGATGCTATGGGAAGGGAGGAAAACGGGTCCGGGACGTAGGAAGTGATGAAGGAAGTAGTCAAGGCAAGCTGTCCGAAGTGTGGGAACTGTTTATGACAATTAGGTCAAGGTAACTGCAATCCTAAAATGCTATGGGAAGGGAGGTAAACAGGTCCGTGACGTAGGAAGTGGTAGAGAAAGTATAGGTAAAAAAGAAAGTAGTATAGAAAGTAGTATAGGTGAGCAGTCTTGAGTGTGGGAACTGTTCATGACGATTAGATTAAGATATCAACAAACATAAAATGCTATGGGAAGGGAGGAAAAAGGGTCCGTGACGTAGGAATGATGAAGGATGTAGTCAAGGCGAGCTGTCCGGAGTGTGGGAACTGTTTATGACGATTAGATTAAGGTATCTGCAATCATAAAATGCTATGGAAAGGGAGGGAAACAGGTCCGTGGCGTAGGAAGTGGTGAAGGAAGTAGTAAAGGCGAGCAGTCTGGAATGTGGGAACTGTTCATGACAATTAGGTCAAGGTATCAACAAACATAAAATGCTATGGGAAGGAAGGAAAACGGGTCCGCGACGTAGGAAGTGATGAAGGAAGTAGTCAAAGCGAGCTGTCCGAAGTGTGGGAACTGTTTATGACGATATTAAGGTATCTGCAATTATAAAATGCTATGGGAAGGGAGGAAAACGGGTCCGCGACGTAGGAAGTAATGAAGGAAGTGGTCAAGGCGAGCTGTCCGGAGTGTGGGAACTGTTTATGACGATTAGATCAAGGTATCTGCAATCCTAATATGCTATGGGAAGGGAGGTCACAGGTCTGTGACGTAGGAAGTGGCAAAGAAAGTAGTAAATGCGAGCAGTCTGGAGTGTGGGAACTGTTGATGACGATTAGATTATGGAATCTGCAATTTTAAAATGCTATGGGAAAGGAGGAAAACGGGTCCGCGACGTAGGAAGTAATGAAGGAAGTGGTCAAGGCGAGCTGTCCGGAGTGTGGGAACTGTTTATGACGATTAGATAAAGGTATCTGCAATCCTAATATGCTATGGGAAGGGAGGTCACAGGTCTGTGACGTAGGAAGTGGCAAAGAAAGTAGTAAATGCGAGCAGTCTGGAGTGTGGGAACTGTTGATGACGATTAGATTATGGAATCTGCAATTTTAAAATGCTATGGGAAGGGAGAAAAAAGGTCCGTGACGTAGGAAGTGATGAAGGAAGTAGTCAAGGCGAGCTGTCCGGAGTGTGGGGACTGTTTATGACGATTAGATAAAGGTATCTGCAATCATAAAATGCTATGGAAAGGGAGGTAAACAGGTCCGTGACGTAGGAAGTGGTGAAGGAAGTAGTAAATGCGAGCAGTCCGGAGTGTGGGAACTGTTTATGATTATTATTTTAAGGTATTTGCAATCCTATGATGCTATGGGAAGGGAGGAAAACAGGTCCACGACGTAGGAAGTGGAAAAGGAAGTAGTCAGGGCAAGCTGTCCGGAGTGTGGGAACTGTTTATGACGATTAGGTCAAGGTATATGCAATCCTAAAATGCTATGGGAAGGGAGGTAAACCGGTCCGTGACGTAAGAAGAGGTGAAGGAAGTAGTAAGGTGAGCAGTGTGGAGTGTGGGAACTGGAAACCGTTTGTAGCGGTTAGATTAATGTATCTGCAATGCTGAAATGCTATGAGAAGGGATGGAAGCATCCCCACGACATAGAAAATGGTGAAAGAAGTAGTAAAGGCTAGCAGTGCGGAGTGTGGGGAATGTTTGTGACAACTAGATTAATATATCTAAAATACTAAATTGCTATGGAAAGTGATGAAAACAGGTCCACGATGTAGGAAATGGCTTAGAAAGTAGTAAAGTATGAGCATAGTGTGAAAACCGTCTATGGCAGTTAGATTGATGCATATTTAATCCAAAAATGCTATGAGAAGGGAAGGAAACAAGTCTATGACGTAGGAAATGCTGAAGGAAATAGTAAGGCTTGCAGTGCAGAGTGTGGGAACTGTCTTTGGCAATTACATTAATGTATCTGCAATCCTAAAATGCTATGGGAAGAGAGGGAAATAGGTCCACGACGTAGGGGGTGGTGAGGAAGTAGTAAAGGTGAGCGTGTTGAGTGTGGGAATGGATTAATTTATCTGCAATGCTAAAAAACTATGGGAAGAGACTGTAGACTGTAGGTTAAAATAGTTACGAAGCACGAATCGATACATATTTTGATACATGCAATCGTTTATAATAGTAATTTACAACTGAGTTGACAACAGCTGATTTTTACTCCACTTCCTAAAGAGTAAAAATGCTACTTTAGACCCGCAACGCATGCATTACAAACGACTGGTATTACTGCAGTATGACCAAAACAATATAATATAAACCCTTGATGACTCCGCTCAATTTTGTGGATGCCTCTGCGAACGCCACCTAGTTATTTTACTTTGAAGTATAGCTAGTTGACAAAGTTGGTTGTTGACAATATTGATTGATTGTTAAACCAACCTCAATGACATTAAATATCGCATGGTTTACTGTATGCATGAAGCAACGAAACCTTGTAATAATAGGTGTTGATCAACAAAATCCAAGCTTAAAATTTGTTTTCTATTATTTAATGTTAATTAATTTGTACTAAAGGGTTTTAAGCGATTTTGAATGTAAAAATTTTTCAGGCACAACTATTTCATAAAATGTGTATACGCTAAGATGACCAGATACAGATTTAAGTTTTTGTTTTATACAGAACCGTCGGACAACAGTTCAAGAGAAACCAAGGAAAGCCTCCCCTCGATGAAAAAGACTGAAAAGGAGTAAGTGTTAAGCATTAAAATGGTATTTCTATATAAACCAAAATAAATATCTGCTAAGGAACATTCATACGCCCTGTAGTGCACTTTATCATAATTTAAAAGTTGAACACAAGAAAATAGCTCCGTGTTATGGTAACTCAATACAGTAATGGAATACTATAGCCTCTCTCAAAGAAAACCCATTATGTTTCAGAACGACGCTTCACGCAGTGGACACCATATCATGTAAGCAATCCTTCCCTAGAGAACTAACGATGGTTTCCTTAGCACCTAATAAAGATCCAAGCATATCAAGAAACTACTCATTATGCTTGTTTAAAAATGATTCGTTATGATTTCACATTTGTTTCTGATGTCAACTAAAACGTTTAACCAAACCCCCTTAACGATATTCTTAAAAAATAAAACTAATCTTACTACACCAGGGTAACTACGTATCTGGACAAGGAACTGAAATTCTAAATATATTTGTTTGTGTCAAATTCATCTTAGTTTGTCATAAGGTCGGATGGAGAGCAACTTGTCTATGACCTATTCCACTTTTGAAGGTTGAATAAATTGTCTATCTATAAGATTATAGAGAACATTTTTTTTTTGTTTTAGGTTTTATTGATGACAAACTAGTTTCATATCCTCAGAATTTAGACATTTTATGATTAAAGTTTGTGCAAGAGTATTCTGAAACTTTAATTTTTCTTAAACTTTCTAACTACTTTGAAGGCAAGAGAGTTTTTGAAAAAAAGTCTTGGTCCAATCTAGCCCATCTAGTAAATTATGACCAAAATTTCATGACAAGTCTGATTTTATAAAAAATACACATGACTTAACAATCATTTCAAGTCTAGAAAATATATATTATAATTTGTGGTATACCGAATTGTTGATATAAAGTTTGTACAACTACTGTACTTCAACACTGAAGTAAGAATTCGAGATTACAGATATAGAAAACATTGAACTAAGTATAGCGTCTTGCCATTGTACACTTTCATATATTTTCAATTTGTTTAGGGAAACCCAAAAACAATACGGATCACAAATACATGAAAGAAAACATGCCTAACGAATTAAATTTAATCGACAGTGCTGAAGTTCAAACAGAGAGAGAGGCAAAAAACACAGAACAACGATTGGAGGAATGTAAGTATAAATAATAATAATAATAATAATAATAATAATCTAAACACATCAACGCGTTCAATTTAGAAATATTTTTAGTTTAAAACTAACTGATAAAACAGGTTTTCAATTATAACATTTAAAGTTTCAAGGATTAGTGTAAAATGGATAGTGTAATACCGATGATTACGAACCACTATAAGAAGCGAAACCTTGTGGGCCAAAAGGTTTGTATTGTGGTATATAGTTGTTTGTATTCATTTGTAATACACATCAAATACAATTTCAGTACTTTAATGGTTTGTCTAAAACTTGTAAATGTTTGTGGAATTTTCACATGTGCTTTTGTAGTAAATTAGAGTTAGATAAGGCTTGCACAAGTAATCACGCGTATTTGGACAAATCACTGACTGGGTGAAAGTATTGCTTTCACACTAATGAACTAAAAAGGTATATCCTAATTTCTATCATATCCTAAATTCTAGAAAAGACCGTAAACAGAAGTTGGCTTTACAGTTAATTAAATTTAATGTATAATAATTAAATATTACGTTACTAGTCCGGAAGTTAGGTGTTTACCGGCCGAGTAGACCTATGTACCTAAGGTAAACACAATATGACACAAACAAAATTACGAAAAGTACAAAAAGAAACATTGACACAATTGAAAACAGGCCAACTCTAACCAAAGTTGACCAACAGCATAGGTACCAAATACTTTTTTTTGTACTTTTCGTAATTTTGTTCGTGCCGTATTGTGTTTACCCTTTGACGATTTTTACAACTGATCAACTCTACAAGTGCCTGAAGGTGACGATGGTGTTTTATCACAGAAACATGTCCTAATTTGACAAATTTTGTTGAGCTGTGACGGGATTACGTAAGCAATTTACTATATGAATTTAACATGTTCTCCCTGGTTTCCTACGCAGATCTGTCCCTTGCATCTATACAATCGTATTTCGCATTATAAACGTAGGGGAAAAACGTATTTATCTATCTGTTCTTTGGTATATTATTTTTTGTTAACTTAAATAATCAAAGATCCATTTGTGGTATAAACTTGAACAATTCACCGGTTTGTTGAAAAATTAAATTAAATGAAATGCAATGTTTATAGCACACATTGTTTAAAGCGTAGATAAAACAAAATATTTAATAAAAGTTCTGGAACTATTTTGAATGATGACAATGAGAAAACGAACACCCTATTCTGCATCAATGTGCCATATTATAGTGAGTGCGGTAAAAATATCAGTGGGTCCTTCCAAAGGCCTGAATTTTTTTAGATGAAATCTTATCTTTCGTCTCCAGAAGTCAGGATACAGGACGGAAATAGTGTTTTACCCTTTTTTTACAAAATGGCGTCCGAAATCGCAGGTCACTGGTAAACTGGCCGGCCCGCGTAATGAAGTTTATGAACGTTCCCACAAACACTTTTTTTACACTAAAAATGTTAAATAGCACTATAACTAATATTTACAATTATTTATGTCCCTTTTCCTTCCCAACCATTGTTTATTTCAATCACAGTGAATCATGAAACTACTGCTGATAACAATGTGGTATTTGGGAGTGGATTTTTATTAAAAGTCACATAAAATAAATTTAAAAACAATGAAATATATAATTGTGTCTTATATAAAGCAAAAACACAAAAGAAATCCGTCAATAAATGTCCAAAGTCAATAAATTGTACAAGCGGGAATTGCGGGCGAAACCTACAAACCTTTCAAAGCAACTTGAAAAATGGATGCTTATCCATACTCGATTTCCTTACTCGGATGGTCGACTACTGCTCAGCCTTACTTCCCTGGCTCCGACGTTTTACCCGCACACTGCACCGGCCTTCTCCGTTCGACACCGACCATGATACGTCACAACCTCATGTTCACCAGCCTAGCGTTGCTTTCAGTATACGCTATATGTACACGGTCTGCTGTACATAATTATAATAATTTTATGATAATTTATGATAATGATATTTTTTCGAAATGGTTGTACAAATGTTCATACGTCCACACTACCTCTCCCAACTTCTCATCAAAACACCTGGGCTTGGTTTGATTACAAATGTCAAAAGAAACAAGATAGAAGACGCCAAAACAAACAACACTACGTGCGGACAACGTCTGCTGGAGGGAGACGATTCGATGCCGAATTGCTCCGTACAGGGCACGAGGAGCCGGACCAGTGTGATAGTGCGCGGCGTCTCATTATATTACGTGTATTTTAACATGTTAAAAAGGCCGTAGTCGACCGTGGTTTATATAACGCTAGCAACACACTCGCAATAACTCCGGTGCTTTCAACAAGGTTCGCCAGACGCCACACTAGGATCTTGGCGGCTACATGTTACCGGGCCGACCTAAGCGCACGTCCGGTGGCCGGTCCTCGGTGACCGGCCCGCACCCAACGTGTTAACCAAACATATTATGTTAAATGAATCTAATTTTCTTAAAGTTATGTTGGTTGAAATTATAATATTTTATGTAGGCTATCATTCCTTTAGTTGTACAGATCTTTTGCTATTATATTGTCGGTGAACATTCAAAGTAGATGCCTTAGATCTTAGAGGCATTATTGCTGAAGCTTTCTAACTCATGGTTATGCTAATGCATAACCATGAGTTAGAAAGCTTCAGCAATAATGTAAAAGACACAACTTGAATTGTACCTCTCATCAATACGCTATTTAGCATAGTTATATATATTTACGTAATTATTTTTTGTCAGTATATTTATAACAAACATAACACGTAAATCCATTGTTTATTTAAACGTGTATCGAATATCATGCTAATACTAAATGAATTTTAGCTGTATGACTATTTAAATAACCGTATTATAGATATTACAGAAACATGGGAAAAATATCGAAAACGATTTGAACACCTTGGCGAAAAGAATCCTTTTGCTTCTGACCCTCCTACTCCGGACTTTTTGTTAAGTGAGTATTTTGACATCAGCCATTAAACGTACTAATGCAGATTGTTAACCATACAACGCAGGATCGTCTTCAAATGGTCCAAAATCGTTTGGTCCAACGTTTATATTGCCGTTCGTTTGGTCCAAAATCGTTTGGTCCAACAGTTAAACACTCGTTCGTTTGGTCCAAAATCATTTTATCCAACACTTTAATACGACTTCATTTGGTCCAACGGTATAAACTATTGCGTCCCTCACATTGAAGGCATTCAAATATCCGCCGTCGTATACAATAATAATATTAATACAGTAAAATTTTTGCTTTAAACATGCCGAATTTCTACGTTTTTTTCACTTATTAATCACTATTAATACACTATATTAATACACTGCTATAAAAATACATATCTCCTCTATTATATATATAGATAGAGTTAATGGTTAAGATAATACCATTGACAATAAGCCACAACAACTATAAATTCTTTTCTTTTAAATAATTTACCCTTGGTTCTCATGGGGAGTAAACATAACATTTTGGGAAGTTTTACAAATAGGATATAGGCTATCTTCACTGAGAAATTCACTTTATATATTTGTATTATCATTGACGTTGTTGTATTAATAGTCAAAGGTATTATTAACTACATGATTGTTACAAATACCATGACAAACACACAACAAACATAGATTGAATTTAATGTATAGATAAATTAAATAAACCATCTGTTTAACATTAAATGCAAACTCAAAGCAAAGTCAATGTTTATCCACAAATCTAGGGAATTAAAACGCGTTGTTTTGAGATTGACTGGGGATAAAAAGTAAACAGGACACAATCACACTATATATAAACTAGCAACAGTGCCCGTTGTGGTTAAATACAACGGTCTCTAGTAAAATAATGGTTATGAAATCCATACACCACTTTACTCACTAATATTAATGGTACAGTTTAAGCACATAACATTATAATCACACATTTAACATAAGGAACACACTTTAAACATAAATGCAAATTGTTAACAACAACATTTAATCTAAGAAAAATTAATTAGATAACAATATAACAATAAGCTGTTGAATTATTAACACATGTTTCGTATGATTAGATTATGCATACGGGTAAACCAATTATTGCCATCTATAAAAATAATTGGTTTTTCTTTTCCGAGTCGGGTTAGCTCTTTTACCCGACTGATTTTCATAATTTTGGCCTTAAACTAAAGGTATGGACGTACCGCAGATTTGCCATCAAGCATCGGCATTCATTTTGACGTATATTTTGAGTTATGCACAAACTGCCTCCCTGTATATTTCTTATGCGAGTTAAATTTAGTTTTTTTCGAGTTCAATGTTTCGCAGGCGGCGATGGTTTACAGGAGGGCTCTTCTACCTGCCCGAATTTCATAATTTTGGTCTTAAAATAAAGCTATGCAAGCACATATTTGTCATCAAGCATTATCATTAATTTATCTAATGTATTACTCGACGAAATATTTTTTTTTTCTCTTCAATTAAAGATGTATTCCAGCAGTTCTAATTACATTATACATTTTGGTCTAAAAACCTTAAGTGAAATACCAGCTCTCATTTGAGCTATTGATTATTAAGATCGGACTACCTAAAGCACACTGCTGAATCACGAAACAACAATAAATACAATCGTTTTAGTACCTATCTGCAATCAATGATACGTAACTCTATTTTTATCGTATCGCTCAATCAGAAAATATAAATTTGATTATATCTTGGATATGGAATTTAGTTTTAGATACAATTACTTCATTCTGATTACGTTATTCTATTTATTTTGACCTAATGAAATATCAGCTTCCATTTCATTACAGCACGCAGCTAAATCACGACCAACACAAATTGTTCAAAAAATGGAGTTATTTATCATCGATTTATAGCCAAACGATCTTGCTTGCAACCTCAACAGTAATTTCATAGTTATTTGCAAATCTTCACAAATTAGGCTATCCAATGACCTATTAATTAATAAAATCGGTTCAGTAGAACTGTAGATTTAATTGTACTAAGTTTAACAACAACATCTTTAATTCAGTATTTTCTCACTACTATAAACCTGGAGGTTGCTTAACGTTTTTGCAAATAACTTTGAAACGGTGAGGAAATCTACCAAAGTGGATAGTAATATTCTGAAAGAGAATAAAATTTCCTACAAATTACTATTATGAATTTCTTGAATATCTATATATATAAAAGGCAAAGCCCTCACTGACTGACTGACTCACTCACTCATCACTAATTCTCCCACTTCCCATTTACTTAGGAGGCTGAAATTCGGTACACTGATTCTTTAGGCATTAAATAGGAAAACTAAGTTGTTTTTATTCTGATCGGACTCTCGGGCTCCGCCCCAGTGGCTCTGGAGTTTCCCATGTTAACCTTATGAGTACTCATATTTAAATGGAATAAATGAATCTTAACAGCTGTTTCAATTAAGCAAGTTGGTTCTGTTCTATGATGTGCAATAGCATTAAAGTTACAAGGATTACCAACAGGGTGCAGCACTATTTTTTTTTTTTTTTTAATTTATGACAACAGCTAATTTGCAACCAAAAGGTGAGTGAGCGTAGCGAACGAACTTCAACCTGGAGGCGAGTTAGCGTAGCGAACGAGCTAACCTGAAGGCAAGTGAGCGCAGCGAACGAGCTCCAATCTAAAGGTGAGTGAGCGTAGCGAACGAACTTCAACCACGACGAACGAACTTCGTGATTGAGCCATGCGAACGAGCTCATCTTGAAAATTAATAAGTTAAACGGGGCAAAGCCCGCGGGTACAGCTAGTACTCAATAAAGGCAGCCTAAAGTTGGCTACAAATATAAAATTGAAAATATAAACCTGGAAAAAATGAGTTTTAAATGTATTATTTTTTATTTTTTATGTTTTTACCTTAAATATCTAATAAAATCAAACTTTCATAATTATTTGCAAATCTACACAAATTAGGCTTTCCAACGACCCATTAAGTAACAAAATCAGTCCGGTAGAAGTCTAGATTTAGTTGTACAAAGTTTAACAAAAATAAATCTAATTCAGTATTTTCTCACCACAATAAATTTGGAGATCACTTAGATTATTGCCAATATCTTTTGAATGGAGGGGAAATCGACCAAAGTGAATGTGATATTCTGAAAGAGAATAAAATTTACTATAAATAACTATGCAATTCTTGAAAATACTTAATAAAGGCAGCCAAAAGCTGGCTACAAATAGAATCTTGAAAACAGAAACTTGAAAACCCCAGTTTTTAATGTATTTTTGTTATTTTTTATTTTTTACAACAAATATTTAATAAAATCACAATTTTATAATTATTTGCAAATCTACATGGGTAAGGCTTTCTAATGACTCATTAATTAACTAAATCGGTCCAGTAGAAGTCTAGATTTAGTTGTACAAAGTTTAACAAAAATATCCCAAGCTCAATATTTCCTCATTACTATAAATTCGGAGGCTGCTTAGCTTTTTTGCAAATAACTTTTAAATGGTGAGAAAATCGACCAAAGTGGAAGGTGATATTCTGAAAGAGAATAAAATTTCCTACATATTGATACCATGCACTTCTTGGAAATATTCAAAAATAGCAGCTAAAAGTCGCGCCCAAATTTCAATGTATTTCTTATGGAAAACACGTTTTCTTTAATTTATCACCATAAATCACAACAAAAACAAACTTTCATAATTATTTGCAAATCTACTCGACTTGAGCTTTCCAACAACCCATTAATTAATAAAATCGGTCCAGTAGAACTCTAGATTTAGTTGTACAAAGATTTTTAAAACTGAATTATATATAGAATAGATAAATATATGAATATGTACGCGTATATAAATGCAAACTATAAATTATCTAGAAACATAACACAAAACAACAAATAGGCCTCGGAAGGCAGGCGGTTGGGTTGACGACGTGACGGCGATTATTTGAACGCCTTCAATGTGAGGGACGCAATAGTTCACACTGTTGGACCAAACGAACTCGTATTAGAGTGTTGGATCAAACGATTTTGGACCAAATGAAATACTCCCCAACTGGAGGATAAAACGATTTTGGACCAAACGAACTGTTTTACAACTGTTGGACCAAACGATTTTGGGCCAAATGAAATACTCCTACAACGCAGACGTAAATCAAATACATACAAAATTAAAACTACCAGTATAGTTTTGCATTTCCAACAAATGTGTCTACTCAAATATCTCATACACTAGTATCCAGTTATTTACCGGTGTTACACCTACATTAACTTTTTAAGACAAAAGATACTTAAGTTATGCCAGTCTTTCTTTGTACCTCGTAGTAAACATATATGATATAAGACCTTTCCAGCATATGCTAGCAAATTAAATTAAGGTTACCCTGAGAACTACTGTTTATATTCACTGAGAACAGGAACGGGATCAAATACGTATGAACCTTTCTTTACCCGTGCTGTTTATATCCTAGGGTGGGATCAATTAGTGGTTTGGAACTGAAGTTATGCATCACTGAGGGCAGTATTAAACACTTCTAATATAAAAAGGAAATACATTCAGAAAGGTTTATAAATACTTTTCCATATTCTTATAAACCAATTTAAATCTAATTTTCTTGTTCACGCGTTTCATCTGTTTATTAGAAGTTTTCATTTAACACTATTAAAATCAATAATTTAATATTTTTATACAAACTGGTTCAATGCATTTGGAGTTTGGTTAATGCAACTTGCTTGGACAGAAAAACGAACTATTCAATCCTCTTGCTGTTAAAATTCAGCATTCATAAATTCAGAACATATATTTACGTTCTTTACGAATATTATAACGTAAACTTTAACAAATCTAAGGGATTCAGAAAATGTACATCTGATTATATATTCCCTACTTCCTAGAAAGTCCATGGCCTAATGATTGTTTTACAAGTAGCCTATAAGTCAAATTTATACTCAAAAAACCTCTAAAATTCTTGGTATATCTCATAAAATTAAAATAACTTGTATTGTTCACTTTATTGACATGTTTAATAAATAATACCTATCTTTTTACAGGGAAACATGGTCTGGCCAGTGAATATGATCAGAGTTCGTCAAGTGAAGACTCTAGAATTTATGAGCCAGTTACCAACAATGAAAATCATTTAGCGTCTATGACAGTCGACGGGGCTGAAAATGCTTATCCATTACAGGAATCTAGTATGGATCCTGAAAACATTGTTCAGCATAAAACTGTCACATCCCCAATCCTAGATGAAAACATTCCTCTAAATACGTTGGAACCGGACTCAGAGGAAGAAACAGAAGAACTTCATCTCCATAATGAAACAAACTCAGAGTCTGATGAAATTGTGATCAACGACGATTCGTATTTACCGATCGAAGATGAAGAACAGATTGCTAATGATGCGGAGGAAGTACAAATACAAGATGAAAAACTACTGAATTTAAAAAACGGTGCCAAAAATACTGAGATGCCTTCTAATGAATATGACGAAATTAATTTCCTAAAATCTACAGAAAACGCTTTGATATCTCCCCTACGAAACGTTAGGTCACTCTCTACAATTGAAGGAAATCATCCAAGAACATCTAATATACGGACAAAAAGTCAAAAGATATATCACTTCGAAAAAGAACCTAGAATAATTCGAAAATCAAACAGGAAATCTCAAAAACAGCAAACTATAAAGACCAATATGAATGAAACTTTTAAACCCCTTGTAAATCAGTACGCGTTTTCTCCTTTCGGAGGAGCGCCAATGATGTCACAACCAGGTCCGTTTTATGCCTTTCCACCTCCTGCTCTTCCATTCAACTATTGGATGGCCAAACCACCAATAAGTCAATTTAACATGTTTCCCTACAGTTATCCATGGCAAAATGTACCTTTTCAATCTCATTACTATCAACCAGTTCTCAGCCAGAACGTGGCTTCTAATCCTTATCTCGGTCCTCCTAGCATATATCAGCCCAACATGAACCCTAATTTATCAGGAAGTCCGTATACAACCACTGCCCAGGGGGTGACTAACAGTCCAGCCGATTTTGATCCAGGACAAAGAACAACTAACTCAGGTTCATTTCCGGTGAAACGAGGTGAAACGAATAAAACCAACATTAACTATATGAAAAAAGAAAATAAAACGACGCATTCTCAATTTTCCAAACCTGAAACTGGCAATACGTTTTACGACCATTATGGTCAGAGTTATCTTCAATCTAGTTCAAGACATCGTGAAAATAAAGTTCTCGGTCAGCCTTTCAAGAACGATCAAAGAATAACAGAACCTGAGCCATATAATAGAATGCAAAATCCCAATTATGAAAAACAACCTTCACAATATTCCCAGCCTTATGTGAGATCAAGTCACCTACCTGATGCACATAACTCAAGACTAAATCCACCTTCTCCCACCTACGGTAATGCGCCGTTGATATCTAGCCATGGTGACTACTCAACTGCACGAAACTGGACGAAATCACATGTTCCGCCGCCCTCTTATCCAGTACCTAATGGAAATCAGAGAGGGAATAGTCAAAATCACCAATATGATTTTCTTATAAATGAGCAAGAAAGAGCAAGGTCAAGACCGAACTATGAATTTCCATCTTACCCAGGAGCAAGGCCCTCTACAAATCCAGGCCCTGGCCAGTCTTGGTACCATGAGGTGCCTCATTATCCTCAAGAAAGCAATTCTATTTCAAATTTCTATGGGAATATCAATCCACAATTTAACTCACAATGGCCTGAGAAGTAGGTATGTTTACGATTTTACATTTTATAACCACTTTTAGTACCTAATTCTACTGCCATAATACCTTACCTCATAAATATATATTTTCTCTGAATAATTATGTGTTTCTGTATGTACTCGTATTATTAAAATTGAAGAGTTACATTAATCATTGGGTTAGCTAACAATGAAAAATCTAAATATTATTTGAGAAATAATATTACTCATATTAATATTTTTCTAGTATTTTTTTGCAGTTTATTTTCATCTGCAGGTAATGATGATTTATAAAGGACAAGTAAATATTTTATCAAAAACAGTTATTGTTGTTATTTTTTAAAATTGTAATTAGAGATATTCCCTACAACTTGGTCAAGAGGTGTATGAAGCATATTTATTAATTTTTATTCAGGCCACATTCAAATTGCTCTAACTGAAGAAACAAAAGTTTGCTTTTTATTTGTTGTTATTAATTTAATTGAAACCCCCAACCTCTTTACTTTACTTTTTTATACAAGAATAAATTGGAATGCTAGTATTTCTAAGCTAGCTGTGGGCCCATCCTGCGCCCAAAGTACCCATTTAAAACTGTTTGTAAAATACAGATCAACTGGTTTAGAGATTTTAAATGTTTAATTAAGCTAGAATTTTCCTAGGGCTCCAGGCAAAACAATATCATATTGAAATAAATTTCAAACCTGCATAAAGGCGAATTCTTATAGATCCAATCTATTAGAAAACCATGTCGTAAATATTTTTGTGTGTATTATTGATTAGTTATTAATCGAAATACTTTAAAATAGCATCTTCATCGATGTGAAAATCATTGACGTGAGTTTAGGGGGTTTATTTTCACAGTGGTTATACGTAGCGACATATCACCCCCCTTTGCATACACTTAACCTTTCTCTACCACCGTGTCCACTGAATCCTTAAAGGTTATTGGCTACACCAATTGTAATTCCAGATTCCATTCTCCATTCTCTTCTATCACCTGTCTATTTTAATTTGAACCCCAGTCTGGAGACTTCTTCCATTACTTAGTCTTTATATTTTCATTCTTAAATTACTTAGTCCCATACAATTCACGGAGTTTTCCCTGGATAAAAAAAGGCAGTACATTTACCGATCACTCGTGACCTACAAACTGACTTAGTAGTTTTACTTACTTCACAGTTAGTACAACCAAAGCGTGGGTAAACGCATTTTCCCGACTCTCCCTCGAAAAAATTAAATACAAACACAGCCCTTGCAAACAATTTAAATATTTATCGCGCTTCAGTTTGGGATTTGCCTGAATTTCAAACTATAGTAAAATACCTGTGGTCAATTAAATCCATAATAAATCATTTGGTTATTCATTTCACCTTGGATTTACTTACAAAAAGTTATCTAAAAATAACACTGTTTGTAAACAACTTTAACAGTAAGTTCCATCGAGCGAAATTTGTTCTTTTTAGTATACGCAACTTAGATTAAGCGAGGCGCAGCCGAGCTTGGGAAATACGTTTAAGTATCAAAAAGACAATTTTGCTTTGTGTGAGGAAAATCAATTTTTTTTTCTTACCGTGGATATGTCCTTACCTCAAACACTGTTAAAACAGTTAAAAATCGTTACAAATTTAAACCACATAAGTTAAGGTTATACAAAGTCGTCATCAATGTTTACATTTCTATCGGTTACAAACGTAACCAATAAATGTCGTGTGATTAGTATCGTTTGCAAAAGGTGCAAGTAAAATTACGCAGTAATTCTTGCTTTAATTAGTTTTTTATTGATTTTAATTAACAAAACATTTGTTATTTTTTGCAATCCTTCCATCAACTTCCTTGAATTTTTCAAGACAAAGTTAGGAACACCTTCCTCCATGTTCTTTAATCTTTTTAATGTATGCGTTTCAAATAGTTTACTACATGTATAATGCGCCAAAAACTTATTTTGAGGTTAGCGAACCGATGAATTTTCCATATTTTTTGCTGTTTCCTATTTAAAGTTACCCGAAAATGATGATTTTTCGGACAATTTAGAGAACTAGAAACAGCTGATTTCAAGGCAGTATGAAGAAAATTGTATTATATCAGTGACAGTTAAAAGACAGAATATTTATCCATACAACTGCTAGTTACTGTAATTCAAGGATGACGTATTCATTAAACAGATGATTGATGATTGATAAATGACGTATCAGGCCCCTTTTATGCACCTGCTGAACCACGCCCTGCTCCTGCACCCAAGCGAAAGAAATTGGAAACGTGTTCCCATGTGTAGAGAGGCGAGGGGTGGCTCACAGTCCTACCCATTACCTAAACAACAGGAAAATCGTGGTGGAAAGGTTGAAAACAACCGGGTTAGTTGTTTGAGAGGAACGGCTGTAATTAAACACAAATCAACCATCAACAATAATACAATAATTTAGTATATTGAAGTGCTGTTGTATGCCTAACGGTCACGGAGAAAATTCAAAAATAGTGTAATTTATAATTCCTATGGTACTCTTATGGAGAAAATGAAAGTTGTTGTAGTTTACTTGTTTATGGATGTATATTGATAAAATTTGGCAAATTTATTCATTTCATCCTATACTATTGACGTATGGTCAAAAAACACTTTTTACCTTCCCCGTAGCAGCAAACCCAAGGACTCGTTAAATCTAATGTTATTTAAATAGGGAATTAATATGTATTATTTATGGAAATATTTTAGTAAAAATGTAATCAGACAAGTTGAAATTCGCTTAGTATGCAGGATTGCTGCGGCGGGGGTATTTTTCTTTTGCTCTTAACGGTCCAACCAGCTCACATCTCTTAACCCTATAATGGTGTCTTGATTTTTATCACAAATTTAGTGTCTTCGGTCTGTGAGACCGTTATTGATTTGCTTTGGAATTTTTTGTATATAACTATAATCATAAAAGATAAAACTGTTTAAAATTATTACTTATATATATCTATATCCGTACATTTTAAGCGGAGTCAATATTGTCATAGTCCAGTAATCAATCTTTCGTAAATACACAAATACCATTAGCTGCTGCCAAACTAAACAGCTCTGTTACAACCCCACTTGCGACGTTGCCACTTCGAAGGCCACGGCCTGGATGTTAAGGTGGGGCGATGAAGCAGAGCGGATAGGTGGCTAGAGTTCAAAGGCAGCCAGGACGGAAGATGTCTTTCTCCTGATGCCCTAGATGTTGTGATGCACTCTCCTCCGGGGCCCCATCAGGCTACACTGGCCCACTTAACTACACATTTAGCCCATGAGCCAACCCAAAAATTGAAACAATGTTCTTTATTGTAATTACGTTAAACATTTCGTGTCTAGTTTTACGAAATCAGCTCAACCAGATGTAAGGTATTACCTACGTATTTACTGGAGTTTATTATAGAAATAGACATATTTGCACTCAGGTAAAACATTTAGACTACTTCTACATAACTAAACTCAAACGAGAGGATAGACTAATGACTTGATAGACCGATTAGAAAAACTTCAGTCAAGATTTATCAATTACCCAATAATTATGGATGTTCATAGTTTACGCCAGGGTTCTTTGAGGACTGATGATTTCGTCCATATCATATGTGATTTCATACAAAGTTGGACGACATAACGCCGGGCTTTCTAAATTGTTATTTAGGTGAGTGGCAAATGCGACCAATTCGAAATAGTTGCAAACCAAGATGACCGGACTATGAGAATGGGGAAGTGTATTGTAGGATTTATGAGGTGAAAATTGTTTTATCCCATAGTTGACCCTAAAAACTTAAAACTGCAATTTTTCGACAAACCATTTGTGGAACTTATAATTTTGTACATCGAAGCGCAAATGTACGTTTATAACGGCTATTAATAGAATTAAAAAAAACCTGTAAACCCAAAATTAGCATGTTATTTTTATGGAGAATAAGTGATTTTGTTGTATTTTGCTTGTTTATGGATGTATATTAATAAATTAGTCGAATAAATTGTATTCATAATCCAGCTTTTGACGCCTCAATTCAAACACACCTTATAACCTTCCCTGTACCAGCAAACCTAACTCGTTAGACCCCACGTTATTTAAATTGAGAATGGATATGACGTTTTTTCAAGTAAAAATCTAATCATTCAAATGGAAATTCACCTAGTCCGCAGGTTTGCTGTGGTGGGGGCCTTCCACATAGGCTAAATCCTCAATGTGTGTGCTTTTGCCAATCACATGTTTTTCAACTAAGTCTACTGGACACTAAAGATCAACTTCCCTTTCAAAACGTTAAAAATGCCAAGTTTTTCAAGTTGCACAATGTTTCTCAAGTAACTGACTTATACTATTGAATGGAACTGAATCAATCACAAAATTATTTTACCTTAGCAATATAATAGCTATAATAACTCGTCATAGCTAAACCATCGTAGGCATAATTTTTTAATATATGGTATATACTAATCATAAATGCGTTAGCTAATCTCTAGCATATAGGCTGATAAATATTAATTTTTAAAGTTTCATTTAGATAACCAGTTTGCTATCTCTAAGGAATGTTCATACGATAATTCAAAGTTAATTCTTGCTCAAATGTACCACACTCCTTATTATTCTTCTATTGTTTCGCTTGTGTAGACCTCTGTTACTTTTATTACATAGATATGTTTTGTTTACATTTTAATTTGTAATCGCAGTGCAAACTACAATGAGACAGTTAAATGGGAGTATTTGTGTGTGTGAAAACAACTCAACAATGCAATAGGGTGTAACGCGGGGTGTATCACCATGGGAAACCCATTGTCCAAAGGTGAGTTAACCACTTCGATTAGATTCATTATTTTGCTTCATATATATATATATTATTATTAAGGTTATTAAATTGCCTCTGAATATTGCCTCTGTTATTGTTGGCCTATTTGAAGTGAATCAATTGTTTTCAAGATATATTATAACATTAAGAATACAATTTTTTTCTCATGCCATAAAAGTTACAGTTATTTCGGTGTTACACTCAAACTCCGTATTCGGACAATGTCCTAAATGTTTACCCACTTCGTAATATGGAAAGTTTGAAAACCCACGTCGCGGAGTGAGCATTTTATTCGGACATTGGCCAATGCGAAATGCCCAGACCGCGATGTGGGTACAAACTGATTTACTCAAATACCGAAGTCAAAATTTTATTCGGCAATTGAGCAAATCCGAAATGCCCACACGCGATGTGAGCAAAAGTGATTGCCCACGTAGGGTTGTGGATGTTTCTAGTTTGCGCAAACACCGAATAGCCTGTATAAACTGCCGCATACACAAAAATCTACATGACATTCACAATCACTTGGTAAAATTAAATACAGTAGAATGTGTGTTTTAAATTATATTTTGTTTATTGTACGAGTAAATAACATTTTAGAAAAATGTAGGTTAACACCAAATTACCAAAAAGCAAAAATTATAAAATACCCCCACCGCAGCAAACCTGCAGACTAAGCGAATTTCCATTTGCATGATTGGATTTATTCTAAAATATCTCCTTAAAAATATAACTATTGTCTTATTCCCTGTTTAAATAGCATCGGATTAACGAGTAATTAGGTTTGATGCAACAGGGAGTGTAAAAAAGTGTTTTTTTGTAAAATTTTAATATTTTAGTATGAAATAAATCAATTTTCCAAAAATTTTCAAAATATGTACATAAACAAGAAAATTGCAACCGTTTACTTAATCCACGGATGTTGATCCATAAGAATAAAATTGGTACTTTTTATTTACAAATTTTGGAATTTTCCCCGTAACCATTAGGCGCATGATAACGCTTCAATATACTAAATTATTTATTTTTAAGCTCTACAAAATAGTTTGGAAATAAATTGCAAAATTTTATGTTTTCAGTGTCAAAAAAGGGAAAACCCAATTTTTACCCTATAAAACCCCATAAACCCTCGTTCCCATTATCCGATCATGCTGGTTCGTGAACTTCTTCGAAAAAACGTAGGTTAACACGTTTATACCAAATTTCATCAAAATCGGATCAGTTTTGCTCAATTTATCGTGCTAACGGACACACATACATATACATATATGAATTTGAACGCTTTGTGTTTTTGGCCTCTAGTGACCTCAAAACAAAAAAGTAAATCGGCCCCGGTACCAGGTCTTACCACGAGTTCTACGGTAATAGCTTATTCCCTAAATTGAAAATTCTTTCAAATGTCCCTTGCAAATACACAGACATTGAAATACTGTTTGTTCGCTATAACTGCAACCTTAAAACGGAGACACATTTCTTGTAACTTGTATTTTACTTGTTGGCACAAGATGTGCTGCCATTGCATATAGTGCATTTTAAGTATAACATAATACTTCTTACGATTATCTTAAACAGTTCCCTATACATCTGCTAAAACCTTGCTTGGATCCGGTTGACATCATTGCTTCTTTTTTTGCGTACGTTTATTTGATTATCAGGTACATCCACGGTGCATATATATTTATTTAGTTCCACCTTGAAATATTTTGAGCGAATTTCCCATATAGGGGAAAGCTATTACCGTAGGTCTCATAGTAAGGCCTGGATTCGGGACTGATTTACTTTTTCGTTTTGAGATCCCCGTGACCAAAAACACCACTCGTTCAAATTTGTATATATGTGTACTCGTTATGTTATAAATACTGCTATGAGTACAGCATGACTGAAAATATAAATGTACGTTGTGTTATATTTGACGTTTTACATTTCAGGACCTGTCGGGCGGTATGATGATGCAAAGAAAAACAACCTATTTACCCAACAATTTGGGGGAAATAATCCCTCATACTATTCTGAGGCAAACGTAAACAATGTTATACCAGTTAGGTATAGCCACCGGCTGGCAGTAATAAGGTCACTCAACTGTTTTCCTTCAAATAGCCTTTTACCGGTTTATCCTAACACCTGTGAAAATAATCTTAACAGTCCTACATTGAACACTGATATTAAGGTGCTTGAAAACAAATTACTAAAATGTCCTGATCCTCATATTTTAGATTTCACGCAACCACAATTCAAACCTCCAGAAACCCCTGATAAAATAAATCTAGAAATAAATGTTAATCCAAAAACCTATTCAAAAGGTACGGATAAAGATAAGTATACAAGTTATGATTATCATTCCAGACATATAAGTACAAAAGAAATTGAACCCGATAATAGAATCTATGAAATTGACCTATCTCCTTTCAAACGGGATATTGATCAGCCACCTAATACATCAACTCGGATTTTTGAAAAAAAGGAAAATACAGAGTTGGAGCATAATGTAAGTACATTCTTCCAAAACGGCCCCAAAATGGCAATGAAAGGAAGATCTAAAGAAACTAAAGCGGCAAAAAGAAAAAGGGAAGCGGCAGAACTAGCCGCTACTGTTATAAAGAGAGGTAAAGACGAAGATCCCTATATTGATCCAAAAGACATAGATAAGTATGACTGTTCGGACTGGGAAGTACCATATGACGATTTTATGAAAACGTACCTAGGTAGCGGCTCTAGCTCAGATGAAACGGAAGAGAAAAAGGAACCTACCAAAAAGAAGGATAAGGAAACAACAAATATTGAAGAGGATAGTGACTCTGACTCTTTTGAAACACCTTTAAACTTTCGGGATGAAAAAGAAGTGCCAAGAACTGCACAAATGTACAAACCTGGTTCGAAGAAGAAGGCTCAATGGCAAAGAACAGACGGCATCTACGAACCTCAGAGGGGTAAAGGTTCGTTTGGACGCTTCGAAACCTTCATGGCAAAACGAAAAATGGGTCTTAGTAAATCAACTGATCAACGCGACACAAATAAATCTCATCGGCCTGATTTCGATATTATTGACCCCGGTGATGGGGAAGACGATTGGGGAACGCCACGAGTAGTGGAACCTCCGCCAGAGACCGTTGTTGTGCCTTGGGTTCCATATGGCAACAAGCAGGTAGTTTCCGAAGATGGCACTATCACCTACACTAAACCGGATACCGTCTACGAAAAGTTCACTCAAACCAATTTAGGTAAGTAAACTACGTCGTATTTTATAACTAACTATCTATTCATGTTATTTCAAAACTAAAACGTAAAAGTATTTCATGTTTAATCCGAAGGCTTTCTTTCAATTGATCACAACTTAAATCTTTAACTATGAAAATATCATCAAGAGTTTAAAATATTGTTGAAAAAGTATGGAAAGAAATGCTTTGATCAATTACTTGAATAGCAATATTATGTGTACCTTTGGGTTTTACAATCTTTAAAATATGGTTTCATATATCTAGTTGTGTATTAAATATACACATTACTATGTGTGTATTAATAAAATGATACGTATTTAATCAATGGTCAACCTGCTGCTATTATAAATTATTGTACTACACTTGCAATCTTATATATTCAAACAATTTGGTTTTTCTTTTCCGAGTTGGCTCTTCTACCCGACCGATTTTCATGAATAAGGTCTCAAATTTAAGGTATGCACACATTGATTTCACATCAAGCATCGGCATATATTGATCTACTTCCCCACTCGGCTTATGGGCATACATAAACAAAATGTGCTCTCTATGTATTTCTTATGGGACTTAAATTTGGTTTTTCTTTTCCGAGTTCGTTTGGCTCCTCTACCTGACCGATTTTCATGATTGAGGTCTCACATTGAAGGTATGCACGCATAGATTTCACATCAAGCATAAGCATATATTAATCTACAGTACCACTCGGCTAATACGTAAGTGTGCTCCCCATGTATTTCTTAGGCGAACAACCAACATAAACATCATTACAAGGGTTATATGGTTATAAGGGTTATTTTTATAAGGGTTTTATAGGATTAAAAATCAATAGCTCCAGTATTGTTTATGTTACTTTATATGTTAGACTCAAAATAATCAGTAGAGACTTTAATTTGAGCTATTAGTCGTTTGAATCAGTTAAACTCAAAATACTGTATTACTCGTGATTTATTGATGACCTTTTCAACTTCATAATATACAGAACTCTTCTTTAATTTAACAGAATTATTCTGTGTTCGTCGCGTAATATCGTTGACTATTGCTCTGGTAAGATCACCTATCACCCGGTGAGAGCTAGGCTTCTATTCAGCTTAGCAAATGTCAGCTTCCTTCATTTCGAATGTGTGACAGATACACGAATATTATTGCAGAGTAACGATCAGTGTGTTGGTCAGAATGTTGGTCAGTTGATGGCCAGAATTTTGGTCAGAGTGTTGGTCAGAGTGTTGGTCAGAATTTTGGTTAGTTGTTGGTCAGAATGTTGGTCAGAATGTTGGACAGAATGTAGGTCAGATGTTGGTCAGAGTGTTGGTCAGACTGTTGGTCAGTTGTTCGTCAGAATGTTGGTCAGATTGTTTGTCAGAGTGTTAGTCAGAGTGTTGGTCAGTTGTTGGTTAGAGTGTTGGCCAGTTGTTGGTCAGTTGTTCGTCAGAATGTTGGTCAGACTGTTGGTCAGAGTGTTGGTCAGAGTGTTGGTCAGAATGTTAGTCAGTTGTTGGTCAGAGTGTTGGTTCTCATGCATGAGAAATGTTACTTGATGTAGGTTCAGCAAGGAACGTAAAGATGTTGTACAATGTACAGACGTTCATACGTTTTTTCCAGTTTAAGCAATTGTTGATATTGTAGGTAATGTATTACGTGAATCAATGGATGAAGAGGAAATCGATAATTACCTCAAAGAGGAGAAGGAAAGAGAAGAAAGATTACTTAATAACCCTCCAGAATCCAGTTCCGACGATGACGAGAGTACAGACTCTGCACTATACAGAAGTGATGGGTCGGATGATTATGACGTTTCAGGTAAGTAAACAGCTAAAACACATACCTGCCACCATAAACCTCTAGACTAACCGAACTTACATAAGTATGATTGAGGTTAGATTTAAATGTCTCCTAAAAACATGCCAGATTTGTTTTAAATTAAAATAACGCTAGATTTAGAGTTTACGAAGGGTTTCAGCTACAGGAAAGTATAAAAGTTTTGTAAAATTGTTATATCATAGTATGAAGTAAATAGCCTACCTTTAAAAATGTTGATCAAGGTATATCCATAAATAAACAAATCACAATGTTTAACATTTCCCTTCATAAGAATGGCATGGGAAATTTAAATGAGGTCTATATCTCTTTTAATTTGTAAGGAACCTTTAACCGTACAACAACGCCTTATTCGTACCTACCAAAACATGAATTTATGGTTTATTTAAGTTTTTTATAAAATGTTTATTTTACATTTTATTTTTTTATTTTTATAGTCTAAGTGACTACTTTCTGTATTAGCAATTGTTCTTGCAAAAAATTAGATTTTCCCGAATATAATTCGCTTGTGTTGCAAATGCTAAATCGCTGTTTTAAACTAAGGACGCCGCAAACTCTTGAAATGTCCATTTCAATATTCATATCATAAATTGTAGCCACCCTAGGTGTTTAAAGTGACATTTCGCTTACGATTTTGATTTAAGACCTGTATAAAATAATTATCACTTTTTATATAAAGTGTTTATATATTAGATTTAGATCATGTGTAAGAATATATTAAAATTAACTCTAGTATTTTTGTATAGCGGAAGATTTTGATAAAGCTGAAGAGGAAGATAATCGTGTTTATGGAATCCCAACAAACTTTAAACCTTACACGAAAGAATTGGAAGAAGAGGGATATTTATCAGATGCTGGTAAGACAATTTGCGTTTGAATAATTGTCTTAAAGGATGTCCTTAAATGCCTCGACTTTCGTAAATAACTGTCAAATGATTTTAAATAATACACTAAAGCCGGGTTTTCCTAGGCGCGGAGTCGGCCAGCCGAGAGAGGAACACGGAGAGCGGACTCAGCTTGTCTTAGGTAATTTAATGTTACTGTTTTCCTAGCAGCGGAGCGCAATGCCATGTTAATTTCAATTCCGCTCTCCGTTGTCCGCTCTCCGCTGGCCGACTCCTCGTCTAGGAAAACCCAGCTTTAGCAACAATGTATTGCGCATATGAACTATATTATCGTACAATTAAGTGAATAAGCCAATTATTACGTTAAAAGAGGGTTTGATTCAAAACAATTTTGCCTTTTAGATTTACCTAAAGAATTAGAGATTTTGAGATATAATTCTCCACCAAAATGGTTCCTGTTTTTTTATAGTACGGTAAAAAATTACACTTTCTTCAATTCAACATTTTAAGTTCTGTTTGATTTTTTTTTATTAAAATACTAAACCAGCCGATGTTTTACAGACGAAAACCAGACGTTAGAGTTTAGACCAACGGAGAAAAAGGATTTAAAATATTTAGGAGACGTTGTGAAAGCATTTCGGTTTGAAAATCCCAGTAAAGATGACGAACCAATGCATTGTTTTGAATTCAAAAATACAAGTAGTGAACAGCCACCAATAACTAGCAGACCTAAAACTGGTGAAAATGAAGAAATTGTTGAACAGATTGACGATGACGACTACGATGATGATATTGGTAATGAAATCGAAAGCCCTGACGAGTATGACGATGGTGTTGCGAATGCAAATAAGTTGATTAAAGAAAGAGATATATACCTGAAGGAAGAAAAAAGTGAAATGGGAACCCACGGTCTTCCGAGACTACAGCCTAAGAACAATGACGGAAATTATGATTCGCAAGAAAATGTAGATTTTGCTCTAATCTTAGAAGATGGAGAAAGTAATTATGAAGATGACGAGATAGAAGAAGATTATGACGATAATTTAAAAAAAGTAAAACTAGTAAAAAATATAAACGTGAATCCAAAGCTTGAAAAGAAAATAATCAGTTACGACAGTGAAGAAGACGTCGATCCTAGTGATGAATCAGAGACATACGACAGCGAAAAAGATGACTATGAAGATAATGTGAGAGAAGAAGAATACAATGACGGAATTCAACAATTAAATGTAGAAGATTCCTGTCCTGATACAGAAGATGCAGACAAAAAACCATTGGATACAGAAGATGAAGTAGATGCACAGTATGAAAAGTATTTTGGACAAAAAGATCCATTGGAACAGCTTAGATCTGTTGATGCAGATCCTGATTATATTGATCCTAACTTCTTTGACACAAGAAAGGGATCAGATTATGATGAAAACGATGCCAACAACGGTGGTGGTTATGACGGCGGCAATGACTTCACCGTTGGTCTGGATGACGAGGATAGTGATGATAATATAGATATACAGGATGGTTACGGAAGTTTTAGTGATGGGGAAGGAACAGACGACGACGACGATGACGACGACGACGACGACACGTATGATGAATCTGAGTCTGACTATGATCCAAACGTCCCCTCTGATTATGGTGATTTTGGATCTCCTATTACAACTGACGATGAGATTGTCCAAAACTATAATCCCACAGAGCTTTTGAATGAGTTAGAGCTTCAAGGAGATACATTTGACGACTTTCCTTGTAAGTAATCGTATTGTGTTTAACATTCTATTATTATACATATTGTTTTTATATAATATTTTTGTAAGAGTCACTCGCAAATTATCCTTAGTTTGATCGACTTGTTGGATTGTTATAAACTTAGGTTTGGAGCTACATTTTCACAATTGAGAAAAAAACATAAATGTTTAGGTGGGACGAAAGATAACATTTATAACTGTAAGGTTTGTTTCAGATACCTCCTTTTATATACTAGGCTATTAAACCATAATAATATCACCATACAACTGCATAAATCGTCCAAAGTAATTATTATACTTGTAGTATAATTTATTGATTGGATATGGAATGTTGTATGTTAAGGCACGATTGTAATACATCTTTAACAAATTAATTTGCCACTTCTTATACATACGGTTATATTAATTTTGGACTATTCTTTAACCATTTTTTTACGGTGATCAACGTCAACGTATGTAAAGCAAGCCGTTAAATTTTATAATAAATATAATTTCAAAAGCGTTTAATGGCCTTTCCTCCTTAACAAAGGAGGTTTGAGGTTATTATTTTCCGAAGCTATGATACGTACGATAGGACTCTTTATGGTTCTTTATGGTTTTATTTTTCAATCTGTAGACTTGAAGATAGCTACATATCCTATTTGTTTTAAATTAAATATTTAATCTGTTCTATCTATACTCTAATATGAGTTAAGTTTGTGCACAATTATTTGAAATAGCCACTGTTCTGGAGAAATTGGTTGTTCGTTAAAAACTCAAAATTAAATTTTATTATTTTTAACATTAGCCTTATGACTGTCAATTGGACATGCCAGTTATAGTAAAATGAACCGTAGCATATGCCATCGAAGTAATAATAGAGATCGATTGCATATGCTTGTAACAAATAAACTACAGTACAGAAGCAAATTACTAAATACAGTACTAAAGGAAAGGAAATTCCTACGAATACTATTGAGCATTGATTATATAATACACTACACTTGGGGTTTATTTCTCAGCAAAGGGATAATTACCACAGTTTAAAAAAGGCAAAATCTTTTGAGGCAGTCAGATTAACGTGCATTACTAAAATGCTATCGAAAGGGAGTACTACAGATCCAGTCGCGGTCGTAGGAAGTGGTGAAGGAAGTAGTAAAAGCGAGAAGGGCGAAGTGTGGGAACCGTTTGTGGCAGTTAGTTAGAATAACGTATCTCCAATACTAAAATGCTATGGGAAGGGAGGGAAACAGGTCCACAACGTAGGAAGTGGTAAAGGAAGTAGTAAAGGCGAGCAGTGCGGAGTGTAGGAACCATTTGTGGCAGTAAGATATCTGTATCTGTAATACCTAAATGCTATGGGTAGGGAGGGAAACACGTCCACGTAGGAAGTGGTAATTGAAGTAGTATTGGCGAACAGCGTGGAGTGTGGGAACCGTTTATGGCAGTTAGATGTATATGCAATTCTGAAATGCTATGGGAAGGGGGGAAACGGGACCACGACGTAGAAAGTAGTAAGTAGTAAGTAAGTTGTAAGTGGTAAGTAGTGGTAAGTGGTAAGTAGTGGTAAGTGGTAAGTAGTGGTAAGTGGTAAGTAGTAAGTAGGAAGTGAAGGAAGTAGTAATAATGAGCAGTGCAAAGTGTAGGAACCGTTTGTAGTAGTTAGTTAACTGTATCTGCAATCATTAAATGCTATGAGAAGGGAGGAAAACAGGTCCACGACGTAGGTAGTGGTAATGGAAGTGAAAAAGGAGAGCAGTGTGGATTGTGGGAACCGTCTGTGGCAGTTAGATTAATGTATCTGCAATACTAAAATACTATGGAAATGGAGGAAAACAAGTGCACTTGTTTAGTTTATTGCCAACAAGTTTACTTTCAGACGGTCTATTTAGTATAGTATTACATGTTTTAGCAAGTATTTTATAATGTTATTATTAGTGAAGAAAACAAAATTATGTTAAAATAATACATGGGCATATATTATATTTGTTACATTCCAAATACATGTTACACCAACGAGCAACGCTCGGTTCCCTGGTACTGCAATTTATAAAGGACCATTTTGTAGTGTTTTTTCTTGATTGCTCTATAAAACAACTGAATCTGTTTTAATTTCACATTAGAACATATTTCTTTCGTACATTAAATGTGTTTTCTGAGTCATCAGAATCCCTCTTTTTATTCCTTGGATCTTCGAGTTTTTTAAATGTGTGTGAATTTTATACTAGGCGAAAACTAATAAATAACCTTTTTTAATCACAGTCAACTTGATCGCCTAATTGAAATTGAATAAACAGGGTTGTGAGGTACATATTACAACATTTGCATGAGCGTTCATGAGACCGAAACGTTAAGGAGTATCAGTACATCTTATATACAAACAAATTATAGCGAACTTGTGTTGTGTAACTTTCAGCAGCTTGTATTTAATTGATCTAATCTGATGAGTAAAATCATCATACATTGTAAATATTCTCTCTTTATCCCTTATATTCATTATAATTATAATAAGAGACTGTGCAGATTAAAACCCGTTGTTCTGTATTTAATAGACTCGTTGGAGAATGCAAAGTGGGTTGATTTCCCCTACAAACACCCCGGCGACGCCGAGGAGGCAGCCTATGACAGGGGGGAGCCAGGAAAGGAGCTTCCATACTGGTACTTTATCAAGCATCCGGCAGAAGATGATTGTAAGACATATCTTTCATTAAGTAACCATCGTAGTTTTTAAATGTACCATATACATAAGATCTTTTTTCGATCCGTGCTAAACCATCAGGACGATCCGTCCATGATAATTACCATTAGTTTATATGGTGGTTTATTTACCTTCACATTCGTCCCAGTTATCTACGACCATGGTTTTGACGATGATGGTAATTTAGTTAGCAAGCAAGTCGAGAAGTATCTAGTCGTTGTCGGTCGCTTACATGTCGTCAGTCTTAACACATACACAAACATAAACATTAAACATACACAAGTACATTGTTACAATAAAATAGACAAATGGTTCTCGTGGACAGAACACGGGACTGTGACGAACAATAGTTATTTAATTGTACCGTCGCAAAAGCCAGCTGAAGAACCTTCAGGGGCAAAACCCAAAAATTAGTACTTTAGTTTATATTATTTTTTTTTACGCAAAGAAAAAGTCAGTGTGTATCTTAAGATTCCCAAAGGAATCACTAAATCACCCTATAAAACTTTAATTGAATTTATTAAATTCAAAATATGTAATTTAAAGCAAATGGTCAATTCCATACAAACTTATTTTGTGATAAACTGTATCCTCGCTCACTTCATAGATTATTCAAATAACCACCGCTCATTAAGTATTAAATATGTGGTTTGTGACATTCAAAAAGTGTTTATATTATCCATTGATGATTATTTAGCGAAGTTCCAACGTTTTCTCACTTATGTACAAGTCCTGACTTGAGTCAATTTGTAAAACAGTTTTGTAACTGAAATTCGCTCATGAATAAAGCCCTTATTTATTTATTTATTTATTTATTTATTTATTTATTTTATTTATTTATGTGTAACATAACGATTATATAGGTAGGTATTTGAGGGGTTATTGTCCTTGCCTAAGGTCATAGGCCATTGGTTTGACCCTGGCTAAAGAAACCCTCATTACGCATTTATATTCAGATTGAAATATGCACTTCTGAGAGTTAATTGAATTGAACATTCCAATTCAATTGGCTTAATGTTACAATTTTAATATTTCCATATACACCTTTATGTGCTTGTTACAAAGGCAGAGAGAATTATTTTGAATCCGTGAATAATTATCATAACTTGTAATTTGTAGCTCTGATGAACATAAGGGCCAAGCTCGCTGACCAGTACGATCATCAAACTGGACCTTATAACCCTTTCAAAATAAATCCCCCTCCTACACCATTATGGCTGGACGACACATTCGACCTGGTACCAAAAGGGGCTAAAGTTCCAGATGACTTCTTTTATGGCTTCATGAAACCAGATCCTGAAACTATGCACAGTAAGTTTAAAACATTTAACATAAGGACTATCAACTTTAAGCTTAAAATCAGCATAAAGCTATACCTTATAATTTCAATACTGCAATATAGTAATCATTGTCATGTTATGATTGCGACTTACACCAAAAATAGGCCAAATCACAAATGAGCCTCAGGCCTGTGCATAGAATCAAATTAGAAAAGCAAGGGGTGAACAATGTATTGACTAAAGAGTGATCCCGTAGCTATCAAAACATAACAGCAAAAGTCACTGTTTACCGTACTACATAATGGAAGTTGTTGGTTTTTGGATCTATGAGTTATTTATCTAAATATCAACGGAGGGCCCCAGGGGTTTTCATGGAAAATTTTACTCAGACTATTTTACAATTCAACGCTATCTGCATACAGTTTCTTAGTGAAATCAAAATTTGTAAAATCGTTCATATACCGAGTGTACACAAAAGAAGTAAACAACTTTGTTTAAAAATTACTGCGAAGTTTTACTGACTTAGAAAGAGTAACATACACCATCAGAAAAATATAAACCTCAAGTGTTTTCCGATATACTACAAGAGTATTCAACATGTGAACCACTCTTGAGCTTTGTAGACATTTATTATAAATCAAATTCTGACCAAATGTTTTAAAGAATGGCCTCATCAACACTTTGACCTGCAGCAGTAATGCGATGCTTAAGCGTTGAAGAGATTCAACGGCAAAGAAGGTAAAAAACTCTGTACAAAAACCCCACAAGCAAAGCATACTCCCGTAAAGACGAAGATCCCTACCCACCCTCCACGTTGATATCCTCGAAGTGTTTGAAATCAACCTGATCATTAGACATTGCTGGTCTCCCGGAGCTCTTTCCTTTTCCTAAGTAATCTGTGGCCTTGAAGTTTCGATGCCGGTCGTAGACGTAGATTGACTTCCTATTTGTAGGGTCTCTATGATAACTGGTCCAAAAACGATGTTAAACAATGGTATAAGATCGAGTTATTACAACACAAGAAGACTTTTCTTAAATGTATCGACCATTTTAACCAAATCAATAGCCTAAATAAAAATTTTACCACATTATTGGCGTTGTTAACAACAGTCAGCTGTGTGGGGAAAAATTGACGAGTTTTCCAACCCAGTGTACCAACCGCAGCGATGCCGGACTCATAGATTGTGTTAAATTAATGTACAAAGTTGTTTACTTCTTTTATGTACAACCGGTACTATTAATATTCGCAATCTATTTAACAGCAAGACACGTGACGTTCTTCCACGAGCTAGGTAGCTGAGCAGTTATAGTAATCGCCTAGCAATTAAAAGGTCGCCGGATTGAACCTGAGAAAAGTCAGTAGCGTTTTGATGGACCCAGCTTTCTCTGATTATGATCATAGACAAAAAGAATTAAATATAGACAGACAGCCGTGCTGCGGTTACCATGGTTACCATAGGTTCTGGCACACACCACTTGAAGCGCCATGCAGTTACAGCGTACGCGCTACGTAACTACACGGTACACCCAGTGGTGTGTGCCAGAACCTATGGTAACCATGGTAACTGCAGCACGGCTGACAGTAAATGTTAGATTTTTTTGTCTATGTTATGATACATGTCCTACATAATGTTTGATGTTAAAGGCTTTTAGACTGATAGAAAAAACACTAAAATAGAATTGTTTATTTTGTATTTAATTATAACAACAATTTGATGTTTTTGCTCAATCCTTTGTTAGTTGGAAAACCCATAAAAAAAACAATGGGTTTCTATATCATTCTTTGTTTGAATATTGATAAATAATATTGTGTGTTTTAAAGAAGCTTCAAAAATCTACCGGAAAATTATATACTGTAATTCCAAGTTAATACTATTCCTGATTAGTCAACTAATAATTAATTACTTTACAGTAAAACTGTTATTTTACAGAAATGAACCTTGAGGACGATGATGATGATGATGATGGTGGTGGTGAAGGTTATGTGGATGATGATGACGACGGTGGTGTTGACGGAAGATCTTGGAGACCGATGGATCCATATAAAGGTCCAAATAGAACTTGGAAATCATGGCGGAGCCGTCCTGAGGATGACAGTAGAAGACCTGGCAGTGAAAGCATGAACACAGCTCTAAAAGATTTACCTGAAGATCCTACACAGAATCAGAGGATTCCTAAGAAAAATGACCAATGGCAGCATTATAGAGATTGGCTTTTGAGACAGGGTACTAAAACTGCCCCGAAAACTACACAAGAAAGTACAAACACAAAAACTAACTTGTCGAAACCAATAGAATCAATGTCTGAAGGGAGGTTTGCTGGAAAGAGAGTGACAGAAAAACGAGAGGAAAGTTTTCAACCACGTCCACACTATCAAACCTGGTTAACAAAACAAGCGGATATTAAACGTGATGAAAGTAGTGATTTAACTAAAAGAGCGAATAATGGTAAACCTCTTGAAGTACAAAAAACTACTCATAAGCGCTACGAGGAGGCTTATGTAGACGATAAATGGTCAGAGACAAAACACAAGCCATCAGAAAATATGTGGCAACACTATCAAACATGGAAGCAAAAAAATAAAAATAATCCACCCAAACCTCGCTTCAAACCTGATGATAGCTTTGTGTTTTCAAAACCACCAGAAGATGTTGGTAATGACAACCGGTCACGAAAAGATGAAAACTCAATGAAGATCAATAAAAATGAAGCTTTAAATCAAAATACGTCCAACCCCGCAAACTACAGTGGTGAAATCACCAAAGGAATCAATGGCTTTGTCAGGTCAAAGTCTCCCATAGGAAATACTGTTTTTAATCGAGAGGCCAATCCAATAAACAATTGGAATCCGTGGCGAAATCCTCAGAGTGATTTACTTGATTCATCTTCTCCCTCAATACCTCATAAACTGCCATTCTCAGGACAAGGAAATCCAACTAGTGATATATGGGATAGTCATTTAGACTTTGGAAACAAAGTTAAATTAAGTAGTTTCGCTATTGATCAACGAAATTGCAAAGCTGACGATATTTTTGAAGTCAATTTTAACAAGAACAATTTACCCCCGATTAAAAACAAGAACAAAATTACTGGTTTTTATAAGTCTCTAACTCCAAAAATGATAACTACACAAGTTAGAACAAAGACAAAGACAAAGCAAATACAACATTTTGATCAAACTAATCCCGCGGACTCCCTGTTTCATGTACTTAACATTAATGATCCAATAAACTTAAATATAATGAATCAACAAGAAAATAATGGACAATCCTCAACTAACGTATCCAGGTCACTTGAAAAGTTTGCTATTATCCTTCAAGTACCTGAGAATGAAAAGGTCAGTATGATGTCAATGGCATCTTTGAATGGGTCAGAAAATACTAATGATTTTTCTAACGCTGAAATGTGTAAATCCAATGTTAATGAAAACGGAAGTGACGTATTAAAAATTGACGAGAAAGCAGTTCCTTCAGATACAAATAAACCAAAACGAAAATATACCAGAAGAAACCAGAGGGTTATCAATTGCATTCCGGAAACAGCCACCACAAATGATTCTAACAATAGTCAAGTAAAGAAAAAACGAAAGTACACTCGTCGTTCTAAACCAGTCCTCAATCCTGGTGAGTTTGAACAAGCAACGGGTTCAAATACTCATGAAACTCTTATTGAAACAGATGGAAACACTTTTCAAAGCTCTCAAGAAAATATTTATTCTTCAATTAGAAATGAGCCTCTCGATAACATTGTAACAGGGGCTATATCTGATACTTTTGAATCAGCAGTCATAAAGTCTAATACTGATATTAATGCAGTTTCAAATCATGATTCTATCACAGATGAAGCTTTGGACAAACATAGAGAAGAAACATCAAAAGGCTGTGGTGATTTAGATGTTATGAACATTAACCACCAAAAATTTAATTCTTCAGATGAAAATAACGACATAAACCCACTACCAAATAATAATACCTTGGAAGCCAGTGCCTTTTCCCCTGTTATCGAACCTGTTTTCCCCGTAACCAAAAAAGAACCAATGGATCCAAATCGTACTTTACATCACTGGAAGCATTACCAAACATATGTAACTAGAGGCGCAAAGGATGTCCCACAAGAACGAAAACTACAGAGCTTGGAATATAATCATAAACCACAACCGTTTGGTTCGAATTCATCTCAACCTACAGGATTCAGCAGTAAGGTTTATCCTCCTATATATTCAAAACCTCACGGTGATCATTGGAATCATTATACAGCATGGCTTTTAAAGAAGGGAATACAAAAGCTACTTTACAAATCTCCAACCTCACGCCCAGAATCTTTTCCAAAAGCTCCGCCTGATATTTCGAAATTAAGCCGAGAACAATCTACAACAAATGTGTCCAAGAACGTCGATCAACCAGTATCGAAAGGTGAACAAGTCGATACGGATTTTACCAAAGATACTACAGTGGATAATAAGATTGAATACTTACACCAACGTTGGTTAGCATGGCAACAAAACCTAGCATCCAAAATGGTAAACAAGCTAAACAAAATGTTAAAATATTATGAGAACCCGGAAGGAAACATAGATATCGACACAGTTAAGGTCCGAGATATGATTAAGCAACGTGATTACTGGAGAGAAATCCACAGGTGGACATCGCGGAAGGGATTTACACTCTATAATAAAACCCCTCCACAATCCCGCCCTTCTGGTTTAAATCTCGCTCGGTTGCAAACAGACAGCAAGCCCCAGTGGCTAGAAAACAGCACTAAACACAATAGTTACTCCTCCAATAACACAGCGAAACCAATTCGACCGTGGAGAACAAAAAGGTTCCAGGAGTGGGGTTCCCCTGACCCAGATTTATTCGTAGCTCCACCAAAAACATCTATTCTTAAAACTGAAACAACTGAATCTGAAACCCCAATAAATGAAACTGAAAAACTACCAAACGAAGCTGAAAAACCTCCAACTGAAACTAAACGACCAAAGTTTCCTTTTAAATCAGAACCCATTGAAGATCTTGACGACCAAGAAGTCAAGTATTCAACGCATAAGGGATTCTATCGAAATACTGCAGAGAGAATGAGTAAGATCCTATCTTCCAGTGAAAACACACTTAAGGAATATAAAGATAACTTGAGAAATCCCCAAAGTATACAAAACAAAAACTACAAGCCACGACAAAAAACTTCCGAAGGTAAGAATTACATTGATAGGGTAAAAATTAAGTCTGAAACCTCAATATAAAAATGGAAAAAAATACACACGTGGAACAAAAAAAAAGTTCACACGTGCTTACCCAATTACCGACCGGATAACCCCTTTAGGAAACGGTCCTCAAGGAGTCTGACAAAATTCTTAAATAGCAGCAAAGCAGTCGAATTTGGTATACAATTGAAGGTCTCCGTTAGTAAAATGACATCGCCACAAATCCGAACTCAAACGGACAACCAAGTCAAAAATGGGAGCCGTTCAAATATTTCCTTAATCTACCATTTTGAATATTTGAACGGCAGCCAATTTTTGTTTAGCTGATATTTTGAGCTCAAACTTGCGGCATTGTATTCTACTAATACAGGGTGAGTTTTAATTGTCCCCCCCCCGATTTTTTTCTACATTTTTTTCAAATATCAATCCCAGACCACTTCCAAACATTGTTGGGTAGTAAGTACTTCATTTTGACAAGATGGTAATTTCCGCCCGCCATCTTGGATCCGCCATATTGGATGCAAAATATTTTTTTCAAATGTAAAGGTGGGGTTGTGACCCATTATTTCAAACTAGATGTTTACCCTGATTACAATGTCGCAAACCGTTTCTAAAAATCCTGATTCATTCTTAAGTTATGAGGCCTTTTTAAAACTTTATTTTTAGCCCATTTTAACATTGTGCTTGTACAAACTAAGACCATAATCTCAAAATAGTGCTAGATAAAGATAAGTATACACTACCAGTCATTGTTGACCTATTTCCACTTGGTTATGAATGATGTATTTTTTTCGGCCGCCATCTTGGATCCGCCATTTTGAAATGGGATAAATTATTTTCAATATGAAGGGTGTGTTGTGACCAATCATTTTGAACTACTTTTTTAGGCTAAACTCAATGCCGTAATTCATTTTTTGTTATCAAGTATTATTTATGAAACATTGCAATAATTTTGAAAAAAATTTTAATATTTCAAAATCAAAATATGAAAATGAAAAATGGACCATGGGATTGAGTTCAGCTTAAAAAAACTAATCCGAAATTATGGGTCACAACACCCCTTTTATATTTAAAATAATTTATCACATTTCAAAATGGCGGATCCAAGATGGCGGCCGAAAAAAATACATCATTCATAACCAAGTGGAAGTAGGTCAACAATGACTGGTAGTGTATACTTATCTTTATCTAGCACTATTTTGAGATTATGGTCTTAGTTTGTACAAGCACAATGTTAAAATGGGCTAAAAATAAAGTTTTAAAAAGGCCTCATAACTTTAGAATGAATCAAGATTTTTAAAAACGGTTTGCGGCATTGTAATCAAGGTAAAAATCTAGTTCGAAATAATGTGTCACAACCCCACCTTTACATCTGAAAAAAAATATTTTGCATCCAATATGGCGGATCCAAGATGGCGGCGGGAAATGAACACCTTGTCAAAATGAAGTACTTACTACCCAACAATGTTTGGAAGTGGTCTGGGATTGATATTTGAAAAAATGTAGAAAAAAGTTGGGGGGGGGGACAATAAAAACTTACCCTCTACATTTAATGTGATGTTCATATTGGTCTATGCTTACGTTTATGATTTTCATCCGATTTTTAGTGGGCACCTTACAGTGTAATAAGCATTGCAAATTCAAGGAATATTTGAACAGCTGTCATTTTGGATCCATTTTCCGTTTGAGTTCGGGCTTGTGGCATTGTATTTTACTAACGGAGACCTTTAATTTGATACCGAACTCGACCTATGCTGGTATTTAAGAATTTTGTCTGACTTCTTGTGGACCGTCCCCCAAAGGGGTAACCCGGTTGGTAGTTGGGCGGACGAGTGCGTTACTATCACAAGCTCGTGTGAGCTTTGGTATTTTTATATTGTGGTTTAAAAATAAAAGGGGTTCTAGACTTAATTGTTACCCTGTATGTCATATATTCGATTTGCTTGACGAAAGAAGCTAGCAGCTTAAAGTTCCAGTTTTAAGTTTGGGAGAGAAATAATTAATCTATTAATTTTTGTGAATTAGCATACATATACTGTGGTACATACCTTTATTTACATTCGGAGTGGACAGCTCTTTTGGTAGAAAACATTATTACAGTCCCAGTCTTGTTCATGAAATTAACTGCAATGTTAAGGGTTATGAAATATTTTTTTTTATAATTCAATGAGTATAATGTCTCCTAAATGTTATAAAAGTCCACAACATCTTGTTACCAACAGTGCTCATTTAACGGATTTACAATGAGACACTTCAACGACTATCATCTCAAAAACACGAATAATTGTATTTTTTCTGATAACCTACCTAGTGGAGAGTAATGCTTTCTATTCTATTAATAGAGCTTTAGTTTTTATTGGCTCATAAGGTTGTCCATGTTTTCTTAAGAGGTTTGGACGGAAACAAATCCAGGCTGGACTTAAAATGAACACTTTTTTATGAAAGCGTTTACTTGAAAATCTTATAATAGTAAACCTAGAGGCCAGGCCGCCAACCTCTTTTTTAAAAGAAACAAAATAAATGCTCTATTTCATGACTGAAGTCACAGATAAAGCGATTCCAATTCATAATGTGTATACCACTAAACAAAAGACAGAGGTTGCCAGACTTTCGATTAATTTAGTTAATTTCAGTTTTTCTCATGTTTGGTTTATTATGGAATTTGAATTTTTTACATAAACATTTATATGGTGTATTCAATAATTCTTAGAACACGATTTTTTTATTACACTTTGTGTAAATTTTCTTTAGGAAAATTTATTTTATCTTGTTTGTTGTTAGACGAAGGTATGCCAATAGACGATCAACAGCAAGATAAATTTTTAAAGGAAATCAGTGATCTTTTGGGGCAAAACGTCGTATTAGAAGGTAGATCCGGGAAGTCTAAATCAAGATCTGAAAAACGCTTGGAAAGAAAACTTAAAGCCAAGTATCAAGTGGAAAAGAAGGAACGAAAAAATGCCAAAAAGGGTTACGATTTTGTGTTTAAAAAGAAAAAGATCGACTTAAGTGACGATGAAATGAAAGAATTCTCTATAGTACCAGCTACTGAAGAAGATACAAGTGCATCAAGTGAATCAGAGTGAACGCCCATCCATCCATTCATAGTCTATGAACATTTTTTGTAAGAAATCATAAAGCAAGGACTAAGTGAAATGAATGATAAATTAATCTTTGTTGATAATGTGATATGTCTGTAAGAATAATTTAACTACAAGCTATTACTAAAATCAGAATCGAGTCACAAAATGGTCACTGTTTTAAGCTAAGTAGATTTTCACTCAATAGTGTTGTTAGTTTGTACAATATTACTTTTCCTTATAATTGAAATAATTGGAGTAAATTTTATTAGTAAATATTTACTATACACAGACACGTTGCTGAAGGAAACAAAACAAATGTATTGCAAATAAAGTTGAATATCAAAGACAGCTAAAGATGTGTTAAAACCGATTTCACCGTTCTTTACAGCTACGTTAAAAAAAATAATAAGCAATAGAAAAAAATGGCGATTTATGATAAATGTTTAGCTATAAGTAAAATTAAAACTTAACTTTAACAACCATAGTGGAAGCTGGTTTTGGAATCCAAACTGTACTATGCAGTCTATAATAAAGCTACACCGTTTTGAATTGGGATTGGGAGAGGGAGATTAAGTTGAAGATTTTGTAGTTTTTTAGCTTTTAGTCTATTGCTGTATTTCTCATGGTAAGACCTAAACCCAGGATCAATTAGCTTTTTCGTTTTAAAGTTCTCAGAGGCCAAAAACACCATCAGTTCAAATTAATGTAATTTGTGTCTACGTTAGCCAAAAACTCATCATCCTATGTTTATAAAATTGTATATAAACGTGTAAAGTACGTTTAAAGAACGATTTCGTGAGCCAGCATGATTGTACAATGGGAATGGGCTTTTTGGGGGTTTTAAGGGGTAAATATTCCCCCTAAAGCATAAAGTTTAGCAACTTCTTTCTAAACCCTTTTGTAGAGCTTAACAAAATAATTTGAGATAATGGAGCATTTTTTAATGCTTAACGGTTACGGACAACATACAAAACTATAAATTTAAAATTTACATATTATTCATATAGCATATTTAATAATTAAAATTTTTTATTTTTATGTTTTTTTTTGTATATTTTGGTTTTTTTATTTTATACTAACCTATCACAATGCTAAAGAAAAACACTCCTTATAATTAATTACCTTCCCTGAAGGTAGGTAATTATAGGTTAGCTTACGTACTCATTAAAATAAATAATGCTATTATTAAGGTTAGGACAAATCTGAAAATTCAATACGTAACACATTTATATAAATTCACTTTTCAACACCTAAATAGTTCATTAAATAAACATAGCCTAATATTTTAATATTGTTGAATCTTCACTAAGCATGTAAATCATGTTTAAACATAATAATTAGTAGGCTACATTGAGTGTCATTAATTAATTATCCAACCTATATTCTTCACAGGGGAAGTTATTTTATACCATCTGACTCATGACACAAAACAATTAATAAACTGTATCAGCATTCTGACACATACTTTCTCCCATAAGTTTGTCAACAACCTTTATCATGTGTAAGTGGTGAGAGTAAATATACGGAAATGGGATTTGTATATTTTTTTCAGAATTTAATGGACTATAACATAAAATGTTTATCAAAATCGTTCAGGCCATTTTTGGGAAAATGCGATCTTTCCGTTATTTTATGGGAAAATAACATAATTTACAATAACTTTTGAACCGTAATTTTTACAGAAATGGGATTTGTACCATTTTGTTCAGAATATAAAGGACTATAACATACTACATTTTTATCAAAATCGTACGGGCCATTTTTGAAAAAATCCTATTTTTCCGTTATTTTATGGGGTTTTATGGGAAAATCCCAATTAAAAATCAAAATTTCTAAAAAAATGTAAAAACTATCAAACTTTTAAGGATCATAACATACTATGTGAAATCAAAACCGGATTTTTTCTAAAATCCTATTTTTTGTTATTTTATGAGGTTTTTATGGGAAAATAACATAATTTACAATAACTTTTGAGCCGTAATTTTTACAGAGATAGACCATTTTTTGGGGTTTAGACCATTTTTTTCAGAATTGAAAGGGCTACAACATACTAAATTTTATCAAAATCGTTCGGGCCATTTTTGAGAAAATCAAATTTATCCGATTTTTTATGGGTTTTTATGGGAAAATCCCCATTAAATTAAATATTTAAAAAAAATTCAAAAAAACCTGGAGATACCATGGATTAGAGCCTACATACCAAATTTCATCTAAATCAGACCACAGGTGTAGTCCCTGTACACACAGACACAAACACACGCACACACACACAGACATCACTTCGAAAATCACTTTTTTGGGTCCAGGGGGACACAAAACGAATACTGTATATCCACTCAAAACTCAAACTGGAAAATTTTGACGAAAATAATACTTTCTCCATATACTATGGGTATAGGGGGAAAAAGTAAAAATTATAAAATTAATAAATAAAACAAACATTTATAAAACTCATACATAGTACTAAATTTTCAATTAAATTAGCGAGTTAAAATTAGAAAGCACATTGTCAGCGATTTTCATGTTTTTCCCTCTAGACAAGTTTTACTTTGCACAATATTACAACATTGTAAATTTCCAATCATACTAACTAACTATGAAAATGTCATATTTACTAGGTGGCGTGTGCAGAGGCATCCACAAAATTGAGCGGGGGAGTCATCAGGGTTCCATATTATATATATTGTTATTGACCTTCACCATCGGGCTTCATGATTGTTTTTACCTACACATTTTTAAGTGACGACAACATTTATGTGAGGATAAATATTTGTGTAAGTTATACGTTGTTTCGTAATAAAGGGAAGTAAAAAACACAGGGATGTAATCTTAGGCCTTTTCGGAGACCTTTGTTTACATTTTAAGTTTATCGTAAAACAGGGTGGTACAGCTCTAGCTACTTATAACCTTAGAAATCAACCCTTTACAGTTTCGGATTCTCTGCCATCAATCTGAAGGTGATCGGAGACAAAGAATAAACCGTCAAGTTTTGGTTAAAACTGTTGTGCTTCCTGTCCTTGTTAGTCTTGACAAGTTCGAACTATTTGCTACGTAGCGGCATTTCCAACACATAATAAAATCCACAATCATTCAAGAAAACCAGCGTATGGATGATACGTGAACTTTTTTTTAACGTGTACGGTTTTCATTCAAACTAATTATAAAAGCTAATATAAAAAAAATCTGTTTTCTCAAGTTGGCCAATCACATAAAAATACCAACTAAGACTATCATTTACAAAGCTGTATGTATTACCATGTAAACATTAAAACACATGGTTCTGTTCTCAAAACCCCACAAGATATATATACTAATTCAGAAACCAATTTATCGCTAATATTTTTTTTTTTAAGGGAGAGGAAGTAAAAATGCTTTTACGCACACAAGGAGCCAGCCTGTAGTGTGAGACTCCTGAGCTTGTCAGACTACTCACTAAAAAAACTCCTCTACTCTGTTGGACACAGACCTGGAATTGTTTGTCACATTACTTCAGGTCAGGTCAACGTGTGACCTAAGCCCTAAGGGCTCGCGCCGTTTCTGGCATTCAATTTCTTTATGACCTAGACTGCATCTCGGTCAAGCTCTAGCTTCTTTGTGCGGAGAATACCCTGGACGAAATGTGACATACAGGTCTAATTGTCCTCACCCTAAACAACAGCCCTACATGTTGTTCAGCCTCCAGGCGGGAACCTTCCCATCGCTGGCATCGGAAGAAGGTGTGCTCCGCGTCGTCGGGAGTGCCTGGGCAGTGGGTGCAATCGGGTGACACGGCTTTGCCCATCCTGAACAGGTACGACCGAAAAACCCGTGACCTGTCAGATACTGGGTAAGGTAATAGTCCACCTCACCATACCGTCAGTCAACCCATGGTTGGAATTGCTGAATCAGTCTCCTGGTCCAGCGTCCCCGCAACTCCTATTCCCAGCTCTCCTGTCAGAGCTGGTAGGTGCGGTTGCGCTCCTCCGTTTTTGCATGGTCCTCTCCACGCCACTGATAAATCACTTTCCTCTCCGCCACGTTTGACGGGGATTACTCCAGCAACCACCAAGATGGAAGGTTCAGACACTGTTAGGTAGGCGGATGCTACCCTGACGCTGCACTCTCTAAGGACGCATCCTATACACCTCCTTATTGAGTACGTATGCCCACACTTGAAGCACAAAACAGTAGCAAAACTGGCAACAGTGTGTACAGTAGCAAAACTGTAGCAAAAACAGCCATTGCCACTCTGGATATGTATGGCCACACTCAGCTAAAGCTGTGTAGCTAGGCTATCTACACTACAGTTCTCGAGTGGCAATGATTTATGTTGCACTCTTATTATACAAATAACAATTCCCTTGTTTAGAATCGTGCATAAGCTATGTTTTTAGCTTGAAGTCCGTGTTTACTGTACTTATAATACTTATGATGTTATTTCTTAGTTGTCTAAAACCATTTTGCCGCTACTTGTATATTAAAATAATGTAATTGTTTTAGTTTTACCTAGGCATTTCGTTATCTTAGTGACTATTTTTGCGACATAATAAAAAGTATCGTTCATAAACTGATGGCGATTTCCGTCACTTGCTCTAATTATTCCCATCCTCGCCTTCGCCTTGTAGGTGAAAATACCTCTTGCATGCTCAGCTTCGCCTTGAACGTGAAATTTCGAGTTCTTGTTTTCGGCTGGACGCATGAAACTTGAGTGTGCACCGGAAAATGTCACTACGTTACTAGTTAAAAACGTACTATTTATAAAACTGCAACCATTCCCATAATATTCACAAAGATACCAATCTGGCTGGATTTTAGTTTCAGACACTGCAGTTATACAATGGTTTTGAGACCCTTCAACTAATTTTTACTGTTAATGAACTAAATATTATAATTACATTTTATTTGCAATATATTATGTAATGCCCTTAGCTTAAGTTATAACTAAAAACTTTGATTTTGCTAACATTAGTATCACAAAACTTATTTAAAGTAAATCTTACAATAGGGCAGCTTTGATTAGAACCTCCCAGGTTGTATCAGGTTTCATTTAAGGAGTTCTTTTCTTGTATTTTCGCTTCTTCTTTTTCTTCACATTATCCTCTTCTCCGTCGACTTTGGCGTCGGGAGTCGATGAAACTGTAGTATCTGGCTCTGAGGGAGTTGAAGGTGCGTTTTCATCATATTCCTTCTTCTTCAGTAAGGACAAAAATGATCTTCTTCTTGCATCATCGGGTATAACCGTACCCACTATTCCCATATGTTTTTTTATTACAAATGCTCTTTCTTCGATCTGTGTTTTCACAAACCCCTTTGTCAGTTCCTCAATGGCACTAGGTGATTCCTCCGTGCATATGTTGGGAATGTAACCAAAGATAGTCCAGTGGTTTAAGCTGGTCCAAGCCTTTCCGATGTCTGGCTTTGGAGGTATAATTTCAGTCTTTTTGTCTAGCTGTGTCGTTGAGGGTTGTTTCTGTTTTGCTTCAGTCTCTAGCTTGGCAAGATTTTCCTGGGCTGCTTTGATGGACTCTTCAGTCCAAGCCTCGGGGAGGGTTTCCAACACAGCTGGAGATACTATGCCCTTCTCGGTCCTCCCGCTGCCAAAGTTGAAGGCCATGTTGCTGTACGTCTTCTTGTTTCGTGGAGGTTTCCTGTCGAGCGGCCTGATGCGACCTAGGACCACGTGTCCCGGTGCTGAGGATTGATCGAAAACTTCTATTCTCGGCTGTTTTTCTACCTTTGCGTCTTTTAATAAAGTGTCAATTTTCCTTTTTATCAACAACTTGTCGGCTGATTTTTGAAGCATGGTTAACAGAAACTCCCAGTTCTCCGCTAAAATCAAATGTGTATTTGTGAACATCATTAGCCAAAAGTCGTAAATTTAATGTAAAAGTTAGTTTTTAATGCAGTATCTAGAAACATACTATTAAATTGCACCAATGGGTTTTATAAATTAAATTGGTTCAACCATAGAAAAATAACTAAACAAACCAGTTACCTAATGTTGCGTCATTTCGATGGTAAAAAATTAAATTCCAAAAACAACAAAGCCTGATCATCGTTTAAAATGAGTGATTTTTGTCCCAGGTAATTTATCCAAGCTCTGTCATTTCCATACTAGAAACCACCACAATTAAATCGTTCGGGATAAAAATGTTAATAGAGTCTTGCATATTATGTATATCTTGTAGAGGGTTTAAATAAAAATATTTATCTTTCACATTTGTTTACGACAATTTTTCTAAGACATCAAATACTACTTTAAATTAATAGAGAAACAGAATCTAAATTACGAATTATTTTAGCGTCTAACATTTACGTGACAGAAGCATATCTCATATAATCTATAAACCCCATCATTTCTTGTCTTAACAAGAGTTGCTTCATAGATTGGTGACGCAGCCTAGTCACAGCTGTACATAAAGTGTTGTTCACAAACCTCACAATGTTTACCTGTCATTCTCGTTTGAAACTGGGCTAAATCGTTCCCCATTACTGTAACTGAATAAACCACACCTCTTGCTACCTAAAAACTTATAAGACTTCACAACTGGTATTATTGTTAAAATGTGTTCGATAGAATTCTCTTGTGCTAAATGGAAGATAATATTGTTTTCTTTTATTAATTCACCCTCCGACATGTCTGCAACATTATAAGATTATAATAGATAGCCCTTATCTAAACTGCTACTGATAAAAACAGTAATATCCCCATTGTCGTGGGACGTAATGGTATAATTTATGCCTACTTAGATTTTAGTGTTCCTCGAATACTTACTAGTTAACTGTTCCATATATTTCCTGAGTATAAATACACAATTCGATGTTCGAAACTTATCATCATATTTAACTTTTCTTAGGATGTATGTAGCCTTGAGTTTTTATTCGTTAGAACCCTTGTCCTTACCAACTTCGAGTACGGCAGAACAAACGCTAGCTGTCTCTACGGGGGTTTCTCTAAGACAATCTTCGCCAGTCTTTTTCGTTGCTATATTTGAGCTGGGGTCTTTGTTTTCCAGTTTCGACGTGTCACTCTTTGTTTTACCAGTCACTTCAGCTTTATTATTTCTGTAAGTTATGTTTGATAAAACCTTATCCTCACACTCACCCTTAGGAGGTATGGGATACATTTTTCCTAAAATAAAATTCCCACCTTTCTCTTTAAATACTTTTAATCGTTCATCAATTATGCTAACAGGGTTGAGATGTTTTTCTATATTGTTGTCTACGTTAACTACACTAAACATAAACTTAGACCAAGCGTCTTTCCAATTTTTTCTAGTCAATTTGGCTAGAGTTCCAGGATCTGACTTTTCTTTAAAATACTTAGCTCTAAACTCTTCTATCAGTTTTTGAGCTGATATAATCTGCCCTGTATTCCAGTCTTTAGGATTGGAACCAAGTAATGATTTTTCAACATCGACATCAGACTTGTATTCATCTGGACCTGGATTTATGTTATTTGATTCCCAAAATTCAGGATGACCTCGAAACCGTATTCTTCCTAGAATGTTTCCACTTTTGTAAATATGCATCTCAGGTGTTGTCGTTTTATCTTGAGAGACTTTTGATGTTATTATATCAACCTTTCGCTTCATCAACAATTTTTCAGTAGCTCCTTGTAACAGATTTAAGTAGGATTCAAACTCTTTATCTGAAAGTACAAAGATGTTTTAAAACCAGAGATTGTTTTTAAGTAGTTTTGGATAATGATATAATAGATAATAGATATAATGGAAATAGATGTTATTTTTATAAAGGATTTAAGCACAAAGACATGTAATAACATTGAATACACATCCATGGACTACTATTGTACCATTCATAATTACAAAGTTAATTTTAAATGGTAATCTTGATCGGTCAAGCAGTATGAGAGTAAACGAAATGAAATGGTTTATTTATACAGGCAAAGTTAGGGCCACATAGCCCAGAGAGAGGACGAATGTAACAGTTTCACAATCTTAAACACATATCCATACGAGACTACCATATGTAATTAATTATGTATCCACATTAAAGTAGGTTGAAGCTTTCATCTTGAATGTGTGTCAACGTAAATCAAGATTATTGCAAATATAAAAGAAGGGCCTTAAAAACCGTTCAATGTGACTGGACGGCTGACTAAATCAAAATGCCATGTATCCCATTCTATTGATGGTGATTAACAAATTAAGGAATATCTTACTAAACATTATTTATACATTTTAAAATAAATTATCTAAATCTATAAATTTGTATTTATTTGATCTACCATTACATACCAAGACTCGACAACAGTAAAATTAATACAAAAAATGTCGTGGCTTTACGTACTCGGCAACTATATCTTCCATTTAAAATGTAATTATTGACTTTTAAGATTTTTTTCTAATTATATATTTATCAGATTAAATAAAGTGAGAATTGAACTTTGAATGTAATCTCAAAATGTATTTAATTTTTTTATGGAACTATTACAAAATATTAAGAAAGAAATAACAAGATGCTAAAATGCACCATACCTTCTAAACGTGTTCTGGCAGATTCAATCTCATTACCCATGTTTTAACAAAGTATAGATTCTAATCTATCCATGACTTCAACCCTGTATATTTTACATACTGAATTTTAAGTAAGGTTTGTCTGATACTTATGTCAATATCCGGATACAACATCAATGCTGCAAACACAGTAACCGGCAATTTTATCCACAATTTTCTTTTTTTAACACGAAGTATTAACCTAAAAACATTTTCACACTTCTCAAATATACTAACGATTATCGCTTATCGTGATGGTTACAGAAACACGTTTAAGATATGCATACACTTACTTATCTGTTGATGATTTGTTAATTGGTTTCAGTGCCTCAAAAACCAAGTGGACCTAATCAATGGTAAAAAATTTCAAAGCGCAGAATGGAGAAAGAATTGTTTTCGTCAAAATTTTCGCCCCAATAAAACCCCATAAAATAACGGGAAAATATAGTTTTCTCGATAATGGCCAACACTATTTTGATAACAATTTAGTATTACGTAGCCCTTTAAATTCTGAACAAAATGGTAGAACTCCCATTCCTGTAAAAATGACGGTTCAAAAGTTATTTTAACTTATGTCATTTTCCCATAAATAAAACCATAAAATAAGAAAAAAAACATTTATTGTTCAAAAATCCGAGTGCGATTTAAATTTGTATGTAAAATTCCTAATTATTCTTAACAACATAATGCAACCCCCCATTTGCTGTACAAATGACGGTTCAAAAGTGATAGTAACAAAAAATAGATTTTTCGAAAAAAACTGTTCTGATTGAAGTTCTTCTGTTATGGTCCTAATAATTCCAAACAAAATACCTCCCCCTCCCACTCCCCCCCCCTCTCCGTTCTTGTAAAAACTACGGTTCAAAAGTACATGCGACTTTTGTGAGTTTTACATATTAATCATAGTTACTCTCATCGCTTTCCTATGATAAAGGTTGTTGACAAGCTAATGGGAGAAAGTAATGTGCCAGATTGCTGATACCGTTTATTAATATTCCAATAGTGAATAGTAACAGTAAAAAGCGCTTATTCAGGGTTAAAAACGAGGAGGCCGTCATCACCAACAACATCTTCAGTGTTAGAAGTTGAATTTGTTTATGATATTTATAATTTTCTACTCGTATCAGTCACTATCATTAAGGGGGCCATTGGGACAACGGTCATCGATGTTTCCAACTAATTTAGTATCGGAAACGACCTGTTCTACAGCTATTTTATTTCTAAGTGGTAAAGTAAACGATTTAGATGATTTGTTTACGTGCATGCCATTATCATTCTTTTGACAGTTACCTTTACTTGATTTCGTTTTATCGAGGTTAGAGTCAATTTTAGGAATCTCGATTGGCCCAGCTTTATTTAAGTTTCCATGTTCGCCCAACGCAACTAAATGTTCTATGGGCACATTTAGAGAAACAATTGGATTTAGAAAGGTTATATTTATATTGATGTTTTTAACAGAGTTATTTGATTTCTGAGGATTAGAAATGCTCTGTGTTTCCATATTTTGTTTACCAAAAGATGAGTTCTTCTCCGCTGGAGTTTGGATTTGAGTTTTTGCTCTTGCTCTTCTTGTTTTTTCCTCTTTGACTAGAATTTCTTTTTCTTTTTTTATCTTTGCTTTTTTTCTTAATTTGCTTCGATCTTGCCTACAGGGTTTTGGTTTATTAGTTATTTTTATACCATCGATATCTTTAAGACTTTTCCTTCTTTGTATGCTGGTATCCTTAGGATGCATTTTATTAGGTTTTGATTCATTGCAAAACTTACTTGATATTTTATTAGTTTTAGTATTGTCAGCTTTTCGTTGTACTTTCTCTTTTTTAATATTGTAGGTTGTCTCTGAAACAAAATTAGATAAGATAAATTAATGAAAACTATATATTGTTTCTTTTCTAATGTTTATAGTGGGTTCGGATTGTCATTTACTTAGATTCCAATTTAGTTTTATTTCAATATTATTTAATAATAAGAAGCTTTTAGTTCATTCTTTTTTTTAGTTTTGATAATTTTCACAAGGAATATTTTTTTCTATCTCATTACAATTTAAGTTTTTTTTTTTACTTAGAATAATATTTATTGTAAATCTTCATACTTTAACACTATGTAGTTACACGTACCAGTCAGCAAACCAGCTTATTCTAGTGTGGTTTAAGTTGTGATGATTAATCTTTTCCAAATCATTAAAGTATCATCGATGTTATTTGAAGTCAACATATCTCATATTATATTTTACATAGTGAAGATAAGGATTTTAGTAAACCTTTTTTTGTTTTAAACATATTCAGCTTTAAATCCATAATTTTAACATTTTCTTTATTTACGTAATACTTAAATACGTACGTAAATATTTAAATATATTTTAAACTGGCAAAATACAAACTATAGCACAATAACACAATAAATAGCTTTATATATTATTGTCCATTGTCTCCTTTACAAAACATGGGTTTGTCACAAACGATTTTGATCAAGTAACGTATATTTTAATAGATAAACTATCATAACAACTATGCATGAGTCCTCTCGTAGGACATTAAAGTTGAGTGCATCTACTTCAAAAACAACGCGGGATCACGGATTTAGTCTGGTTGCAGGTCAAAAAACCTGGAAGTAAGGTCCACCCGATGTTTTTTAGTGGTTTCTGTTTCTTCAAGACCTACATAATTAAAAAAGGCAGGGTGCCACTTTGTCACCCTTGAGCAAATTGAGATATTCAAGATGGCGGCCAAGATGACTTAAAAACTATACAGTGTTAGTAAAAAGTGTGGAGACCCGCTGTTATTTATTTAACGGCCCATACTAAAAAAACTAAACTCGGCACACCATTATGGCATGTTATGAAGTACTTTTTGGGCATAACCGCCACTTGGTGTTCATCCCCAAAATGGGGGATTTTGGGGGAAACTCAAACATTTCAAACACAAAGACACATCGAGTGACCCCTCATTTTAAAGGTCCTGGTAAAAGAAAACCAACAACACAAATTAGAGGTCTCTATCTCAGTTCAGTAAAAAATGGCAGCCAATTGAAATTCTCATAAGTTCCCAAACCCAAAATGGGGGATTTTGGGGGAAACTCAAAAATTTTACATGATAAGCCCCATCGAGTGACCCCTCATTTTGAAGGTCATAATAAAAGAAAACTAACAACGCAAACTATAGGTCTCTATCTTAGCACAGTAAAATATGGCAGCCAATTGAATATAAAATTTCAAGTTATTTCCGATTTCTAAAGAGTTCAATCAGCTTCCATTTTTTTATAGCTTTGAAATTTTTGAGTTTCCCCCAAAATCCCCCATTTTGGTGATGTACACCAAGTGACGGTTATGCCCAAAAAGTACTTCATAGCATGTCATAAAGGTGTGCCGAGTTTAGTTTTTCTAGTATGGGCCATTAAAAAAATAACAGGGGGTCTCCACACTTTTTACTCACCCTGTATATCTGCTGTATCTTTCCCTATAGAAGAGACAGGATAACCATTTTGTGCCTAGTTTGATGTTTTAATTGGAAAATTACCCAAAATAATAAATCAATATAAGTTTTTAATAATTTCCACATTAATTTGTTGCCAAGTTACCTTATCAACAATGTTATCAAGTATTTACTTGACTCAAAACATTATAAATCTATGGTTTCTGAGGATAAGTGCAACATTCAAACAGAACACAGTAATCAAATCAGTTAACTTACAAGCAGTTCTCCTAATTGATGCTTGTGCTGTACTGTGGACAGTGCATTATCCTTCTTCAGGAACTGTGTAAAAAATGTAACTTTATCAACTGCTTTTTAAATTATAGTTTTCTTGAATTAAGAAAACAACACTGTTCTTTAGGCTAGTCAAAATACGGTCCAACATCAAACTTAAGGTAAAAGAAATAAAATATATTTCTTCCCCATATTCTTCCCCACATATTCCAAAATATATGGGATTTTGTCGACAAAGGTGTCAAAAATATTATACTAAATACCCCCGCCCCAGCAAACCTGGCGACTAAGCGAATTTCCATTTGTCTGAATTGATTTACAATTAAATTTATTTAAATAACATTAGTTTTAATGAGTACCTAGGTTTGCTGCTACAACGAAACTAATAAAGTGTATTTTTTGTAAAATATTAATAGCTTAGTGTAAAATAAATAAATTTGCCAAGTTTGATCAAAATATATCCATAAAAAAGCAAAATACAACAGTTTACAATATTCTCCATAAGAATAACATTGGAATTTTAAATTTACAATTTTTGGATTTTCTCCGTTACCAATAATCGTACAAAAACACATTGATATACTAAATTATTTGTTTTTTTTTAGCTCTTTAAAAAGGTCTAGAAAGAAATTGGGTAATTTTGTGTTTTGAGGTTCAAAAAAGAGAAAAACCATTTTTACCCCATAAAACCTCCCGTAAAACCCCGTTCCCATGGTCCGATCATGCTGGTTCGCGAACTCATTCAAGTTTATCCCGCCTTACACCTTTAAACCAAATTTCATCAAAATCGGACAAAAATTACTCAAGTTATCGCGTTCACGGACGTATATATATATATATATACATATATATATGTAAATATATATATATATATATATACATATATAAAAATTTGAACGAATGGTGTTTTTGGCTTCTAGGGTCATCAAAATGAAAAAGTAAATCGGTCCCGGGCCTAAGTCTTACCGTGCCACCTACGGTAATAGCTACTTCCCTATAGGGAAATTCGCTAAAATCAAGAAAAATCCAAGTGGTGGAAAGCCGCCATTTTTTTAAAAACTTCCGCCATATTGGATTTATGTAAGCTTTTAGTAAAACATCAATAATTTGACAACTAATCGTCTTAACAATCTGCGGTTTGTCTTAATAGCTTCCTCATCAAGTTTACTTTGAGATAATAATAACTTTATACCATTTAAATATTGATTTATTTAAAAGGGGTGTAGGCACATGACCGAGGCTGTAATCCTCTTAATCACGGTCGGTTGACCTGTCAGTTTTAGGTTGGTGTCGAACGCTTCCGCATCATACCGTGCATAGCCGAACTGTTCGCGGCAAATTGTTAACTCTATCACCGTCGCTGTCAAAACGTATCGTTTATAGGTTAGATTTAAGTTTAATTTAACTGTCATAACCTAACCAAACTAACCAAACTTGCTGATAATGAAAAATCGAATGAAGGTTTAATAATAAAAAAATAGTTCTGTTCATGAAATAAAATTACAAATGCCTAACATTTAATTTTATAATTTTTTTTAATTATAAAATAAACTATCATAACCTAACCAAACCAACCAAACTTGTTGATGATAAAAAAAATCTAATATTGGTTAATAATTGAAAATAGTTTTGGTCATAAAGTTATAAATTATAACAAAAGATGTACAGTTAAGAAGTAATCGCATTCTAAGCGAAATCTTTGACAAAAAGTTAACGCCTCCGGTGGGATTCAGAATTCTCGATTCCCCACCCCTCTACTGGTGACCACTACCCTCAGGCCATAAATCAGGTGATTAACCTAAACAAAGATCTGGGACGCTGTCCGTCTCCCATTTAAAAGAGACAGCTTTAAATAGAAACAATACCAAATTTCGAAGATTCGTTTTTTGTAAAACCTTTAAATGTTTGCAAATACAAACTCAGGTGATAAGAACATTCATATTTTGTGGCTCTTAAAAGAATCTGCATAAAACTTTGAACAATTATCAACCTCATATCAGTTTGTATATTGCTTTGAAGATATATTATGGGATATATTGTTATTAGTCTTCAACTTGGAAAGCTAGCCGTGCTGCACCACTACATCTAGTCCGGTTAAAATACACTTTGAGGTGGGAAAAATTTCTTTGAGAACATTTAAGACATATTTTGGAATCATACATTGATACATATAGGGCAATTTATAAAAAAAATCTGACAAAATCCGAGCATGAGAACACTGAAAAAGTAGGGGTTTTGAAACATACCAAAATTCAATTTTTCATAATAGACAATTACATACAGTGTAATAGAAAAGTCCCGGAACGGTTAAATATTTTTAAAAATAATGCAAATAGAGCTAAAATACTTGGTACAAAGTTACAGGGCATAAAACTCTATTTTAACATCTGCCATTTTGCGCAGGATCAACCTTTTCAAGTGCAAATTGCGGCATTGTATTCTACTAAAAAAGACCTTTAATTTGATGTGCATATTGACCTATGCTTCCATTTAAGATTTTCTTCCGACTCCTTGTGGGCCGTCCCCCTGAAGAATTAATGGATCACTGAATATGTGTTAAAATAGAGTTTTATGCCCTGTGACTTTGTACCAAGTATTTTAGCTCTATCTGCATTATTTTTTTTAATATTTAACCGTTCCGGGACTTTTCTATCACACTGTATATGTGTCCGTGAACACGATAACTTGAGTAATTTTTATACAATTTTGATGAAATTTGGTTTGAAGGTGTAAGGCGGGATAAACTTGAATGAGTTTGCGATCCAGCATGATCAGACCATGGGAACGGGGTTTACGCGGGGTTTTATGGGGTAAAAGTTGTTTTTTCTAATTTTTGACCCTCTAAACGCAAAATTTTCCAATTTCTCTTCAGACCTTCTTAAAGAGCTTTAAAAAAATAATTTATTATATGAAAGTGTTTTTGTACCATTATTAGTTACGGAGAAAATTAAAATAATAATTATTTTTAAATTCCCATGTTATTCTTATGGGGAATATTGTAAAATGTTGTAGTCTGCTTGTTTATGGATATATTTTGATCAAACTTGGTAAATTTATTTATTTTATACTAAGTTATTAATATTTCACTAAAAAACACACTTTTTTACCCTCCCTGTAGCAGCAAGCCTATATACTCATAAAAATTCATGTTAATTAAATACATTTAATTGAAAATCAATTCAGGCAACTGGAAATTCGCTTAGTTGGCAGGTTTGCTGCGGCGGGGGTATTTTATTACTTAGATAATCAATTATTGGTGTTCTCTGACCCTTAAAACATAAAATTAGACACAAAAATTATTATCCTGTCTCTTCTTTAGGGAAAGATACAGCAAATATACAGTTTTTAAGCCATCTTGGCCGCCATTTTGAATATTTCAATTTGCTCAAGGGTGACAAAGTGGCACCCTGCAGATTTTAATTATGTAGGTCTTAAAGAAACAGAAAACACTAAAAAACATTGGGTGGACCTTACTTTCAGGTTTGGGTGAAAAATGCCTTTTGGCAACTAGAATAAATTGCCCTAATTTGTTTGACTGTAATAACTAGCAAACTGGACTTTGTCTCTGACTTATTCCAAATATTATTTATTTACATTTTACGGATCCTACTTACTGTTTTGTTGCGTCGTTTGGAACCAGGGAAGTAGGCTAAGCAATCCTCTTAGTATATTCCCCATTGTACCCCCATTGACGTTTAAAAATGTTCTGAATTTGCTGTAATACGGAAAAAATTATCAGTAGTGTTGGTATGAGTAACGACGACTTACAACACACTATACAGGTTTAGCTCCGTTACAATACCCAATCAGGGTTAAATGTATCGTATGCATGTAATCAATCGTTTTATTCCAAATAATCTTTGTTTAGATATGAAACCAAATCAGTTTACACGGTTAAAACGAATGCAATTTATCTAAATCATTTTATACTTCAACAAGATTAAATATTTTAAGCTTTAATCATAGACGATGTTGTATTTCTACCATTCAATTACTTTTTACATGAAACTTGTCCATGTGGGTCCAGTTTCCATAAATAGACACAGTAGTAAGAAAGGTAATTCGAACTGCATATCATGTGCTTACATCAATATGTTTAGGTACATTTAGCAATCAACAAACTTAAAAGCTACACTATTAATAGGTTACTGTATATAATTTATTATTATAGGTACACCATATCAACAAATAAACACAATTGTTATCATCATATCGTATCAGTAAACGTATACGATCGTTACAAGCGTATACATTGATTGTGGTTATATTGCTCGCTTGGTCACCGGGTCCCCAAACCCAAGCGGGTCGGGGTCGGGGTTGGTCCTTTTTGTTTTGTTGAAGAGTTTGTAGCTTTTTGATGGTTCGAAAATGAATCCAGTTTTCCTTTGGTCATTGGGCTAGTAAAACAAATTATCTTACACAGTAACAAAGCTACACAAGGCATCTCACTTCTTTCTACACTCATCCAACACTCAAATTCGGGTTAAAATACGCACCTTCGTATTTCCATTAATTTGCCTGAGTAGATTTTCACTTAAATATCTCCTTAAAATGTTCATGTATTACCTATTAAAATTACATAGTTTAACAAGTACTTAGGTCTACTGCTATAGGTAAGGTAATAAAGTGTTTTTCGTAATTATTTTATTAAATTTTCATTGGTTCATAGATATGGGATAGGTAATTTTACAAAATTGAATATGTTCATAAAAAAAAACTACAATAGTTTACTTATTCTCCATAAGAATAACGTACGAAATTTAAATTTTCCATGTTCTGAAATTTGTCTATAGTCAATAAGCGCATAACAATGCTTGAATATAAAAAATATTGGTTTATTTAAACTTTACACAAATGTTTTAAATTTAAAGATTTTTGTTATTAGGGTAAAAAAGGGAAACCCCAATTTTTACCCGAAAAAATCACCATAAACCCCTGTTCCCATAATCCGATCATACTGGTTCGCGAACTCGTTCAAAAAAAGTAGTCAACAGTACTAGCTTATTCCTTATATGGAAAATTCGCTATAATGTATCAGCAAAAATATACGGACGCCATTATGTCCCCTGTTCAGTCCGTGCACTGCTTAAGGGAGATTGTTGCTGATCAATATATTTTGAGACTCTAGAGTAGGTTTAAAGGGATCGTAGTTCGTGCTTGGTGTGGGCAAATATCAGTAAGTTGTGTGAAGGTGCGAGAAGCGGCGGAGTTACATGTATCAGGCAAGATATCGACGACAGAGGCCATTCTGAGCTCAGTTTACACGCCATGGCGAGCGTTACTCCACGACTAGGCAAACATGGACCCTATACTTTACCTGCAGACTCCTATACTGTACATGGAACGAGGGTCACTTATTTAAACCTCTTCAATTAGAAAAATGTTTGGAATTTTACCACAAGCCTGATGACATTTAAATAGTGAGTTTTAAGACTGGTCTGGGCTACCTAAGTAAGAAGATTATCAGTACACTCCGTATTTAAAAATATGCTATAGTTTATTTTTTATGTACAACACTATAAGAAAGTTTTATTACATGTTTAACTTTTTTACGTCTGCTAGCAGCGTAATTCTAACAACCTCTCTTATTAGGATATTTGAATGGATTTGGAATGGATATTTTCGTTTGATAGATTTATTATTTACTTATATTTAATATAACATTCAATACTTATTGTTTGTCTGTATTGTGTTCTGTCTTTTCAAGGAGAACCGCCCACCACTCTTTTACAGCGTGCCGTGGTGTTTAGGTTGGGATAGCTTAGTTCAGTTTAGTTTACCATTATAGAAACAAGGTACCATTTAAAAAAAAAACCTTTTTCTAAACTGGCGGAAAAACAGGACACGAATACAAATATTTCTCCTAAACAAATTACATCAAATTTCGACCTTTTTATGTATACATGTTACCTTATTAGCTATTATCATCAACTAAACTAAGTCAAACTGAGCCAACCTAACCCCCGCAGAACTGTGTGAGTCTTCTTGTAAACACACTTATAATTAAGTGTTAATATAGAATAAATACAATCGATATTATAAGCGTGAAAACTTTACCCGATATTATATATGAAATAAACTAATATGCAATTCGATAATATATCGTAGGTTCTCAGCGGAATTTTACCTGAAACCCTAGGATATTAAATACGTTATGTTCTTATTTTTCAAATAAGATCATTGGCTAACAAAGTGAAAGTGATCTTGTTATGCATAAGGTAATCACACGGCTAACTGATAGTGAGATGTTAGGGTACCAGCGCCCCTGAGGGTAATTTGTTTCTCTTCCCTTTTATTTCTCATTTTCCAGCAGTTATTTCTCATAAATGTCGCTTCTAAGTGAATAAGTGCTCCTTTGCAAAGTCTTGCAGCTTGATTTTTACAGCCTTCTAAAGTAACGCACCCAGATGAAATTTTATGTAAAAATCTTAACAAAACATTCTACGGTGTTGCTGTTTCGATACAATTTCATTTTAACTGGTATACATTTAAAAAGTAAGAGTTTTGCTGTTTTTTTTTTAAGTAAAGTCCCGAATAATAATACTCCTACTCTTAACAGTATTTACATTGGTATAATCATAAATATTCAAAATAATATACTGAAAAATAAAACACTATAAATAATAATATGTACTAAAAACTGTGTACTTTAGTTTGATCCAGTGCAAACACAAACACAAAAACATATCCACAAACACATCCACAAACAATAAAAAAATCATATGATGTACTTATAACAGTATATTTTAACTGATGGCCTTGTTTTGACTATACTGCATTATATCACCATTATTATGCTGGAAGATCGATCAACTACTTTGCTCCTAACAACCGTTTGCTGCCAACCCACAGTGTATGACGGATAGTTGCACTACTTATTTGAAGGCGTCCCAAAGATATTTATTTTTCCATTTTGGATTTTGTTCAGTATTGGAGCTGAGTGATGTCAAACAAGACATAGATTAACGTGTTATTTTTTGTTACACTACTGATACCTACTTATACAGGGTGATTGGTACACAGTGTGACAAAAATTTTTTGGTGTAAGTACAATGTAAATGAAGTGTGATGATGCATGTAAAATGTTCTAAGTCTAAAAATTATCTTCCCAAAAAATTATTTTATGTTTTTTTTTTTTAAATAACCATGCTTTTAAACTCAATACAGCGATTTCTCATTTGCCTGTATATGGATTTGAGTAGATAATGTCATTTTTGTGTTCTACATTAAATTTTGAACAAGAATAATAGAAAATGATGGAGGATCAGTTGTAAAAACTCCATTGTAAATAGATTCAAAGATAAAAATTAAGTTGTTTGATAAAAATTTAAAAAAAACAATGGTCTATTGCATTTTTCACACCCTGTATACAAGAAAGTGTTATAATTTGTTTAAAACAGCGCCATTTAATAAGCTTTCGAACCATATGCTACACTATTGAGGTTTAGATGTTTTTTTGTTTGTTTTATTGGTTTGAATACCAGAAAACAGGGAACTTTTTTACTGATTTTACTGTTCAAGCAGAAACAAAAATACAACTTTTGCTTAATACATGCCGTATTTCTATGTTTTAAGTGTTAAAGACACCATGCTTTGTAGTCTTCAAATCACTAAAACGTACATAAGCAGACATAAAGCTCATTGGTGTAGCATATGGTTGGAAAGCTTATAAAATGGCGCTGTTTTTGACATATTCCGACACTTTCTTGTATACAGGGTGTGAAAAATGCAATAGACCATTGTTTTTTTAAACTTTTATCAAACATCTTAATTTTTATCTTTGAATCTATTTACAATGGAGTTTTTACAATTAATCCTCCGTCATTTTCTATTATTCTTGTTCAAAATGTAATGTAGAACACGAATATGACATTACCTACTCAAATCTATATACAGGTAATTAAAAAATCGCTGTATTAAGTTTAAAAGCATGGTTATTTTTGAAAAACATAAAATATTTTTTTCTGAAGCTAATTTTTAGACTTGGAACATTTGATATGCATCATCACACTTCATTTACTTTGTACTTACACCAAAAACTTTTGTCATACTGAGTACCAATCACCCTGTATAATAATTCAGTATTAAAAATCTTTGTACAACTAAATCTACAGTTCTACTCTGCCGATTTCATTCATTAATCGGCAATGGAAAGCTGCATTAATGTAGACTTGCAAATAATTAATTATAAAAGTTTTTGTAGGATTTACGGCAGTAATACGTTTGCCGGTATGCATTATTTGATCATATGAAACATGTGTTAATTGTTTAACAGCTGTTTGTTGCATTGTTATTTCATGGATTTTTCTTTGTTTCCATGTTGTTGTTCACAATGTGTATTTGTGTTTAAATTATGTTCCATATGCTATGTGTGTTTCTAAAGTTATGTGCTGAATCTGTACAAATAACTTTTTATGAGTATACTGGTATATGCTAATTTCATAACCGTTATTTTCCTAAAGACCGTTGTATTTAACAACAACATGCTCTGTTTCTAGTAATCTAATGTTTCTCAAATAGTGAATATCTAAATTATAAGACAATGTCAACTCTCTAAGTCTGTCTCTAAATCTGTGGTCTGTCTCTAAATTATAAGACAAAGTTAAGTAATCATAAAATGCCAAGATTGGTGAGAGTTTCCATTGTATTGTGAAATTCTTAGCGCAAAACTTCATCGATATAACTTGTTGGTCTAAATGTATAAATGTATTAAATTAAGTAAATGTGAACTGAAAGCTATGTTTAGATAAAATAAAAGTATTTTGTATTACAATTTGATAATTAAATATAGTTACACGTATACAACAGATTTTAGAAAACTAAAATTAAAG